AACGTGTTGATCCAACGAGACTTCAACATTAATTAATGAGCAAGTCTCTGTTAAGCTTGTGTTGTGGGGTCAGTGGTGGAGTCCTTTCCATTGTAACTCATTAATAAAATTAGTAGCATGTAAGATGAATGAATGAACTGAATTGAAATTGAATTGGCACCAAATCCTGAAGAGGATGAAACCCAGACTTTATAATAAGACATTCTCATATGTTATTTCCTAGTTCTTATATCAGCCGAAACATTTTTCTCATGGGCTAGCAGCCAGGGAGCAGGAGGTGGGGGATTTCATTATGATGTCCCTGAGAACTGGGGGATTTCCCAGGGGGCCATGGGTTCTCCTGGGGGTAGTAGCAGCAGGGTCTGCCCCCGGTCACCCTTCACATTTCTCCAAGGGTGGTCACTCGCTCTCCACTCTCTGCTATGACGGCCATACTGCCTGATACATTTAATGGATATACATGACAGTTGTGACCTACACCATTGAATAAACAAAGTATTTATTTATAACTTTTTAAATTCTGTGCCCTACACCAAAGGGACTCTGATTATAACATGCTTGATTAGGACGTCTTTCTTTCTTTCTTTCTTTCTTTCTTTCTTTCTTTCTTTCTTTCTTTCTTTCTTTCTTTCTTTCTTTCTTTCTTTCTTTCTTTCTTTCTTTCTTTCTTTCTTTCTTTCTTTCTTTCTTTCTTTCTTTCTTTCTTTCTTTCTTTCTTTCTTCCCATTCCTCTTTTAATGCTCCTTCCCACAGCCTCTATACTAGAGATCAGTCAGACTGTTTCTGCTGTGTATGTAGAAGTAGCTTTGCTTGTGTCCAACTTCTCAGACAAGCAGTGAGCACACTGAAACTGCACACATGATGGGTCAGTGGACCATTCCTTGAAGCAAGACGTAAATGTATTGACATCCAATATCGCATTCACAAACAAACCAGTCCTGAAAACGTTTGTATACTTTCCTTGATCATTCCTTGATCTCCATCTGTCTAGGATAAATCACCCTCATCTGAGACTGTCTAATGTGATGTCTAAGCCCACCCGGCCACAACCCACCCAACCCCACCCCACCACCATCTGTCCAGAACATTCCCATGATCCTCTAGGCTCAGTCACATGGGCGTCCATGTGTGGGTGCCTCCTCCCTCCAGCACCTTGGCCTGGGCTAGCGTAATCTTCTTCAGCATCGTGGACTGGCAGTGTAGGGCGTCTTTGATTGTTGTGTAGCCACAGTCATCCAGTCGCGGAATGCGTATGTAATGGCATTCTATTCCCTGTATAGTACACTACTTTAGACCAGCATTCTAAATGGAATGCAGAAAAGACACAATAATTTGTAATACTGTCCAGATTGATCCAATTATTATACATTTAAACTGCAAAGACGCTTCATATTTCATTTCTGTGGTATAATTTTGTTATGTTAATAGGCCCTGGTTTCTTACCGGCTCTGTCGTAGCTGGCCGCGACCGGGAGACCCATGGGGCGGTGCACAATTGGCCCAGCGTCGTCCAGGGTAGGGGAGGGAATGGCCGGCAGGGATGTAGCTCAGTTGGTAGAGCATGGCGTTTTCAACGTCAGGGTTGTGGGTTCAATTCCCACGGGGGGCCAAATAATGTATGCACTCACTAACTGTAAGTCGCTCTGGATAAGAGCGTCTGCTAAATGACTAAAATGTAACTGTGGGGTAGAGTCCAGGGCCAGGGTTGCTCAAGCTGTGGGGTGGGACCAGGGGACAGGGTCAAGGCAAGGGTTACTTCCAGGTGTGGGGTGGGTCAAGGGTCAAGGCCAGGGGGCTTCTACCTTAACAACCTCTGCCTGGAGCTCAGCAGGCTGTAAACAGACAGAGCAGAGCAGTGTAACAGCAGGACAACAACACATTTAACCAAACTAAATGATCATTTGGAACACCACTCATTTTGATCCAATTATTATTATAACCTAAACTGCTTCACATTTGACTTCTGTGGTATCATTTTGTTATGTTAACAGGCTCTGGTTTCATACCTTTGGGAGCTGTGGGGTAGAGCCAGTGTCCAGGGGCAGGTTCTGGGGTGCTTTCACCAGCTGCAGGCCTGGAAACATCAAAGAGTTCTATAATTAAGGGACTTAATAGGAATAATGAAACCACTGTTATCTGTAGCTCATTTCCATGTCTGTTCTATTACTAATACACTGTTGTTGTATGTTACTACACCGTCTAACCAAAGTGCTGTAGATTGACTGTTTACGTTTTCCAATCACGTTAAGTGCTGATTACATTCTAGTCTGATTAGATAGTCAAATGATGCAATACGGAAAAGCTCAGCAGTGTCCAGAGATGTATTATTTGAGTATAGCATTGACTTGTGCTCAGAGATTATTGTGAATGAAGTGTGGCTGTGTGTGTAAAGTTCCTTAGTTCATTTTAGGGTGATTACCAAAGGGAATTAACTAGCATTACGCAGCATCTGTGAGTGTAGCCCTGACGCTCATGTTTTACCAGCTTACCACTGGCACCCTGCACCTACTATGTCACCTCATGTTATTTGGGAAAATGACTAAGCCTACAACCGCCTGGACAAAATGTTGTAGTTCTGGGAACACTTACTAAGGGAATAGTACACAGACACAGTGGAAATGCATGCACACTCCTACGCACACAAACAAACACACACACAAACACACACACACACACCCCATCAACCCTCTGAGACCCTCGACCCCACAACCAGTATGTCTCCTATAACAATCCCAGCCATTACCAGGACAGTCTGTTGGGTCAACAACAGTGTTCCTCTCGGCAGCAGTGTGAGAGTCAGTGTTTATCTGACCACACGCATGAGGAAGCATCCTTGTAAAAAAAAACGTGACTAAAACAATAAAACAATCTGGGTAGTGAGGGAATTGTGATTGGCCACATTAGTTACCATGGCGACTGTCTGGTGAAGTTAGCCTCATGAAGCTGCTGTGTGTTTATTTCAGGACTCATCCTCTTGCAGCAGGAGGAAGGCATGATGCCAGAGGCCTCTTATATAAGAGTTGTGGCTTTTTTTATTCAAATGTGGCTCCATGTACAGAATGGTGGTTTTGACAAGGTGGAATGGTCGGTGGGCCTAATTCACCACTCACAAAAAACTGCACTCTGAGCTTTCTCTGTGAAATCTCTTGATGTGCAAAGGTTTTCTTTATACTGGACATAAATAAACTTGCATATTAACTAGTTTTTTGTCTCTCTCTCTCTCTCCACCTCTCTCTCCACCTCTCTCTCTCTCTCTCTCTCTCTCTCTCTTTCCACCTCTCTCACCCTCTCTCTCCTCCCCTCCGCTCTGCTCTCACACTCCTCTCCTCTCCCACGGCTTCCTCTCTCTTCTCCACCTCTCCTCTCTCCTCTCTCTCTCTCCCTCCTCTCCTCCTCTCTCTCCTCCTTCCTCTCTCCTCTCTCTCTCTCTCGCTCTCTCTCTCTCTCTCTCTCTCCTCTCTCCTCGTCTCATCTTCTCTCTCTCTGTGTCTCCTATAGAGGACTGATGAGGAGGCGGTGCTGGACAGAGGGGGCACTCGCTCCATGCTCAACACCAACTTTGAGAAGGAGGAGCTGGAAGGTGAGTCAACATTAACAGCTTAAGGGATGCATCTCAATAGTCTAAACCGGCTTCCTCCCCTTGTTTCCACCTTTACCTAACATGTAACACAAGTAACTGGACAGGTGAAAGCAAACTCCTGGTAGGCTAGGTGTTCCCTATTCTGCTTTTACCTAGTCTGTGACTTCATATCACTTCTGGGTGGAAGAAGAAGACACAAGGAGACAAGGAGAGGAAGCTGGTTAAGAAAACTGGGATGCACCCTGTGACCTTTCTCAGACAATCACGGTTGCTGTTATTATTTGTTCTGCCTGCAGTGGAAACGGTGACACTGTATTTGGTCCGGTGTAGTATTCCCTGCTGCCCCATAAAGAGATCCTATGGATTTGTGAGAGAAGACACTGTAGTGAAAACAGAGAATACACACACACACACAGAGACACCACACATTCATGTCTTAATACGTGTCACTGCCATGCTACAGAGAGCAGCATGGGAGAGAAAAGACGTTCCATGACATCAGCAAGTGCACAGGCCTGAGGGATGTTGTGCTATTTTTATAGAAAACCTCCCATCTTGACTCACAGACTGTAAGCTGCAGCCAGGGTCCTCCGGGGTCCTCAGTGTTTCAAGCAGGCATGTCCTGGGCTGCCCAATTGTCTTTTATAATAGTCTCTATGACACATTCAAAGGGAGATATACTCTATTGTACTGTAATATATCATGTTGGATGTTTTGTTAATGTCAGTGTGTTGCATTCAGAGATGCGTATTGTTGTTGTGACTGTTCCAGACCACACGATAAGGCTGTCACACACATATTGCTAGAATCATCCTGTCCATGACTTACTACCATCCTGTCCATGACTTACGGCATGGTTGTTTTTGTTCAACAGTACTTACACTGAGTAGTGCTGTTACAGCAGGCCTGGAGGTAGGGACAGAGATATGACAGAGATATGAGTGGCCAGGGTCTTGTCCATGTCACCATGTGCACCCTGGCTTTCCCAGAGCTGGTTTGAGACCTATAGGGCAGGCCATTTTGGCTGTCCTAGCTCAGCATTGGAGTCAGCATAGATTATACTCACCCTGGCAGAGAGAGAGAAAGAGTGAGGAACATGGAAGAGAGTGTGGCATATAACGAGGGAGAGAGAAAGATGGAGGGAGAGTGAGAAAGAGAGGGAGTGAGAAAGAGAGGGAGTAAGAAAGAGAGGGAGTGAGAAAGAGGGAGAGAGAGAGGAGTGGGGAGATGGGATGGAGAAGAGGAGGATGCCAGGTGGAGTAAGAGAGAGAAACTGAATCTTTCCATTGCCGTGCTTCAGTATTTAATTTCCAGCTGACACCAAATGGTTATTTATTTAGTATGAATCTGGTCCAAGTGATTTTTTTTCCATCAGGACCCTGCGTTTTAATGAATGCATCACATTTTAAAAGTACATCATCATGTCCCCAGGCCACCGGACCCTGTACATTGGGGTCCACGTTCCCCTGGGGAGGAAGTCCCACCGACGTCGCCGTCACCATGGCGGCCACAACAAAAACAGCAGGAAGAGATCCAAAGAGAGGGAATCTGGGGTGGACGGCGATGGCAGAGAATCACCCTCCCACAGTAAGTCTATGGGGGGAGTATGCTGCAAAGAATGTTTCCTGTGATAATGTGACCAAACCACACTCTTTGAAAAAAGGGTGCCAAAAGGGTTCTTTAGCTGTCCCAATAGTAAAACCCTTTTTTGTTCCAGATAGAACCATTCTGGGTTCCATGCAGAACCCTCTGTGGAAAGGGTTCTCCATGGAACCCAAACCGGTTCTATTTGGAACCAAAAGGGTTTTACCTGGAACCAACAAGGGTTATTCAACGTTTTTTTAAAGTCTATGGGAGGAGTGTACTGACAAAATGTTCCCTGTGATAATGTGTGACTTGTCATTTGTTCTTGTTTCTCCATCATTGACATTAGCCAGGTCCCAGATCTCTTTGTGCTCTTGCCAACTATCATTAATGAGCCAAAAGAGAACAGCAGATGTGATCCTGATTCGATAATGCAATGGTTATGCAAATATACAAGGGTTATGCAAATATTGGAATTCTATCACTTTTTTTGTACCACAGATCCTTTTTTTCTCAAGTTGCTAAGCAACCACTATTTGTCTGTCCTGACGAATAGTTGCTAGCTCATGTCGAATTTCTCTAACTAAATCAGTGACCCTGCACAAAATCTGTCTGCATAGTGAACGTTGAGATTGCCGTAAGGCCAGACTGTTCGCAAGAGTGCAGAACAGACTGGCACCCAGGCTACATTGATTGATGTCTCTTCACACTTTATGCACTCTTCCTATCTCTCGCTCTCTTTATCCCTCTCTTCTTTCTTTCTCTCTCTGATGTCTAGGAAGTTTGCAATCGTGCTCTTTTGGTCATGAACTAGGAGACTCTCTCTCATCTCTTCTCCCTCTCTCTCTCTCTCTCTCTTCTCTCTCTCTCTCTCTTGATTTCGTTCTCTCTCTCACACTCTCTCCCCCCTCTTTCTCTCTTTCACATCTTCCTCCCTCTCTTCTCTATCTCCATCCCCCATCTCCCTCTCTCCTCCTCCTCCTCCTCTACCCCTCTACAGCAGACACCCCTGCCCAGAGGGTGCAGTTCCTGCTGGGGATGGAGGATGGCGACGAGGAGCACATCCCTCACGCCCTCTTCACGGAGCTGGACGAGATCTGCCTGAGAGAGGGCGAGGACGCCGAGTGGAAGGAGACCGCCAGGTAACCAATCACACGACCCGCTCCAGCTCCTCGGCCAATCAGGTGTCCGTTTTCTGCTTATGCGTCTCTGTTTTGTGTTTGCAGGTGGCTGAAGTTTGAGGAGGACGTGGAGGATGGAGGCGAGCGTTGGAGTAAGCCCTACGTGGCCACCCTGTCTCTACACAGCCTGTTTGAGCTGAGGAGCTGCATCCTCAACGGCACCGTGCTGCTGGACATGAGGGCCAACTCACTGGAGGAGATCGCCGGTACGTAGAGTGGTGCTGGAGTGGAGGGTGACCAGAAGGTTGCCGGTTCAAATCCGAGGGTTGACAGGGAAAATCTGGCGGGAGTGAGCCTGCAACTGGAGAGTTACTGGAGTTAGAATATCAGGTGCCAACGACTGCCGTTGTGCCCTTGAGCAATGCACTGAACCCCTAACCAATCTATATGTGTGTTCTCTCAGATATGGTCCTGGACCAGCATGAGGTGTCGGGCGCGGTGGGGGAGGATGTGAGGAGGAGGATCCGTGAGGCGCTCCTGAAGCAGCACCACCACCAGAACCAGAAGAAGCTGGCCAACCGCATCCCCATCGTACGCTCCTTCGCAGACATCGGCAAGAAGCATTCCGAGCCCCACTCCATGGACAAGAATGGTGAGCTCACCAACCAATCACACACCAACCAGAGTTTTGTGGCTTTTCTTATTGTTGTGCTGTATCGTGTCTCTGTGTGACTTGCTGTTGTCTGATTAAATATCTCAACTGCTATCTACATTCTCTCCTTTTGTTTGTGTGTGTCGATATGTGTGTGTGTGTGTGGATATATGTGTGTCTATATATGTCTGCTTGTGTCTGTGTGCATGTGTGTGTGTTCTTTACACATCCAGTCGACAGCTCCCTCCTTTTTTGCACCTTTAAGATGAAGGCCCCCAAGACTGACACAAACACAAGCAGACAGGCCTTGTCCTGCAGACCATGGCCTCTGTGTGTGTCCACCTCCATCACCACTCCTTCCCCACCTGTAAGCCCCACCCCGTGCCTGCCCCCCCTCAGAGCCATACAGCCAATCCCTGCCCTGCAGAGCTAAGCGGAGCTCCATTCGCTTCAGCTTCCACCAGGCTGTTGCCCAGGGTTACTGCCCTATCCCAACAATGGACCCAGACGAGGAGATCTATACAGGCAACTAGACAGGACGCCTGTAGTCTAGTCTGAGACTAACACTGGGCCATTCTCAAATGGAACTCGTTTAGTTGCAAACATATCACAAAAAAACAATCATAACCACTTCATTACATCCAGTACATCCATTAATAATCTCCATGTGTTTTCTCTAACCTCTTGGGCAGTACCAAACCTTCAAAAGTAGAATAGTACTACTTGCAAATTCAACTTAGAAAGTGCAACGTTTTGATCACAAAGACCATCATCAAGGCCTCATTCCTTCATTAATCTAGGTAGGATTAATCAATTGATAAATTCATCTAGATTATAGTGTAACACTAAAAGCCTTCATCTGAGTACTGTACAGTATGTTGTCCAGTGAAAGTGACTAACAGGCTGGCTCTCTCCTGTCCTGATGTCTCCCAGGTCAGACAGTCTCTCCCCAGTCCCAGCCAGCCACCACAGAGGGCAAGGAACATGTCAGCCGGGAGAACAGCCATGTGGACTTCAGCAAAGTAAGGCCCCACTCACCTAGCCTGGTCGCACCATATTTCAATGTTCTGTATAGCCAACTCCTATGGTTGTTGTCATACCAAGGTTGGCTACCAGGCTAACAGGTCACCCAAAAGTTCAGCTAAGCACAATGCTACTTTTTATCGTCATACATTAGCTAGTAGCTACATTACTGTGACTATGCTAGCCACCAGTTAGTATGTGTTAGACCAGTGCATTTACTATGCTGTGTGACCCACTCAAAGCGTTTAGCCATTTCTCTGTAGCTCAATGAATAATAAACCCACTGATTCTAGTCACAACCCAGTATCTTGCCAAACATCTGCTGTAGCCTAATTATGACAGATTTCTCAGTAGGCCTATCCATGATCCCCTGGCCCTCATTTCAGTCGACCATATTTAGCATATTTTCCTATCTCCTATTAGCTAAATAGGATTATCATGTCTGTAGATTGACCTCCACTTCATGAAGAAGATTCCACCCGGTGCAGAGGCATCCAACGTCCTGGTGGGGGAGCTAGAGTTCCTGGAGCAGCCTGTGGTGGCCTTTGTCCGTCTGTGTCCCGCCGTGCTGCTCAGCGGCCTAGCTGAGGTCCCCATCACCACCAGGTCAGACACACACTGTCATTTTATTATAATATTAATTCTATTTTGTACGTGTAACGTTTTATTATATTGTACGTGCTCTGTTGTTAATGATGATTACGGTTAATACTATGAATTGTATGTGTTTGTAACTAAAGTGGGATAGGTGTTTTTCATTGGGTAAGTTCCTGAGTGGATGCACTCTATTTAGGTAAAACCCTGGTTTAAAACTTATTCTGTGTTCTCTCTCAGGTTCCTGTTCATTCTGCTGGGGCCTCTGGGAAAAGGACCACAGTACCATGAGATTGGCCGATCCATCGCAACTCTGATGACAGACGAGGTAAGTAGCCACACTGCAGTAGTCCTGTGTGCACTTTTCCCTGCATTATCTTTGGTTATGTTAGCCAGGTTTAATGACAGCTCATGATGACACATACAGGATAACCCCATCCCCTCTCTGCCCCCTCCCAGGTGTTCCATGACGTGGCGTATAAAGCCAAGGACAGGAACGACCTGGTGGCCGGCATCGATGAGTTCCTGGACCAGGTAACTGTGTTGCCACCTGGGGAGTGGGACCCCTCCATCAGGATAGAGCCGCCCAAAAACGTGCCCTCTCAGGTGAGCCTCTTCCTGGTGGTGTCTGTGACATCACCCCTAACCAGAGACTTATTTTGAGATGCATATATATTTGGCTCTGACCCTGTGCCATCATCTGTTAGTTTGCTTCCAACTGCATCACTGGCTAAACCCAATCTGAATTGTACTCGGATTTAACTGCTGGTATACCCCAAGGACAAATTCTAAATCCGCTCTGAATCCATTTGTTTTGTTTTTGTCTATTATCAGCTGGTACGTGCCGGACGGCTTGTCCTTAAAAAAGCAGTCCTGTGTTGTTGGAAGGAATAATGTTTTGCCTGACAGGCTATTTTAGGTCAATTCCTACTAGTGGCGATGCATTGAAAATAAATTATATAGCTATTTATGGCAAATAAATATTTATATTCCATCCGACCTCTGAACTCTATTCTTTACCACACAGGAAAAGCGCAAGGTCCCTCCTCTACTCAACGGGGATCTGGGAGAAGCAGAGGAACCTGGTGGCCATGGAGGCCCAGAGCTACAACGCACAGGAAGGTAGGTTAGAGTGTGTGTGGTGGTTGTGAGTTGAAGGTGTGTGTGTGTGTGTGCATCCGTGCGTGCATGTGTGTGTGTTTGGGCTGAGAGTAGGCCCGCCAGCACTGTGGACCATCTAAGGTCCTCTTCGTCTTTGGTTTTCAGTCCCGTTTGTCTCTTCTCCGGCTCTCCCTGTCCCTAGCAGAACATTTAGCCCTCCTTTAAAAAACACACATCCTTATGGGTTTCTCTCGTTCCTCAAGCTCCGAGTTCACAAAAAGAGCTGGGATTGAGTGTGATACATGCGTTTGGAATCATCCATGCATACTTTCCTACATAAGACCAGCATCACTTATTAAAATGTGCCTCGACAGCACTGGGGAAAACACTCTAGCTATTTTGGTAACACTTCATTGTACAATTAAATAATGCACTAACTGTGTGTGCATTAACTAAGGGCTGATTTTAATCTATTATTAAGTTTTTATAAGTTCATCATATAATCATGTCCACTTATATTACATGCACTAAGTGTGCTTTAACTAAGTGCTGACCTGAATCTGTTTATAGGCTATAATTAGTTCAATAGTTAATACCCTACAGCATTCGATATTGATGCTGTAAATAAAGTTACCTAATCTCTTAAAATGCCTAATAAATACTTAACAGTGCAAAATAATGTATATGAATTCATGAATTATTAGTGTCTTATTAGCAGTAGCTTATAAGCACTTATGGACACCAACAATAAAGTGTTCCAACTTTATTAACAATACTTTATTGTAGGTGCAATTTGTTTTGTGTATCTACAGTAGTGTAGTAGAGTGTATTTGGAGTGAGGAGAAAGCTGTAGTAGTGTAATACAGTATATTTAGAGGGAGGCAGTAGGCTATGTGTAGCTGTAGTAAGTATGAAAATGTATGCACTCACTAACTGTAAGTCGCTCTGGATAAGAGCGTCTGCTAAATGACTAAAATGTCAAAAAAATGTAAGTGATGCTGTATATTTTGGGTTTTTAAGTGATATAGTTGTAGTTGTAGTAAGTGATCCCTGCTACAGTAGGTCTCTGAGGAACTCATCCTGACGGTACAGTAGGTTGGCCTGCAGCCCAGTTCTGCTATGAGCCATGATCTCCCAGAGGGCCACAGCATAGCATCCATCCCCGCTCGGCTGAAATACCACTCAAAGTCACGCCCACCGTAACCCCGGCAACCGCCTCCGGCTAGGTCGCCATGTGCCTGTATATTTCCTCTCTCAATCCCTCCTCCTAGTGTGTGGCCTGTGGGAATGTGTTTAAAAAATAAACATTTAAAAACACACTATGGTGCATAGTTTTCATTGCAACTGCAAAATGAAAGGGAACACATTTGACTCCTTTTACTTCATATGGTATTTGATGCTGATTCACTAAGGTGGTGTGTGTGTGTGTGTGTGTGTGTGTGTGTGTGTGTGTGTGTGTGTGTGTGTGTGTGTGTGTGTGTGTGTGTGTGTGTGCATGTGTACATGCACTAATGTGTGTGTCATTTCCAGGTTCTTTGGAGGGTTCTTCATGGACATCAAGCGCAAGGCGCCCCACTACCTGTCTGACTACACGGACGCTGTGAGCCTGCAGTGTCTGGCCTCTTTCCTTTTCCTCTACTGTGCCTGCATGTCTCCTGTCATCACCTTCGGAGGACTACTGGGGGAAGCCACAGAGGGACGCATAGTAAGACAAATGTTATTACAAATGGCAGAAGAACAGTCTGACTTTCTGAAGGCCTACTTCCTGTATTTGTTTGTTGGATTTCTGATGTAGTTATGCACAACAATAAAGCACTTTTACATTCACACATTAGGTAAGGACGATGGTATCCTTATGAAGCTGAACTCTAAACAGATGGATATGTTTTAGATGGATATGTTTTAGTTGCTGTATCCCCCAGTAGATATCCAACTTCAACAAATAAAGACTGCACAGACTCACAGGTGTAGTTATTATGAAAAGTGCTATGCAACCTGTGATCCATTAACCCATTACTGTCTCTTCCTCTTTGGCCAGAGTGCAATTGAGTCCCTGTTCGGAGCCTCCATGACGGGGATAGCCTACTCCTTGTTCGCTGGGCAGCCTCTCACCATTCTAGGCAGCACAGGGCCTGTTCTAGTGTTTGAGAAGATTCTCTTCAAATTCTGCAAGTGAGTTTGCCCCATTTCAGATACATTGTCACATTGTCTTAGCTGCTCTCATCACTGTGACATGGCTGCAGTACATTGTTCCTGGCATGTAGGAAGACTTTAAGTATAGATGTATGGGTTTTTCTAAGGCTGTGTGTGTTTGTTGTGTGTGTGTGTGTGTGTGGCCATGTGTGTCTCTCGTGCGAAAATTGGTGACAACCTTGGCCCAAGAAGAAGTGTCCTTTTGGTCTAATGGTTAAGACGTTGGTCTTCCGAGTGGGAGATGGGGGTTCGCATCCCACCAGTTACACGTGTGTGTGTTTGTCCACATGGACTATGACTATGGCTATATACGTGAACAGATCTGGAACCAGGTTAATTGGAAATATATTGGCAGACAATGTTAGGTACAATGTTTGTGCATACTGCACAGTGCTTATATTCTGTAGTACTCTACCACTGACATTTCATATGGATGGCTCCACTATAAATATATTTCATGTCAATGACTCCATTTCCTCTATGCACAGATTTGGACAGAATCAAAGTGCATGAGTGCGTGCATGAGTGACTGGCTCATGCTGAATCATGTCTGTGCGAACCCAGTCATTCATTCTTGCACGCATGGACTTTGGATTGCAGTCACGTGTGTATGTGTGTGTGTGTGTGTGTGTGCGCATGCATGTGTGTATGTGTGTGTGTGTGTGTCCGTGTGTGTGTCTGCTCGTGTGAAAATCGGTGATAACCTCTGCCCAAGAAGAAATGTCCTTTTGGTCTAATGGTTAAGACGTTGGTCTTCCGAGTGGGAGATGGGGGTTCGCATCCCACCAGTTACATGTGTGTGTGTTTGTCCACAGGGACTATGACCTGTCCTACCTCTCCCTGAGGGCCTGTATCGGCCTGTGGACGGCGTTCCTCTGCCTGCTCCTAGTGGCTACAGATGCTAGCTCCCTGGTCTGTTACATCACCCGCTTCACAGAGGAGGCCTTCGCCTCGCTCATCTGCATCATCTTCATCTACGAAGCCCTGGAGAAACTCATCCACCTGGGAGAACACTACCCCATCAACATGAACAACAACCTGCAGAAACTCACCCAGTACTCGTAAGTAATGGAAATAGTACTCGTTAGTGGAACTGATAGTCATAAGTGGATTAAATAGTCATAAGTGGAACTAGTATTCCTCTAACTACCAGTACTTGTAAGTGCAACTAGTAAACTTAACTGTAGTACTCATAGGGGGAAGTAGTACTCCTTTAACTGCCAATAAGTGAAACTAGTACTCTTAACCTGTAGCACACTCTTGGAAAAAAAAGGTGCTATCTAGAACCCCATAGGAGAACCCTTTGAAGAACCCTTTTTTGTTGGAGGTAGAACCCTGTTGGTTCCAGGTAGAACTATTTTGGGTTCCATGTAGAACCCTTTCCACAGAGGGTTCTACATGGAACCCAAAAGGGTTCTACCTGGAACCAAAAAGGGTTCTCCTATGGGGACACCCGAAGAACCCTTTTGGAACCCTTTTTTCTAAGAGTGTACTCATTAATGGAACCAGTACCCCACTAACTACCGCTACTCTTAAGTGGAACTAGTAGTAGTAGGAATAAATTGTACCTCTTTGTTTAAGTAGCATTCATAAGTGTAAGTACTACTCGACCTACAATACTGCAGGTGGACAACAGTCCATTTTTTATTTATTTTTTAACACATACTGTTTACCAGAGTCCTGTACACATTGGTGTTAGCTAGCTACATCATCAAAGCACAGATGGGCAATATGGGCAGTTTATCCAGTTTTTCGGTAATGCTACAAGATTATTGTAGTATGCTGAATAATCCCATGTGTAAATCCAGGGACATACATTAATACATGATGTAATCGTTCTAAGTCAATGTAATGTACGGTCAAGTAAATGTTAATGTTCACATTGGTGAGGTCATAGAGATTAATCCGTATGTGTCATTCCATGTCATTTCAGCAAGCCATGTCACCCACCATCTGAGATTATTCTCAAATCGTTTCTGTAGTTAGAAACAGACAAGATTAGCATTCCTGAAACTTAATTAATAATTTGATCTCTGAGAAATTAAGCTAATTATTCCACCCAAATTGGCCGTTTTAATTTATAGGATCGTCAATAATATAGTACCTAACATTCGATTTGGACCATAATTCTTCCTAACAATGAGTAAGACATGAGGTATCCAATAAAATGATCAAAAGCCACCCACGGACCCCCCACACCCCACGCCAATCTCAGCCCAACAACCAGTATACAGTATCAGTTCTCTATGTCTGAAACGTAGTATGGAGCTGCTGCTTGGAGTATTGCATCTTCATCCTTTGTAATGTATTCCCTATGAAAATGGTGATGTTTTGTTCCCCTGTTCAGAGAAATTATTAGCCATTGAAGTCACTTGCATTCTAAACCATTAAATTAGTGTGAAAGTACCACGTTTTGCCCACTAGATGCCGCTGTTCCTGCTACTGCCACCACACCCTTTTATCAATTTTGCTGGTCTCTTAAATGGATCACAATATTCTCTTTGCAACTTTAAGTAGAAAACCAATTGCTTTTGCTCATATGAATCCTATAAATTAAAATGGCCAATTTGGGTGCAATCCCTTAATTTCTCAGAGATCAAATAATATTTCAGAAAAATTATATTTTAGGAATGCTAACCTTATCAGTTTCTAACTACAGAAGCGATTTCAGAACAATCTGAGATGGTGGGTTTCAAAATCCTCTTTCTTGTGCTTTTTGAGGTGGAATAACTATAAGGACACAGATGTGTTGACATGTGCAGACTAAGGCTGCAAGATGACAAATGTGTGTGTGTGTTTATTCGTGCACGTGTGTGTACGCATACATGCGTACTTCTGCATGTGTGTGTCTGCGGGCTTGTGTGTGACTGTTTATATGTGTGTGTTTACGTGTGTGTGTGTGTGTGTGTGCACTCATGCGTGTGTGTGTTGTGCTCTGACAGGTGTGCGTGTGTGGAGCCAAAGGATCCCAGCAACTCCACTCTGAGGTACTGGGAGGACAGGAACATCACTGCATCAGAGGTCAACTGGACCAGCCTGGAGGTCAAGGTAAAGAGGGGTTTGAAGCCTAAAAGCCCTGATCTTGGGTTCAGGGCGATGAAGCCTTGCTCTGTAAGGTCACTGACTACCTCCTTCTGTAGTAGACCCCCAGCTGCACTGTGTAATCATCACATTAACTTCTAGAGGTCAGTAGTATTATAGTGCAGTGCAGGGTCAGGCACCACGGGGGACTATTGACCAATAACCACCCCCTGATGTAATATTGAGACATGATGTAACTAACACTCCTTACTCAATTACTTCTAAAACATCACTCATCAGCAAATTGCTACAAATATTATATTGTTTAAATATAGTGTATTTTTCATGGTGAAATAGCCATCCCCTGGAGAGGGGTGTGATGCTATAGGGATAGACATTGTCTCTTGATAGTACAATGTGTTTCCCCAGAGGGAACAGAACAGAACAGTGTGACAGGATTAAAGATATGTAGGCAGGATTTCAACAGGATTTAACCACGCACAGTCACCATAGAGAAACAGTCAGAACAGTAGAGCATTCTTTTAGTATTCACTGTGACTCTGTCACACCTCTGAAGGCTTAATGTGTCAATCTCACTCCAACACACATATGCACACCTGCATGAAGCCAGTCAAGAATGACACGCACACACACACACACAATATGTGACTTCAATCCTATGTGCATGAATGACTGGGTTCACACGGACATGATTCAGCATGAGCCAGTCCCTCATGCACGCACTCATGCACTTTGATTCTGTCCAAATCTTTGCATAGAGGAAATGGAGTCATTGACATGAAATAAATGTATAGTGGAGCCATCCATATGAAATGTCAGTGGTAGAGTACTACAGAAGATAAGCACTGTGCAGTATGCACAAACATTGTACTTAACATTGAGTCTGACGATATATTTCTAATTATCCTGGTTTCAGATATGTTTGTGTGTATAGGAGTTGTCTATAAAGTGCAAACAGATCTGGGACCAGGGGCTAACTTTGACCGGGTCTTCTTATCTTTCCTATGTAGGTAACTCATACCTTAGAGTGGCCATGTCCAAATACCCATACTTGCGTTCTAAATAGTAGGCTTTTTGGATATGCGAAAATAGAACGTTTTGTAGTATGTGAAATTTTGAAAATGTTGTATGCTTTAAATGCCAGCATGTCATACTCAGTTCGTCTTTTCGTCACGTAGAATTCACCACACACTATTGAGGAAGATAATCGTTTTTTCACACCCATGTGTGTTTGACAACAGCTGATAATCAGAATAGGGGATGTGCTTTAAAAAAATGAACGAATAGTGGGGAACAAGCGCGATTCTGCATTAGATTACGCCTTCTCAGTATAAATAAGTGGTATATTGATATTTGTTGCTTATTGCATACATTTTTACTAAACAGTACATTCTAAATAGTATGTAGTACTGTTAGTACACAGGATGTAGTTTTAGTATGTAGTAGGCAAGACAGATTTCAGACACGGCCAGTCTATCCTGTTAAAGATATAGGATTCTTCTCAGGTCTCTCGTACCTTCCTGTTGTAGGAGTGCTTTGTGTTCAGCTGTTACAGTCGCTCTCTCTTCCTGTATAGGAGTGCTTTGTGTTCAGCTGTTACAGTCGCTCTCTCTTCCTGTATAGGAGTGCTTTGTGTTCCGGGGGGAGTTTGACGGCAGCGCCTGTGGCCCCCACGGCCCCTACATCCCTGACGTTCTCTTCTGGTCTGTGGTCCTCTTCTTCTCTACTGTCTTCATGTCTGCTTTCCTCAAGGAGTTCAAGACCAGCCGCTATTTCCCCACCAAGGCACGTCCAACTACACCTCATAATTCCTGAGTGCAAGGAATGTGGACCGGTAGCCACATCTGCAGGGATTTCAATGATATTCGATTGATTGTTGATGCTTGCCCCATAATCTCTCAGACTTTGGTGGATGTATCAGTGCTCTACCGCCTACTGGTACATCATTTTGAGAAATAATATGGAAATCTACCCATTCTATTTCAATGATATGTCGATGAGTGCTGTTGGGTGCTGCAGGAGTAAGAATTTATTTTCCAGTGTACTGATGCCCCCTTGTGGCGTCTAAGAGATCCTACACTTACTTGCGCTTTATTATTATTATTTGCCTTTATTTAACCAGGTAAGTCATTGAGAACACATTATCTTTTACAACGACAACCTGAACAAGATAGATGTGATACACCGTTCCGCCAAGCAGACAAGTGAAGACGTTACAGACAATTAACTTGCATTCACATGACACTGAGAAATAGGAGATTCACCATAAGCTCAGTTCATAGTTTGACTGTGAATATCTCTTGTTCTTCAGGTGAGGGCCCAGATCAGTGACTTTGCTGTCTTCATCACCATCCTCACCATGGTCCTAGTGGACTACGCCCTGGGAATCCCCTCACCCAAACTGCAGGTCCCCAACAAGTTCAAGGTGAGCACACACACACACACACACACACACACACACACACACACACACACACACACACACACACACACACACACACACACACAGATCATGATCATGTTCACTCCCTCCCACAGCCAACCAGAGACGACCGTGGTTGGATAGTGAACCCAATAGGGCGCAACCCGTGGTGGACCACTATAATCGCGGTCCTCCCTGCCCTGCTCTGCACCATCCTCATCTTCATGGACCAACAGATCACTGCTGTTATCATCAACAGGAAGGAACACAAACTGAAGGTAATGGCTGCCAATTCAAGTCATTCTACTGTGTCTGCTTTTACTGCTATATGGTGGTAATAGTTTTCACAGATAAAATGTGAAATTCAAAACTTAACAGGTCATTATTATGATATAATTAACTGTCAAACCCCTAAAGGCTGATTCTATTTTGGGGTTTTGATCCCAATTTTTGAGGGGACTGTTTAATTTCTGTCCCATTTGGCTATGGCTACCATTTCAACTAACGCCTTGCATACTGTTCCTCATTTCTCCATAACTAAAGATCTGAACAGTATACAGTATATCTCCATAACTAAAGATCTGAACAGTATACAGTATATCTCCAAAACTAAAGATCAGAACAGTATACAGTATATCTCCATAACTGAAGATCTGAACAGTCTACAGTATATCTCCATAACTAAAGATCTGAACAGTATACAGTATATCTCCATAACTAAAGATCTGAACAGTATACAGTGTATCTCCATAACTAAAGATCTGAACAGTATACAGTATATCTCCATAATAAAGATCTGAACAGTATACAGTATATCTCCATAACTAAAGTTCTGAACAGTCTACAGTATATCTCCATAATTAAAGAATCTGAACAGTATACAGTATATCTCCATAACTAAAGATCTGAACAGTATACAGTATATCTCCATAATTAAAGATCTGAACAGTATACAGTATATCTCCATAATTAAAGATCTGAACAGTATACAGTATATCTCCATAACTAAAGATCTGAACAGTATACAGTATATCTCCATAATTAAAGATCTGAACATTATACAGTATATCTCCTTATTGTTCATGTATTATAGTATACTACTACCGTATCGCTGCAGTATGGATGCTATAACCCCATATCTCTGGTTCCCATCAACAGAAGGGCTGTGGCTACCACCTGGACCTGTTTGTGGTGGGGGTGATGCTGGGGGTGTGTTCTGTGATGGGCCTGCCCTGGTTTGTGGCAGCCACCGTCCTCTCCATCTCCCACGTCAACAGCCTGAAGCTGGAGTCAGAGTGCTCAGCCCCCGGGGAACAGCCCAAGTTCCTGGGGATCAGAGAGCAGCGCTTCACCGGCCTCATGATCTTCCTACTCATGGGCTGCTCCGTCTTCATGACCTCTGTCCTCAAGGTGAGGGAGGTCAGAGGTCAAAGGCCAGACCTCAGATATACATGAGATCAATTACAACACACACACACTTTAGCACAATCATGCGCACGTGCATGAGCATAGTCACACGCATACACAACTGTTGAAGACTAAATTGAGTGCTGTCTCTCTATCTGTTTCAAGTTTATCCCCATGCCTGTACTGTATGGAGTGTTCTTGTACATGGGAGCATCCTCACTGAGAGGTATCCAGTTCTTTGACCGTCTCAAGCTGTTTGGCATGCCGGCCAAGCACCAGCCAGACTTCATCTACCTGAGACACGTTCCGCTGAGGAAGGTCCACCTCTTCACCATCATCCAGCTCAGCTGCCTGGTCATGCTCTGGGTCATCAAGACCTCAAATTATGCCATCGTCTTCCCCATGATGGTAACGTGTGTGGAGGGTGGGGTTGTGTGTGGGTGGGGGGTCTGTGTGTGTGTGTGTGCGCGTGCTCAAGAGAGAGAGAGAGAGAGAGAGAGAGAGAGAGAGAGAGTGATTGAGAAAGTGATTTTATGTCTTTTGAGTATGTAGACATTTATTTTGCTTTTATATTTAATTCGGTATTCACCTTAAGCTTTATGTACTGTAGGTACAGCACGTGTCACCACACTTAGTAGACAGGAGGAGAATGTAAGGAGAATTGCTTCTCTCCTCTAGGTGTTGGCTCTGGTGTTCATCCGTAAGCTGCTGGACTTCATGTTCACCAAGAAGGAGCTGAGCTGGCTGGACGACCTGATGCCTGAGTGGAAGAAGAAAAAACTGGAGGAAGGAGAAGAGGTAAACAGTCCTTGGTGCTCTTAAACATATTGAAGCCATACAGATATGTTAGCACATTATGACTCTATCAATCATCTGGGCTTGTGGTGCAATAGTGTGATTTAACAGTCACTTTCTTCATTTCTCTCTCTTCAGGAGGAGCCCAGTATTATAGAGGAGGAGGAGGAGGGGATAGTTACGTTGCCACTGGAAGGAAATTACAAGTAAGTCCAACTAACAAACCATGCAGAGACTGTAGGCACTAGAAAGTTCGTTTAAAGAAAACCCGGTACAGGTTTTGGTGACAAGCTATTGCAAGGAAACAATAGAGGGCCATGTTGCACATGCATTGTATCAATTGTTCTGCCAATACCGCGGCACAACCTCATTTTTTTGTGCCAGAAACTTACAGAAAACATGATTTCAGCTAATTCAAGATCAGGGCCTAATCATCAACACATTTCAGAGGATGTCTTGCCTATGAGAACATGCAGTGACTGACAGAGCATTCTCGGTTTTGTGTTTTGTAGGAACGATCCCGCTACGGTGAACATTTCCGATGAGATGTCCAAAGGCTCCTTCGGGAACGTGTGGAATAGTATCAGCCCCAGTGACAACTCCAAGAAGGATCCAAGCTCCAAAAGGTTGGAATGTCCACCAATCAGTCGATTAATCAATTAATTAATACATACCTTTCACCAAAAATGCCATTTCATTTATTTATTGGACCTATATATTAGCCGCAGACCATTTACTTGTCCAATCTCAAATACTTTTCTGTTTTCTATTCTATTCATGGTGTGAATACTGTAAAACATATTTAATGTAGATATTAATGTAGATATCAAATGTGGATTTTGACCGGCCTTTCCATTGTAGAGATTTAGATGATCATTAACTTCTATCTTAACTCCTATCCTTTCTCATTCCATTACCATCATAAGCTCCCCTTCCTAACCTCTCAGAAGCTGATATCCCAAAGGTAAGTGACTCCCAATCCTCAATGGCATGGTGTTACATATCTTGTCTCTCCATGTGCAGTGTATCATTGTATGATGTAGAGGTGACAATATGAATATGATGGTCTTTGTCATGCAAGTGTGCCCGGAGTTTGAGTATGGGACTTCAGTCTAAAGTACCCTGGAGCAACCAGTTATCTCTTGACCCATAAAGATCCACAGTAAAAAAAACACCAACTCAAAGTTGGCACTCAGTTCTAAACAAATGTCCCAAGGCGTCTCTCTTTGTTTTGAATGTTTCACGCTCACTGGTTTGGGGAATATGAATGCATGCATATGGTAGACAGACACACACACACACACAGCATGCTCTGGTTTGGTTTGCCTCTGTGGTGGTTGGGGACAACTGCAGGTTTAGGGTGGTTATGCATGATGGGTAATATTACCCCAAATCAATGAAGTGCGTGATACTTCTGCCACGCAGGGCTCCAATACACAATGCCATCCAGCTGGTCAATTCAGTGGTACATGTAGTGTCTCCTCTAATGCTATTTGTGACACATAGCCTTTTGTTTTCCAGTGGTGGTGAGAGAAGACATAAGAGGAAGGATTCAAAGTTGGACAGAGAGACGAGTTTGTGATCCGTACCGGAAAAGAACTCAAATATCGTGCCACACTCGACCACCTCTGAACTGTGCTGCACCATGCGTTCTCGTCATGTAAGACTGTGTGTGTGTGTGCAACTCGCGTAAATCGTTTAGAAACAGTGTTACCCTATTGAGGAACCAAGAAACATAAACTGTGATTATTTTCTATGTATGTCAATGTATGGTGATACCAGCAACAGAGGAAGCAATGAATTAATAGTATTATGTCTATCTACCCGTGGGCCAATTTATTACAGATGTAGGATCTTAATTTGAGCCAGTTTGCTACAGCAGGAAAATAATCCTGAAGTAACATGAAATGTGTGGATTATAATTAATGGACATTTCTGTAATGGTTGAAACATTTTTCATAAGGGAAAATCAAGTCTGAAATTTTAACGTGGAAATTTCAAACTTCAGAAGCATTTTTAAACTTTAAATACATTACAAGTTTTAAAAGTATTTCTGCATCAGGGTGATCAAATTAAGATCCTACATCTGTATCAACCAAATGGATTTTAAAGCAACTTTACTTTTTAACGGAATAGTTTGTATTTTGTATGTTTTTTTTCTATTTTTTCAACATAGGAATCCTTTTGAAAAATCAATTACAGTATACAACGGAAATCTTGTTCATGGAATAATCAATGTGTGTTTTGTTTTGTAATTTGACATCACTATTGGGTCTGTGCACTTAAGGATACGAAAACAGTATACTGTATATGTATCCAATTAAAACCTGCACACATAATATTGAAAGTGTTAAATGTACAATTCCTTTCTTGAAAGCTAATTTGTAAAATGTTCACTGCCATTTTCCAGAAGATTTGTTGATAGTATTCTTTCTCCATTACAGTGTTGAGGCCAGTGTTATATTTCAGGAATTGGAGAACATTACATTCCAGTTAGCGTAGCAGCATAGCCCTGCCATTCTGTACCTATTGGGAATGTGATTCCTATACGGTTTTAACCATATATAGTAATTTATAGGATCTCTATGGTTTTAATGCTCAAATTGTCTTTGGAGTCTTTGGATGACTGTGTAGAGATACAGTGCCTTCAGAAAGTATTCACACCCCTTGACTTTTTCCACATTTTGTTGTTACAGCCTGAATTGAAAATAAATTAAATAGAGATTTTTTGTCACTGGCCTACACACAATACCCCATAATGTGAAAGTGGAATTATATTTTTTGAAATTTTAACAAATTAATTCAAAATGAAAAGCTAAAATGTATTGACTCAGGGAGTTGAATACTTATCTAATCAAGATATATTACATTTTATTTTTTATAGCTGTTAGAATTTTATTCCAATTTGACATTTAGAGTATTTTGTGTAGCTCTTTGACATTTTTTTTTTTTTTTTTTACAATTAAATCCATTTTAATCCCACTTTGTAACACAACAAAATGTGGAAAGTCAAGGGGTGTGAATACTTTCTGAAGGCAATGTACATGTACATGTATGTCCATTGGCATACAAATGTGTTTTACCGGCATACTGTTCCAGTCACCCTGTCGGTACGTTTCATTGACATGTGATATCTTCTCCTGCATTCCAGTTTGTTTGACACCTACAAAGTGATGTTGTATTCTGATTCTGAACTACCAGTAACTGTATTTAAACACCTGCACAAAGGTGAATCAAACTTAGCAGTGTCTTTCTACAGGATTGTGTGGTTAATTGATAGAAATGCAATAATAATACCTTTGTGAGAAAGGGCAAAATGTAATAAAGTGAAGACTCTTAACGATGTACAATATATAGTATATTTTATTCATGTGTAAAATGGTACTAATATGTTACTAAAAACTTTGAATTGGGGTAACCAAAAAAGAAAAAAAAGACTTTTATGTTGTCAATGTCTATCCCATGTACTGTGTTGTTGATGGATTTTAGTTATTAGAGAAATAATAATGGGTCAATATCAATATCAAATTTTGGCCACTTTACTTGTGGAAATCTGCCTTAAAATTTAGTATTGATAGCTGAAGACAAGTTTCTGTTTAAGAGTTTATTGACTCATCTGTGGGAAATTATCAATTCAGATATTTGTTGTTCTATTATAAATGTGATTTGTTCTACGAGAGAAAGACAGAGAAATGTACGAAACAATAAAGTGACTGAAACATCCTTTCATTTGGTGAACGTTCATATCATGGCCATCCACTTCTGATCGAGATTAAATGATACGAACACTCATTAACCCCTAACACATCACAGTTCAAATCCAAATCGGCAATGACCTTACATTCTTTAAATCTGCTCCAAATCTGCTCTCCACAGTCTCAATAAAGGAACCGCGTCCCTATCCTTGGCCTTTGAGGAGCTGGGTGTCCTCTGCCTTTGGGGCGAGGTACAGGCTGGAGTTGTCAGCCCAGATCTCGCTCCCCACACCCATCAGGGTGTAGCGGGTGTGGGTCAGCTCCTCTGGGTCCATCCCCTTAGCCTCCTCCCAGCTGGGCATGGTCAAAGTGGAAGCGAACCAGTCGCTGGTGCTCTGCCTGAACACGCCGAACCACGAAATCTGAAGAGGAAGACAGGGAATACTCACAACATATTTATTAGAAATGTCCTTAATTAAATAATACATTCACTAAGGACCTAGCTAAGCGCTACGCTCTACTTGTTTAGGTTATCAAGGAGAAAATACATGTACTACAGTGGAGGCTGGTGAGGGGAGGACGGCTCATAATAATGGCGGGAATGGAGTGGATGGAATGGCATACACATGAAAACCATGTTGGACACCATTCCAATAACTCCATTCCGAGCATTATTATGAGCCGTCCTCCCCTCACCAGCCTCCACTGATTTGTACTACATGGTATACGATGTGTAACTGCAATCTATTTTAAATGCATGTGGTTATGTTTTCTGTTCTGTGTGTGTGTGATGACTGCATACACACCACAGGAAGTTGGTGGCACCTTAATTGGGGAGGACAGGCTCGTGGTAATGGCTGGTGTGGAATCAGTGCAATGGTATCCAATACATCGAACCCATTAGTTTCCATGTGTTTGATGCTATTGGCGCTGTTCCAGCCATTATTATGTGTGTTTGTGTGTCCCCTCTGGCCTTTCCTCCAGTACTGTACCTGGTTCTGTGCGATCCAGCTCTCCTCCAGCTTGTTGCCGTGCTGTTGACACAGCATTACAGCCTTGTTGAGGATGGCGGTGGCCAGGGCCTCGTGTCCCGCCAGCAAGTACATGTAAGCTCTGAGGTGCAGCACCCGGGGCGCGTACATCTTGTTGGTTGAGTACTTCCGGTTGAACTCTGTGAAGTGCTGCATAAGAAATAATATGGCTATTAGGTCCGTTTCAGGAAAAACATTTATAATATGACCGTGTGACTTTTCTAAAATGTACATTATACACAACTGTGTGTGTGCGAGCATGTGTGTGTGGGCATGGGCACGTGAAGGCACGTGTGTGAGTGAGGGAGAGTGAGTGTGTGTGTGTGCGTGAGGGAGAGCTTGAGAGAAAGAAAGAGCGTCTGAGTATGTGCATGCATACATTTTAGTCATTTAGCAGATGCTCTTATCCAGAGCAATTAGGATTAAGTGCCTTGCTCAAGGGTACATCGACAGATTTTTCAACTAGTCGACTCAGGGATTTGAACCAGGAACCTTTCGGTTTCTGGCCCATCGCTCTTAACCGCTAGGCTACCTGTCGCTAGGCTACCTTCTGTGTGCTCTGGTAGATGGCTTTGATGTGTTGGTTGTGCTCCACCAGGGCCTTTCTGAACAGCAGCACATGACACTCCAGGAACATGACCACGCCGTTGATGGAGTGGATGGATGAGGGAGCCTGTTGGGTCACTCCACAGGCCTTGGTGTAGAAGAAACATGCCTTCTCCCACTCACACAGACGGGCATACCTAGGCCGAACGGGACACACACACAGACACACACACATAGAAACATACAGAAACATACATACAGACCACTTCTATGCTCGCTTCGAGGCAAGCAACACTGAAGCATGCATGAGAGCACCAGCTGTTCCGGATGACTATGTGATCACGCTCTCCGTAGCCGATGTGAGTAAGACTTTTAAGCAGGTCAACATTCACAAGGCCGCAGGGCCAGACGGATTACCAGGACGTGTACTCCGAGCATGTGCTGACCAACTGGCAAGTGTCTTCACTGACATTTTCAACATGTCCCTGACTGAGTCTGTAATACCAACATGTTTCAAGCAGACCACCATAGTCCCCGTGCCCAAGAACTCTAAGATAACCTGCCTAAATGACTACCGACCCGTAGCACTGACGTCTGTAGCCATGAAGTGCTTTGAAAGACTGGTCATGGCTCACATCAACAGCATAATCCCAGAAACCCTAGACCCACTCCAATTTGCATACCGCCCCAACAGATCCACAGATGATGCAATCTCTATCGCACTCCACACTGCCCTTTCCCACCTGGACAAGAGGAACACCTACGTGAGAATGCTATTCATTGACTACAGCTCAGCATTCAACACCATAGTGCCCTCTAAGCTCATCACTAAGCTAAGGATCCTGGGACTAAACACCTCCCTCTGCAACTGGATCCTGGACTTCCTGACGGGCCGCCCCCAGGTGGTAAGGGTAGGTAACAACACATCTGCCACACTGATCCTCAACACGGGGGCCCCTCAGGGGTGCGTGCTCAGTCCCCTCCTGTACTCTCTGTTCACCCATGACTGCATGGCCAGGCACGACTCCAACACCATCATTAAGTTTGCCGACGACACAACAGTGGTAGGCCTGATCACCGACAACGATGAGACAGCCTATAGGGAGGAGGTCAGAGATCTGGCCGTGTGGTGCCAGGACAACAACCTCTCCCTCAACGTGACCAAGACAAAGGAGATGATTGTGGACTACAGGAAAAAAAAGAGGACTGAGCACGCCCCCATTCTCATCGACGGGGCTGTAGTGGAACAGGTTGAGAGCTTCAAGTTCCTTGGTGTCCACATCACCAACGAACTATCATGGTCCAAACACACCAAGACAGTCGTGAAGAGGGCACGACAAAGCCTATTCCCCCTCAGGAGACTAAAAAGATTTGGCATGGGTCCTCAGATCCTCAAAAAATTATACAGCTGCACCATCGAGAGCATCCTGACTGGTTGCATCACCGCCTGGTATGGCAACTGCTTGGCCTCTGACCGCAAGGCACTACAGAGGGTAGTGCGTACGGCCCAGTACATCACTGGGGCAAAGCTCCCTGCCATTCAGGACCTCTATACCAGGCGGTGTCAGAGGAAGGCCCTCAAAATTGTCAAAGACTCCAGCCACCCTAGTCATAGACTGTTCTCTCTGCTACCGCACGGCAAGCGGTACCGGAGTGCCAAGTCTAGGTCCAAAAGACTTCTCAACAGCTTCTACCCCCAAGCCATAAGACTCCTGAACAGCTAATCATGGCTACCCGGACTATTTGCACTGCCCCCCCACCCCATCCTTTTTACGCTGCTGCTACTCTGTTAAGTATTTATGCATAGTCACTTTAACTCTACCCACATGTACATATTACCTCAACTAGCCGGTGCCCCCGCACATTGACTCTGCAACGGTACCCCCCTGTATATATAGCCTCCCTACTGTCACTTTATTTTACTGTATATATAGCCTCCCTACTGTCACTTTATTTTACTTCTGCTCTTTTTCTCTCAACACTTTTTTTGTTGTTGTTTTATTCTTACTTTTTTTGTTTAAAATAAATGCACTGTTGGTTAAGGGCTGTAAGTAAGCATTTCACTGTAATGTCTGCACCTGTTGTATTCGGCGCATGTGACCAATAAAATTTGATTTGATTTGATTTGATTTGAGACTGCAAAGATAGTAGGTTGGACTAGAGTATAGCTTCGGGCTGCATTTTGAAAGGCACACCATTGTAGAGCGTTCAGATAGAAATATGTTATGTAGAACAGAAATGCCTCTCTGGCATGTAGAGAAAAAAAATTATGTGCGCTCTATTCATAATATTTCTATCAGTCCACTCACCACAGAGCCAGAGCAGAGTAGAGGTTCATCATCAGACTCTTGTCAGCCACCAGGTTAGGGTCTGACTGGGACTCCTCCACAAAGGTGTAGCACTCCTCAAACGGACGGAAGGCAAAGCCTGGAACACACACCATGAGACCCAACCGATGGTAGTGGTCCTCTGTAGCTCAGCTGGTAGAGCATGGAGCTTGCAATGTCGGTTCGATTCCCGGGACCAACCATACGTAAAATGTATGCGCGCATGACTAAGCCGCTTTGGATAAAGGCGTCAGCTAAATGGCATTTATAATTATTACCCCTTAGTTCATTCACTAAGATATGTCCCAGTGATGGAATATCCAACTTGCCTGAGTAGAGCAGGAAGTCAAAGCAGCCTACATAGAACCAGCCTTTAGCTGTGCTGATGCGTGTCCTGTTTCCCTGGTACTCCAGACTCTGCATCAGCTGGACACACTCCTCATACCTGGGTATCATATTATTCAACAGTAGATAAAGCACAGATCCCAGTAAAAGAACCAACTAGAAGCAGTAGTCCTTCACCTCTGTGTGAGGAGGAGGGGTGTGTGAAGGACAGTGATCACCAACATGTCCGGGCCCCGGCGGTTCGTCAGCTTGCTGATTTTCTCTGCTCGGAGACCTGAGAAGTAGAACTTCTTTCACTACTGAAACTTTTTAGCTATAAATGTTTTCTCTGTCCGTCTGTCTGTTTGTCTGTCTGTCTCGCTTGCTTGCTTACACACTTGTTTAAAACCGAACACACACTACCTCACCAATGCAACACACACACACTCCCCTCCTCACCATACTGGATGGAGTCGTGCAGGGCTCCAGAGCAGAGCTTGACAATGGAGAGGGTACGTATGAAGTAGCTGGTGAGGGTCAGGCCCTCCATGCAGTCAGACAGCTCAACAAAGTTTCCACACAGCATCCTTTCATAGCTCTTACACTGGTCGTCCAGACCACTCAGCTGGCAGTACTGGAGGTAGTCGATGCAGGAGAAGATGATCTAGACAGAGGAGATGTGTCTGTGAGTGAGAGGGACGTCAAAGAGTGTATGGGTGACTGTATACCAGGGTTCCCCAACTGGCTGCCCGCGGGTGGTTTTATTTGGCCCCCAAGTTTTGTGAGCAAAATTTAAGTAATATATACACACTACCAGTCAAAAGTTTGGACACACCTACTCATTCAAGGGTTTTTCTTTATTTTAACTATTTTTTACATTGTAGAATAATAGTGAAGACATCAAAACTATGAAATAACACATATGGAATGATGTAGTAACACAAAAAGTGCTAAAATAGCCACTCTTGGTATTCTCTCAACCAGCTTCATGAGGTAGTCACCTGGAATGCATTTCAATTAACAGGTGTGCCTTCTTAAAAGTTAATTTGTGGAATTTATTTCCTTCTTAATGCGTTTGAGCCAATCAGTTATGTTGTGACAAGGTAGGGGGGGGGGGGGGGGGGGGGGTATACAGAAGATAGCCGTGTCTTTGTGAGACGCGGTGTGGGTGAACGGATGATCTCCGCATGTGTATTTCCCACCGTAAAGGTGTTATGGTGTGGGGGTGCTTTGCTGGTGACACGGTCTGTGATTTATTTAGAATTCAAGGCACACTTAACCAGCATGGCTACCACAGCATTCTGCAGCGATACGCCACCCAATCTGGTTTGGGCTTAGTGGGACTATCATTTGTTTTTCAACAGGACAATGACCCAACACACCTCCAGGCTATGTAAGGGCTATTTTACAAAGAAGTAGAGTGATGGAGTGCTGCATCAGATGACCTGGCCTCCACAATCCCCCGACCTCAACCCAAATGAGATGGTTTTGGGATGAGTCAGACAGCAGATTGAAGGAAAAGCAGCCAACAAGTGCTCAGCATATGTGGGAACTCCTTCAAGATTGTTGGAAAAGCATTCCAGGTGAAGCTGGTTGAGAGAATGCCAAGAGTGTGCAACGCTGTCATCAAGGCAAAGGGTGGCTATTTGAAGAATCTCAAATATAAAATATATTTGGATTAGTTTAACACTTTTTTTGGTTACTACATGATTCCATATGTGTTATTCCATAATTTTGATGTCTTCCCTATTATTCTACAATGTAGAAAATAGTAAAAATCAACCCTGGAATGAGTAGGTGTGTCCAAACTTTTGACTGGTATATATATTGTTGGACATAATAGACTAAAAAACACCAGGAAATCAACTCCAAGTGATTTTAATAAACATGTTCCTAAGTATTGCCACGCATAATAGAGAGAAACGTGATCATATACAAATGTAAGCAAGGTTTGAAATGATTATGTTTTAGTCAAACATTATACAGTATCTGTTTGGACTTTTGGCCATCCGCTCAAGAAAAAAAAATGGCCCGCGGCTGAATCTAGTTGATGATCCCTACTGTATTTTTTTTTCCCCCCTACCTCTCTCTCTCTCTCTCTCTCTCTCTAGTGTTCGAGATTTCCATTGACTGAACAAACCCATTTTTGAGCCCTCGTTTTCCTGTAGAAACCAGAGAAGCAGAGTAAACAACCACCTTGTTCTCCTCTGCAGTCCTCTGGGCTGAGTTCATCTCCATAGTGATGGCCAGCGATGCGTTGAGCATGTCCTTGGGCGCTCTCCTCATGCAGCCGATCTGCCACATGTACGACAGACAGCAGACCTGCTCGTGGAGGAACGCCAGCTTCTTCTCTCTTTGGACCAAGACAATAACAATAACAACACCTAAACAAAAGGTAGCACACTATTGTAAGATCCATTCAATTGTTTGTGGAGCATCTACATCACCAGTGTGCTAGAGTATTTTTTTGTTGTTGTAAGTATTATTTTTTTATATTTAAAAGATACTGTGAGGTAAATGCAAATAAATGCTGAATTTGATGACAATAGTAGGTTGTGGTATGTTGTCGTCAATACATTGAAAATAGCTGATTTTAGAATGCCTGCTCTCTATAAAAGATGTATATTAATTTGTTTAATCTTTATCTGTACAGGTGCTTGTTGAATATAGAACACACCCAGGGTTGTCAAAGTTCTTGGATCTGCAGCACAGACTCTTCATCTTCTCACAGACGTACTTCAGGGACACGGCCACGCGGTTCGTAGGGAGACGTCTGTTCAGGAGCCGTAGGGCGCTGGCAAACATGCTCTCAGCCTCCTCCATTTGGCCCGTGTTGTACAACACCTATATGTACAATAAACAGTACACTTTAGTTTGAGAAAAGCGCTATTTTGTATAAATGCAAATCATTATTATCCTTTTCGATTATAAATAACATTTAAGTGAACTCCTACCTCCCCTCTGAGACGGAAAACACAGGCTCTCTCAAAGTTGTTGATTTTCCCTTTGACTTTCGGGTCGGCAGTCTCAAAGGCTGGCTTGCCCACTTTCAGATTGTCTAGTATGATTTTAGCTTCGTTTAAATAGGACAGGGCCTGTGAAAGAGAGAGTATTTCTGTATGAGAGCGAACAGATCAGAAAAGAGTGTAAAGGACACACACACACACACACACACCTTGAGGTTGTTGGAGAGGAAGGCCGAGGCTGCGGCGGTCTCTAGCAAGTAATAGAAGGTTTTGGGCACGTCGCCCACGCCCGTGCAGTGGCGCACCATGGGGCACAGAACACACTCCATCACCTGGGCACACCTACACTTCCTGCTTCTGTCCACTGTGGTCTTGTACTCATCCACCCTAGAATCCAGTTTCAACAAGAACTCGTCCTCCTCACTGACGCACGCAAACACACAAATACATTTGTTATGGAATCAGCCCACTTGTAATACTGGCCAGCTGATCTGGGACCAGGGGTAGAGTATAAAATCTTACCTGTTGGGATGCAAAGGGCTGACCTGGTTCAGTTGTATAGTCTCTGAGAGGTGGAGAGGAGAACAACCCCAACAGCACCCGTCAAATCAACCCTCAATGGTTACTTAGATCAGTTGGTTACAGCATCACAATTGTCAATCTGCATGAGCGTTTGTGTGAAGTGTTTGTGTGTGCGAGCATGAGTGTTTGTGTCTGTCTCTCAGGGAGTGTTTGTGTCTGTTTCTCAGGTTGCGTGCGTTTCTCTAGCGGAGAAGTCAGTGGGCCCATCACTCACCCTTGGGGAGCCCCAGTGTGCTTTGGCCCAGGAACAGGGCTTCCCCAGACTCTTGTATGTTGAGCAAACTCGGGTGGATCTCGATGAGGTTGTTCCCTATGGCCGCCTTGTGGCCGAAGATGAACTCGGCCATGCCGCAGTCCCTGCAGCGGTGGGCCTGCTTGAGGAGGTAGCTGGCACATTTCTGGTGGATCTCTCTCTTCTGCTCTTTCAGCCACAGCTCGTAGGCTGTCTCCTTGACCAGGGCCGTGCAGAAACGCATCACCCTGCAGCGCCACACTCCGTCCACAGAGGCCTTGCCTGACACTTCTGAGAGGGGGGCGAAGTAGGAAGGGACAGATGGGAGATAGAAATATAAATGAGAGTGGGAGAGAGATTTGGGGAGAAGAAGGTAGAGAGAGTCAGAGAGGAGACAGAGAGAGGTAGAGAGAGTGAAAGTTCTCCTTGTCTGTGTTAGCTTCAGCTCCACTACCGACCTTCACGGATATCTTCTTGGCTGTCCTGGACACAGTAGCAGTTGAGCGCGCCCCAGCACTCCGACTCCTTGGTGAGCTGCTGGGTGAACTGCTTGGGCTTGGAGCCGCACTCAAACGTGCCCGACTTGAACAGGGAGGTGAGCGACAGGTTGAGCTTGTCGTGGTTTTCTGACTCTGGCAGGATGTTGATGAGCATCTGCGTGGTGATGGTGTGGCCGATGATGGCAGCACACTTCACCACCATCTGGTCCGCCGGCTGCAGGTGGTCTAGGTGGGCCAGGGCCATGCCTGAATAGAATTCACTTTTATTAGTAGCTCAGTTGGTAGAGTATGGCGCTTACAACGCCAGGATAGTGGGTTTGATTCCCGGGACCACCCATATGTAAAATGTATGCATGCATGACTAAGTCGCTTTGAATAAAAGTGTCCGCTAAATAGCATATATTATTATTATTATTATTATTAGTAGGCCTATAGCCATGCCTGAACAGAAAACATCCTTAATGAGGTTTATGTTTTATTTATGAGTCATTTCTATCAAATAAGACTCCTGAGATGAGGTTGTATTGTGTTTGGGGGCAGAATGCAGGAACCCTGTACTATACCTTTCAATGTCAGAGGGATGGGAACTTCGTGGAATTTGGCAGCTTCTCCGACAAAACAGACCAAAGCGCGGTCAACAAAATGGTCCAGGGCTGTGATCTTGCGAGATTTCAACATGGATGCCTTGGGTGGCCCTGCAACATTAAACAGTGTTTCACAAACATGGGTGTTGATTGGCTGGGAGACATGCCACTCATATTCTCAGCCAATTCGTCTGTCTGTTTCACAGACAAGGGTGTTAATAGGCCGGGAGACCTGCCCACTCAGACATTTTCAACCAACAGATCCATCTTCCTACCCAGCGCTCCGGCCCTGGCGTCCTCCTCTTGCCACACCTGGCTGGGTTTGGAGCAGTGTACCACCAGGGTGGGCTCAGGGAACAGGATGTCTATGTCTTTAGCCTCATCCTCCTTCTCCACCTCCTCCATCACGATCAGATTGCCCAGATACAGACTCTTCAAGAGCTCCTCACAGTAGTATGGAACTCCATGGCTTCTCTCCACCAGGAACCTATAAAACAGATTACACTTTTAACTCCGGCTTCTTCTGTGAGATATTCATGTACTGAGACAATGACAGCCTTAGAATGAGTCTTCAAAAAATTGCTATACAGTCAACAAGCCAATTCAAAAGTGTACATTTAAATAAATTACTTTTTACTTCCTCTGGATATTGATGCTTCAGTTTAGTTTAAGTATTCAAACAGTCCCAACTCCCAAGCCATTGCCTTTGAGGAGTCAAAGGTCAAATGGGGGTGCTTATATTTGTCCTGTTTCACTGTATGTACCTGAACGTGTGTGAGGTGTGAAACTCCCAGCTCCCCAAGACACCCTCTGAGAGTCGATATGTGTAATGTATGTATATTCACACAGTGTGTGTGTGTGTATTAGTTTGTGCGTGTCTCTTTGTATACACGTACAGCTCCACCTCGCTAGGGATGCGGACCACCCCCAGGATCTGGCAGGCTAGCTGGGCGATGACAGGGGGCTCCAGCCCAGGCAGGTTGAGGTAGAGGGTCCGGGGGTCCTTGATGATGCGGCTAAGCTCTGGGAAGGCCCCGCTCTGACTGGTGTGGGGGAGGAGGGCCATACACAACAGAACCGAGGCTCTTTTACATGCTTCGAGCAGGAAGGCCCATGAGGCTTGATCCACAAAGTGAGCCTGGTCCAGCACGTACACGCACGGCTCCTCCTCGGCAAACTGGACAGACCACACACACACGGTTATCATGAATCAATTGAATTCTAAGTAATCAAACAATCAACTGCCACCTAAGTCATGTTGTTGCATCATCCACGTTATTTTCATCCACAGTACCTTGCAAAACAACTCCAGAAAGTAGTTCCTCATCTTCTTGTTCTTCGTTTGACTGTCCATGAGTGACACATCCTTCGACACAGGAAACTAAAAGCATAGAACAGATCTTACAGGAAAATACCCATCTACCCTCGTTAGCTACTACGAAACTGAATAATAACTTTTAGAAAAGCAACGTTCAGAGATCCCACCTACCTTGACTAACAGGATATCATTGAGAAGGCAGAGGTTCTGCCTCATCTTTGAGTCTAGGATCTTGGAGAGGAGGACTCTCTCTCGCTCAGCGTAGCTCTTACAGTTCTGAACTGACATGACGATGGCCAGTAGGGTCTGGAGAGCGTAGTTGGACTGCTTGATGTCTGTCTTGGCCAGCTCAAACGAGATCACTCTGAAAGATAGGAGACAGAAGAAATGCTTTCCAATCGCCCATTGTTGACGTCCATGTTTCTTTGTCACTACTGGGGTTGACTTACGATTAAATTAAACGACCACAGCTTGGGATACAGCACATATTTGTTGTATTGATATGTAATAAATAATTGAGTCAACTATCAACTAGCCTGGTGTCAGATCTGTTTGTGCATTTGGCATGACCATCGTAGTTGCCAAGACCTGATCAAGACCAGGCTAACTAACAGCTGGCACTGACCTGACTCCATCCTTGGCTGTTCTGTAGACCACCTCAGCCAGCAGGCGGCTCTTGCCATAGCCGATAGGTCCCTCGTAGATCAAAACATTGTTGTAGTTCTTGTGACCGGCTGCCCTGGCCTCCAAGAAGCCCTTCAGCACGCTGGAGTACACTTCAATTTCTTTCTCTCGGCCTAGGGAGGATTTGAGCGCAACATATCATTCAAATAAATGTGATCTTCCACGATGAATGCATGTCATTCATAATCATCAATACTAGAGAAAACTCACCTAAAAGAGGATATCCCTCCTCTCTCTCAACGGACATAGGTGCTTTACCAACAGTTCTGGAGATGAGATTTTGTTTTATAAGCATGTATGAACCTTTATCATTTCTTATTACAATTAATTATCTGACATGACAATAGTACGGTGCTCAATATGAAAGTGAGTATGAGTCATGAGTTAATGGACTATAATGATGTTGGTCATATCAGATGGTCGTACATCTGATGTTTGTTGGCCATGAACTGATATAGGGCTCCAGGGTTCTTGACTCCCTTCATGGCTTTCTTGGGCAGCTCGTTGAAGTAAAACGCGGGCAGTTTTGAGTAGTAGCAAGTCTCGCTGTCACATGACACCATCCCGGGGTAGTGCATCATCAGTCGTGCCGCCAGGTTCACCTTACGACCAATCACTAACGGCAAAGGACACAGAGATAGAGTTCAGTTCCTAGGTCAAACTTGTACAAAATCTGAACATAATAGTATGCGAGTTAAAATAATATAAAATAGGCTACAACAAGTAGCTGTAATAGTCAGTTGCAGTGGCAAAGCACAGTTCCACCTGAGAGTTCAAGAGGATGTCAAGGGGGACTGTACCTGTGTATTCATGCCTCACAGGATGTCCTACTACACCACAGAACACTGGGCCTGTGGTTACTCCAACAGAGACAGTCCTGTTTGACAACATTGGACCTTTTGTTAACTATACGCTGCATTCAAACAACCTACACACAAAACTACTGTATATGCAAAGCATTTTCAGGAAATGCAATCTGCAACATATTGCACTCAAGTTTAATACAGATGTAGGATCTTAATTTGAGCCATTTTGCTAGAGCAGGAAAATAGTCCTTTAGCAACAGGAAATGTGAATTATTATGTGGATTATAATTAATGGAAATTTTTTTGGACTTGATACATTTTGCGTAAGGGAAAATCAAGTCTGAAATTTCAAAGTGGAAATTACAAACTTAAGAAGCCTTTTTAAAACTCAAATACACTACAAGTTTAAAAACGTCCTGCATTGCAGGAAAATTATCCTGCAACAGGGTGATCAAATTAAGATCCTACATCTGTAGTGTGATAAACCGTAAAGGCATGTGGTCCTAGAATATTAGGATCAAATGGACCTTACTTGAGGCTGCGGATCTCTTTTTGGCAAAGGTCATGTACTCCATAGGCAGCCTGTAAGGCGTGGGCACTCTCATCCTCCCGCTTGTCCCCAGGCAGCCCAAACAGACAGAGGAAAGTACAGCCCTGCAACAAACTCCTTGTTATTTAAAAACATACAGGGGATTTGACTGAAGAAGAGAGTCTTGGTGAGTGCACCTATTGTTTATGTTTCTGGTTGGTTGTATTTGTAGTTTGTCTGTTGCCACTGGGAACAGAGAACTGCTGAGGTGTATTCATTAGTTCACACCGTACCAAAACATTTAGCAAAATAGTGTTTCTTATTGGACAACTTCAGGTTAGTCCCTCCCCGTTTCAGCCTGTTTTCTTTCATTTGGTTCCTAGTGAATAAACCCCCAGGATTCCACCTTGAATGAACCACTAACTGACCTTGTCGAACATGAACACTTTGTTGACCCTCCCGTGGTGCTTGACTATCTGCTGACCGATGCCAATGGCGGCCTGGTGGATGGTCATACACTGCTCCTGGTCACTCTCTCCTCCCTTGAACTGCATGTTGACAAACACTATGGTGGCCGGACGCATCTCAGACAGATACTCCAGAGGCTGGTCGTCATCTATCTAATGAGGGAGTAGAGGTCAGAGTAGAAAACCATGGCTACGTTCCAAGGACCATACTAGCATACTTATTAGAACGTATGCTCAATACATTTCTTAATTCTAGGTAAGTAGTAGTGTGGACATTAAAACAGAGCCTACATTCATACATTCACAAATACATAGTGATTCTGATTTTGCTATTGTAAAGAATGAGGACGGTAGTAGCTAGGTTCTTACTTTCTGCAAAACCGTTTTCATTATGTACTTCCGAAAAGTTTTCTCAAGCTCGGCGTTTGGCATCAGTCGAGATGCTTTCCTCACACAATCTGTAGACCAGAAAAAGGACTGGTTAGGATGTTACAACACAACCATGCAAGCAGAAATATCATAGGCTGATATCTAGCTACTCTCTTTACTGTACCTCTTGTCACGTTTTCATGCTCTACATGCGTTCCTATTGATTCCTGGTACTTCTCAACAGAAAAACGGGGCTCTCGTTTGATGTATCGCACCTGCATTGAATGACCCTCATTCACATAGTCATCTAGCAACCACCTGCCTAATTGAAACTGCATTCGTCATAACTGTATCCATCAATACATCCATCCACCAACCCCCTTCCCCGTCCTCCCACACACACCTTCACGGCTCTCTCATTCTCTATGGGGTCAATGGCGATGTTGTCCCTTTCACATAGTTCCCAGGCGTTAGGTGACAAGATGATTGTGCTGGCCACCGCCAACCCCTCTGCCAGCCGTACCTCGTCCACCGCCCGGCCAATCACCACAAAGTACTGACTGATCTCGTCTCCTACGATCACCTTGGAGAGCTTCCCAGCAGATATCCCTTGGGACAGCAGAGAAGGGGTATCATATTCGGGGTTCTAGTTGCCTATAAAGTCAAGTGTAGCCGGATAATCAGGGCCCAAATTCACAAAGCGTAGAGTACTGATCTAGGATCAGGTCCCCCCTTATTCATTATGATTTAAAAGGCAAAACTGATCCTAGATCTGCACTCTTTGTGAATACGGGCCCTGGTGTTATGGCACAAACATGTCTCTCTGTCTGTATGAGACTCAGAAATGCACCTATTTTAACTTTTAGCTGACAGCCCACTTCTGTCTCCCGGACACCACACTGGTCCTGGATGTTGAGGCTGCATTTGACCACCAGGGAGATTACTTCACTGAGCTGGATCCTCTCCACCGTCCATAGAGCCAAGATGGCATCGCCTGTGATAAAATGTTGTTTGGCCATGATGAGTAGAGAAGTACTGTAGCTAGGAATTGTGATCATGGTGAATCTGTGTCTCAATGCTGAGAGGGAAGCCAATTGTTACCTGCATAATTCAGAATGTCTCCCCCAGCATCAAGGATGTCTGAAATACAGGGAACAAAGCATTGCTTGGTAACTACATTTTTTTTGGACTAAGTTAACTAACGGTACATAACGTTAGATTGATATTGTATTGCTTTAACTTAATGAAACCATAGCTAACTTACGACTGACTATTTCCCCAATGTAGCTGTTGAGTGTGCGTGTCAACTCGTCTGCTCCATAGCCTTTCTTGCTACTCAAACTGAACTTCTCAGTCAGATTAGTGAAACCTAAAAAATATACAAAATGGATTAGTTGACTTCTAGCTAGTGGGTTAGCTAACGTTAGCTAGCTAGTTTCTAAATTTAGATCGAAAGGGAATTCTAGCTCATGTTAGCTAGCGAGATAGCTAACGTAGCTAGCTAACAGATTAGTTTGCCTGATACATCCGCGAAGAGAAGGACTCCATGAAAGTTCTCTGCGTAGGGGATATCGTTGGTGAGGGTGCTGTAGACAACTAGATCAGGTACGTGGGCAGCTATTTTGCTTATTTTGTACGAGTCCTCGGTCTCACCCTCTCCCTTTATCCAACCCATTTTATCTGTAGTTTAGGGGCACCATGTTTTTCCGTTGAGCGAATCTGAACGGTCGTTTTTTCCGTGAACGTTCTAGAATTCAGATTTGTAGTACACATTCTGGTTCACCAATTCACGCTATTATTAGTATTTCATTATAACTAAAAACGTTACTTGAATGCCATGCATTTCGGTTTCTGAACCATGGACAGTTTCTTTGAGATGCACAACCACAGTTTTCAACTCTAGTCTAGTACACAGACTACTATCATTGGCACAACAGTTTAATGTTGACAGGTTTTCTTTTCAGCACCATGAACTGAAATATTTGGAATTCCATTGGTATGGACGCATGGCTAGTCAAAAATATGATACAACAAACACAATGAAATAGTTTATTTTTGCAGAGCAGGTTTTGATACATATGGGATAAAAACCAAATTCACACACAAGTTACCAGATAGTTTATCACATTATATCTGAGTTTTTAACATGTTCTCTTTTTTTAAACATTACAAATATAGAAAATAATGTTAATTTATAGAAAAATATTTGTATAATTTGACAACTGACCTGATGCATAAATGCACCAAAAAGTTAAGGAAGAATACATAATGTGTTTTTTTATTATCACATTATGTAGAGTAAACAATCTAAGAATTTCCAACATTGTATCAACGTTACAACAATGCTAAGCAGTATGGCTTTTTACTATGGCTTTTAGTTTTTGTCAAGGCTTATCATTTGTAGCACAGTATCCAAGTTTCTCTTGAACAAGGAAGCGTTTGTCTTCTTTCAATGATCTTCTTGACGTTTGTTACTGAAATAAACATAGGGGAATTATCAGACCGTGACACCATACAGTAACACAGTTTAGTGTGAGAGAGAGAGAGATACAGAGAAAAAGGGTGTGACAACAACAAATTATTGATCAAATATTGATGTAAGCAATACATGCTGGTTTCACTCCATTGACAAACTTGTCTAAAATGGCACCATATTCACTCGTTCTAATCAGAGCCCTAGTGCACTATATAGGGAATAGGGTGCCATTTCATACGCTTCTGGTTGTGTTCTGATGTCTACCTTTTCCCTGAGGGTTTGGAGGTCATGACCCAGAGTAAATACTCTTTGGCGGCCATGCTGTCTAGGACCTTGTTCACGTCGCTGGTGAAGCTTCCATCTACATGTCTTCTGCTCATTGGATCATTCCCCCTGCTCTCCTCAGCAGATCTAGGTACAATACACAAGATAACACACACTTGTCAGTGGTTCCACACACAATTCTTCTATACACAATTACCAACCATGTTGGGTTCAACTTTTAGTCGGCTGAAGCAAGAATACACATTTTTTTCAGGAAATGTACCCTTTTCTAGTTGCGCATTATGACTATTGGATGATTTATGAAGTAGTGATCTGTAGCTGTAGTGATTCATTAGAGGACACCTTGGTTCCCTGAACAGGTGTTTATGCACACAGTAACTGTGTGATACGCTCTCTTCCAACCCAGTCAACACAGTCATCCGAGGGGCAAATATCAATAAATGTATCAATAAATGCAGAGCATAGTTTCATGGGATTTATTGGGCACGACCACATGAAATGTCAACACAGGCCTTAAGAAAGCAACGGTGCGGCAATGGATCAATTAGCTAAGTAGTTGATTATCTTTTCTCTCTCTCTTCTTCTCGCGTTAGACATGACACACACTATGTTGGTACGGTAGGGTGAAGGGAAGCCTACTCTCGTCTGGCCCGTCCTGATTTGAGCCAGGACACAAAGTCCTTGGCCGCCTGGTCCTGTAGGTAGGTGCTCACGTCACTGGTGTAGGTCCCGTCGGCATGGCGTTTGGATGGAGCACTAGATGGGGATAGAGAGGAAATGGTGTGATGGATACGAAACTCCATTCAACCAATGATAGTACTGTGACATCATTCTGGCTCAGGTAAAATGGCCTCTGAGTTCTTATAACTGTTTTTCACTAACTTTGCTAGTAAAAAACTTAAATATTGTATTTTAAGTGTTTGTATTGATATAAAAGTTGAGGATAAGTTGATAATGAAAATGGATGGGTGCTATTAGTTTCAAAGTGATGAGTAGTGTTAATAACATCAAGTTACTTTGTTTGACTTGGAAGGACTCTGTATATGAATATGTTGCTACATGACTATCCTTTCTCTGTATGTGCAAACAATGCCATAATATACATGGTGCTTTAGACAAACATTTTGGGATGAAGTTTAAATCTGTAATTTCTCCCTCCAAATCTTTGATTGTTCAACTCAAGATATACAGTATTCATCCCAGTAAAAGTTTCTAAAAGACTGAACTGTTCTTGTTCTCATTAAGAAAAATATATTATAATTTCTCCACCCCACAGTATCATACCAGTCATAAGCCAAAAAATATATAATATTACTCTGTTGAAACACTCACCCACTCCTCTTGGAGTTCATAAGCCATTGAACAAAGTCCTGAGCCCGCCTATCTTCCTGGTATTTACTGTAGTCGTTAGAGAAGGTTCCCTCTGAATGTCTCTTCACGTTAGACACGCCCCTCAAAGCCTTCAATAGTGAGTCTGCTGTCTCTAAGCTACAGGAGAAGAAGAATCTTTCATGCTGAAATTATGCTGATAGATGCCTCATTATAGTCTAATTTTGATTGACATTTGCTGTTGGATACATGTACATTATGTGTTAAACACTAGTCATTCCGTCTGTATCTTACAAGCTCATACTTTACGTTGATACTGTACCTTGTGTGCTTTTTTCCTATGATATGTTCTGAAAATATTTGTTAAAATATCCCATGGAAAATTGGTATCATTTCCCCCCCATGTAAAATATAACGTTTTCGAGCTGTACCTTGAGTTGTCCTCAGCCTCTTGTAGAGGGACCTGCCAACTGCTCTGTATGATGACCAGGAGGAGAAGACCAGCCAGGGAGTGGATGGCAAACATTGTGACCTGCAGACAGAACCACAAGTGAGTAGCCGAAGACAGACATAAGTCCATTTTACATTGAGAAGCAAAATGCTCCATATCAATCATACATCCGTTGACAAAATCAAAGGTTTTGATACTCAGTTGTTCACAATGGAAAAACTCAACCAGTTTTAAAATATAGATTTTCCAAAAAAAATCCTAAATCAATCCAGACGTGTCCTGGCTGCAAGCAACTCACCTGTTCCTGTTAATGTGCGGGTAGATGAGAAGAAATGTGTGTCTGAGAGTGAGTGATCCTCTGCTTCAGTCCTGGTTCCTTGTGGTTGTATCTTGTTGACCTGACTGGCTGTGGGAGTCTTATATAGCATGGACATAAGGCCGGGTCTGTTCAGGTGGCCCAATCCTCCCACTCTCCCACTCTGTTACACCCATTTGTTACTCTCAATCCATTACACATAGGGCCCGTTTGGTTGCATTGGATCAACTCGCGATGAAACGTTTGTTTAAAAAGAAGATGTGGCAGTATCTATGCGAGAAAACAGCTGTCACTTAGGTGTAGAAATCAAACAAGATGACATCCTGTCAAATAGTGTGTGTGTGTGTGTGATATTTACTGTAAATGGGAAGCTGAGTCAGTGTTTGTGGATATTATTAACTATGATCGAATCAGAGATGGAAAATAGATTTTCTTTTTTAAGACAAGGACATTTCCATTGTTTGCCAGATCAAAATAAGGGCCCTGTTGATCATCCCCTTTTGGATAACATGAATTCATGTGTTATTAAATGCCTATACCTGCATTACCATTTAGTAAATGTACTTATAAACCATTTTCAGATGATATGAAATTATTATATCAAATTAAAGTAATTTAGATTTTGATTATACAGTGGCTTGCAAAAGTATTCATCCCCCTTGGCGTTTTTCCTATTTTGTTTCATTACAACCTGTAATTTAAATGGATTTTTATTTGGATTTCATGTAATGGACATACACAAAATAGTCCCAAGTTGGTGAAGTGAAATGAAATAAATAACTTGTTTCAAAAAATTCTAAAAAATAAATGACGGAAAAGTGGTGCGTGCATATGTATTCACCCCCTTTGCTATGAAGCCCATAAATAAGATCTGGTGCAACCAATTACCTTCAGAAGTGCGCAATCTAAGTGTCACATGATCTGTCACATGATCTCAGTATATATACACCACTAAGCAAGGGGCACCACCAAGCAAGCGGCACCATGAAGACCAAGGAGCTCTCCAAACAGGTCAGGGACAAAGTTGTGGAGAAGTACAGATCAGGGTTGGGTTATAAAAAAATATCAAAAACTTTGAACATCCCACAGAGCACCATTAAATCCATTATTAAAAAATGGAAAGAATATGGCACCACAACAAACCTGCCAAGAGAGGGCCGCCCACCAAAACTCACGGACCAGGCAAGGAGGGCATTAATCAGAGAGGCAACAAAGAGACCAAAGATAACCCTGAAGGAGCTAAAAAAGCTCCACAGCGGAGATTGGAGTATCTGTCCATAGGACCACTTTAAGCCGTACACTCCACAGAGCTGGACTTTACTGAAGAGTGGCCAGAAAAGCCATTGCTTAAAGAAAAAAATAAGCAAACACGTTTGGTGTTCGCCAAAAGGCATGTGGGAGACTCCACAAACATATGGAAGAAGGTACTCTGGTCAGATGAGACTAAAATTGAGCTTTTTGGCCATCAAGGAAAACGCTATGTCTGGCGCAAACCCAACACCTCTTATCACTCCGAGAACACCATCCCCACGGTGAAGCATGGTGTTGGCAGCATCATGCTGTGGGGATATTTTTCATTGGCAGGGACTGGGAAACTGGTCAGTATTGAAGGAATGATGGATGACGCTAAATACAGGGAAATTCTTGAGGGAAACCTGTTTCAGTCTTCCAGAGATTTGAGACTGGGATGGAGGTTCACCTTCCAGCAGGACAATGACCCTAAGCATTCTGCTAAAGCAACACTCGAGTGGTTTAAGGGGAAACATTTAAATGTCTTGGAATGGCCTAGTCAAAGCCCAGACCTCAATCCAATTGAGAATCTGTGGTATTGTGTATTGCTGTACACCAGCGGAACCCATCCAACTTGAAGGAGCTGGAGCAGTTTTGCCTTGAAAAATGGGCAAAAATCCCAGTGGATAAATGTGCCAAGCTTGTAGAGACATACCCCAAGAGACTTGCAGCTATAATTGCTGCAAAAGGTGGCTAATCAAATAAAACATATTTTATATTTGAGATTCTTCAAATAGCCACTCTTTGCCTTGATGACAGCTTTGCACACTCTTGGCATTCTCTCAACCAGCTTCACCTGAAATGCTTTTCCAACACTCTTGAAGGAGTTCCCACATATTCTGAGAACTTGTTGGCTGCTTTTCCTTCACTCTGCCATCCGACTCATCCCAAACCATCTCAATTGGGTTGAGGTTGGGGGATTGTGGAGGCCAGGTCATCTGATGCAGCACTCCATCACTCTCCTTCTTGGTAAAATAGCCCTTAAAAGCCTGGAGGTGTGTTGAGTCATTGTCCTGTTGAAAAACAAATGATAGTCCCACTAAGCCGAAACCAGAATGGATGGCGTATCGCTGAAGAATGTTGTGGTAGCCATGCTGGTTAAGTGTGCCTTGAATTCTAAATAAATCACAGACAGTGTCACCAGCAAAGCACCCCCACACCATAACACCACCTCCTCCATGCTTTATGGTGGGAACTACACATGCGGAGATCATCCGTTCACCCACATCGCGTCTCATAAAGACACGGCGGTTGGAACCAAAAAATCTCAAATTTGGACTCCAGACCAAAGGACAGATTTCCACCGGTCTAATGTCCATTGCTCGTGTTTCTTGGCCCAAGCAGGTCTGTTCTTCTTATTGGTGTCCTTTTAGTAGTGGTTTCTTTGCAGCAATTTGACCATGAAGGCCTGATTCACACAGTCCCCTCTGAACAGTTGATGTTGAGTTGTCTGTTACGTGAACACTGTGAAGCATTTATTTGGGCTGCAATTTCTGAGGCTGGTAACTCTAATAAACTTATCCTCTGCAGCAGAGGTAACTCTGGGTCTTCCATTCCTGTGGCGGTCCTCACGAGAGCAGGTTTCATCATAGTGCTTGATGGTTTTTGCGACTGCATTTGAAGAAACTTTCAAAGTTCTTGAAATGTTCCGTATTGACTGACCTTCATGTCTTAAAGTAATGATGGACTGTCGTTTCTCTTTGCTTATTTGAGCTGTTCTTGCCATAATATGGACTTGGTCTTTTACCAAATAGGGCTATCTTCTGTATACCCCCCACCTTGTCACAACACAACTGATTGTCTCAAACGCATTAAGAAGGAAATCAATTCCACAAATTCACTTTTAAGAAGGCACACCTGTTAATTGAAATGCATTCCAGGTGACTACCTCATGAAGCTGGTTGAGAGAATGCCAAGAGTGTGCAAAGCTGTCATCAAGGCAAAGGGTGGCTATTTGAAGAATCTCAAATATAAAATATATTTTGATTTGTTTAACACTTTTTTGGTTACTACATGATTCCATATGTGTTATTTCATAGTTCTGATGTCTTCACTATTATTCTACAATGTAAAAAAATGTAAAAATAAAGAAAAGCCCTTGAGTGAGTAGGTGTGTCCAAACTTTTGAATGGTAGTGTAGATTTAAACACATTTATTGAAACAGTAGACACAGACACTGTAGGTACAAAGGTCTTCCAAGATTCCCTCTATAAAAACATACAGTATATTTGTGAAATATAAACCAATATAATGTATGGACATTAATGTTGATACCTCATAAATAAAACAGTGCAATCAAGGCCCATTGATAGATACAAGTCAGACAGGCTTAGTCACTGGCTGTTAAGTTCTCACAAAGCTCTTTGGTATTTCAATATAATCACATCCTTCATTTAAAATGTAACCTCGTAACTCACAGTTTTTTAATAACTTTATAGAGAGAGGAGTTTCAGCACCTTTGGTCTTTTGGAGTATATATTTGGGAACTGGCTCAAACAACTTTAATAGGACAGGGAAACGTTCAATTACATTTACATCATTTAGCAGACGCTCTAATGCAGAGCTATTTACACGAGCAATTACGGTTAAGTGCCTTGCTCAAGGGCACATCAACAGATTTTTCACCTAGTTGGCTCGGGATTCAAACCAGCGACCTTTTGGTAACTGGCCAAACGGTCTTAACTGCTAGGCTACCTGCTGTCCAAATTAATTGCAAATGAATTTGGGGCAGTTTGGTTATCGTTGGGCAAGCATCAGGGCAGGTTGGGCATCATTTGTTCGAATGACATCAGGCAAAGCACTTCTGGAGGAAGTGACTCATGTGGGTATAGACATGCTGATTGGCTGAACCATCAAGACCATGGTCCTTGTCCGTGTACCACTGTAGTAAAGGGATAGAAAGAAGGAATTAGCACAGATCATTTGTTTATTGAAAAAGTGTTTTCATTGAGCAGGTTCATTGAGGTTTAAAGCTCTACAACCACTGATTGTGTAGATAACTCATCTCAAATCTAAATATTTACCATAGCCTCAAAGTCCACTTGTTCCTCAACCAGAGCTTCGGCTATCTGAGCAGCTTGCTGAAAATGAACGTTGTCTGAAACAAATAGAGAGATAAAAATACATGTCTTACAGAATCCGATGTGACCAGTGTTTTCTTTTTCTCATATAATATGGTAAAGTCTCTTAAAAAGTATGTTCACTGATTAGTTAAGACTTTTAGCTTCATCAACTAATGGGTTTACAAAGTCAAATGAATAGTCTAGACTCTAAACATTGCATGGTTGTTAATTGCACACGTGGTGTGTTTTTAAAAGAACATTCCAGAAATACTAGAGGAGGCTTCACCATCTGCTGTCCCATGGATGAGAAGGTATTGCACTGATTTGAAGTTCTTAGCTCTGGCTGTCACTGTGGAGTTCTGTAAAATACATTTACATTTGGTTATTTCCGTGGAACGTAATAACAGTGTGGATAATACAGACCATAGTATAAAATTGTGTGTATAAATGGCCATTTAAAATGTTGCCTTTGGTAAACTTACGTTGTAGAATTCAAGATTTTCTGAAGGTTGATTCATATAACGTTCTGTGTAGATTGAATCTGAAATATTGAAAGTAGGGAAAAATGTATGGATAATTTGCAATGATTTACAATTATATATTTAACTAACATGTATATTATTGTAAATATATTAATAACATATCAATAACAGAATGGCATACCATAATACTCCCACTTGGAAACTGGGGCAACTGCCATTCCACATTTGAAAACTCCACTCCCAGCTCCCAAAACCATTGACGTGACATAACCTCCATAGGACTATAAAACACAAACAGATGATTTTGGCCTTGAATTCAGATAAGATTAGATTAATCAAGGCACACACACAAGATGATTGTACACGTGCTGCATTTCATTACATTGCACTTGATGGTCCGAACGGATCATATTTTCAAACCCTATGCTTAAAGAAAAACTTTAACTTACCCAACCCCAAATTGCTATTCTGCCTTTGTCGACAAAGCCCATATTGGTGAATTCCCTGAAAGAGAAAAGTGACTTGCTGTGATTGGGAACCACCAGTACAAACTCTAATTCATTTAAACGTGATGGTCAATTGAAAGAGGTTCTAATGGACCATGCCCACTGATGGTCAATGGTTCTAACTAATATCTCTACTGCCCTCAGTCTGTGAGTCATCACCGTCCCCCTGACGTGAAATAAGGAAGAGGAAAGTAATGTTGCATTCCAGCTGACCCCATGTGACGTCTGATCAGTCACATCATTAGCCTGGTGGTCAGATCATTATGTGCTTTAACCAACACCTCTGTCACGTCCGTTGTCCTGCCAGACAGGATATATTTAGCGTGAGTTGACGAAAGTGGAGATGAAGAGGAGTTAGATGACGCACATAAAGATCTGTCCACCAGGATATTGCATCACAAAGCTCAAACCATAAAAGCCTTGGAATCTCTAATTCAAGCTCTAAATATCTATGTAGATATATTGTGTTATATCATGTTGTCTTAATGTCACTTTGCAGTGTGACACAGTATGATACAAAGTAAGCTGTTTGAGTCAGTTGGACATACTGTAGCTATCGACTTGGCTACTGTTCAACCACGGTTCAACCTTACTTTGCGGCCGTTATCTGATCTTCCACCTCATAGGTTCCCAGACGTCGGTAGATGGAGTGCATTAACTTGTCGCCTTGGTAACCACTTCCCCTTCCATCGAAGCTGGCAACGATGACCTTCTCCGTGCTCGCCAGGTATGCAGACCAGCCCAACCTATAGCGGTAGTCTGCTTTCTGACTGCAAGGCCCTGCATACCTGGAACACAAAAGAGAAAGAAACACATTATAGTTAGGGTGCAGAGTTTTCCCTGACCACTTGAGCTCACCAGGAAACGCTACAGACTTCTGAATTTAACTAGGGCCCAGAGTATTTCCTGCTCAAGTCATGTGGTCAGGTTTAACTCCAGGCCCTTGTTATTACTACAGGAATTCATCATAAGACAAAGCAGATCATGTATTCACAGAGATGAATTAATGAACATTCGTACACATCAATAAGTAAGGGGTATTTCTTGGATTTGTCAAATCCAGGAGGCAAGGTCATCTGGTACCAAAGATCTGTCGGGATAAACAGAAACATCCATCAATGGGTATCAAGTTAGGGATGTCCCATTTATTTTAATAGCAGTTGAAAGATTAAATTGAAGTCTTTAATAGTTGAAAGCCTTACTGAATTCCCCTTGCTTGATAAAGCCATGTCGCATGGTAGGCATGTGGATCTCAGACAGAAGGCCTTCCAAAGCCGTGTTGTCCTCAAGAACCTGAATCTCTAAACAGGACGGTGAGAAGATGCACTGTGACGGTGCATGGTATATATCATTTATTTCCATCATACACTAGTAAATGTAACTGGCCTACCTGAGCCAGTATCCCTGTTGTCCCTGAGAGTATACAGAGGTAGTCCAGGGCCTGTGAAGACCAACAAATATTTAATCAGTTGTGTGTGTGTCCTCCCAAATGATCTAGAAGCACTACTACTACTACTACTACAAAAACTATCATTTTAAAATAAATATACCGGCTGGGAGCTACAGTATTCTGATGACTTGACTGCACAAACGCTGTTGGTGTATTGGGTTGTGTAGTGTGTGTGTGTGTGTGTGTGTGTGTTGTCTGGCTGACGGACCCGAGCAGTCCATGCGGAAGAAAGAGGCATCATGGCTGAAGTAAGCTGAGTTGTATTGACACCTGTCCTCATTCAGGGTACAGGTCAGGCACTGGGTGGCGGGGGGAGTGGCTCCGAGAATGATCCTGACACACACACAGACAACTGACATGATTCTATTGGCTACAAATATAGAGCGATAGTACGTCATAGGTTATGCATGTTAGAAATGAACACCGCATGAGCATGACAGAACCAAGGCATGAAAATGAAAGAGTGATATTCTTACTTGTAAATGTTTCTCCCTCCTGGCTTGTCACCATATTGGTTGCTTGAATAGTATATGGCATTGTTAGTCACTTTTAAAATGTCAATGACCTCCCAAGCCCCCGTGGTGACAGCTGTTGCTGTGCCCTGCAAGGACCACATACAAATATTACAAATGAAGTGTGTATCATAACCATGTCTGGGTTACTGAGAAGGTATGAAGTTAGGTGTACTACTTAATACTTACACCTGTTACGTGATGAATATGTTTATAGCCGTCAGTGTCACTCATCACAATGTAAAAACTGGCTTTGTCCGCCGATAAGGTAGGATTAGAAGGTGAAAACTAGAAAACAAAGATAATGTATTTATTTACAGTAATAATCAATGCTTGTTACTTGGTAAATGATGTTTTTATGGCCCATGTTTACATACATGTTCATATTGTTGTGTTCATATAAAGTACATACCCGTCCGATCCAACCTGTCTTGCTTGTCAAGTCAAGTTTCTGAAAACACAACAAAAAAGTATATAATTTGATGGTTAATTGTAATTAATAGGAAATTAATTGTTTGTCATTCGTACAGTGTGATCCTCTCTGTGTGACACATTAAGACCCCAACAAGTTCTCAGAGGGGAGAGGAGAGGAGAGGAGAGGAGATGAGAGGAGAGGAGGAGGGCGGCAGAAAAGCGTGGGGGGGGGAGGGTTTATGACGTACCTCTACCGCATTCTCGATCCAGGTGTTTCCGGCTGTGTTGAAATCGTAGATCTGAAAGCGGAGCTCGTTCTGTTTCCTCTTCTGCCACTGGACAGCGATGCGTTCATCCGTTAACCAGCTGACTGTGGCTAAATAGTGATCACTGTAAAAAACACACGGAAACAACACTACTTGTCTCACAGCTTACGCCTAAAATGAATGTTTAAATTCCAAAGCAATGTGTTTCTCACCTAATCTAACGGTAAAAAATGACATTGTATAATGTATTGTGTACTACTGAGTTTCATTACCCTGCACCAACTGAAGCTGGCACAACAACTTCTGTGATGATTGATGTGTTTGCAGTATCAACCACAAATAGCTTCACCACTGGATTGGGAGTACCAGGCTAAAAGATGGAGAAAAAAATTACATTTATGCTATTCCGATGAAATAAAAACAAACTTTGGGTCTTATAGGTTGCTTTCTTACAAGCAAGCACATCTTTAAAATGTATTTTTTTATGTCTTGTTTTATAATGACTATAGACACAGTATCAACGCATTAATATGTGACAATACAGAGTATATGACTCTATTCAAATACACAGTCGTCAAGAAAGGTTTCCGAATTGGGAAATCGCGGACCAATATAATTTTATTGGGACAGCTTAGACCTAAAAGTACCCCGAGTTGTGATAAAACAACATGCTTTTAACCCAGAGGCCTTATGGTCCAGAGTCCAGTTCCCTTATCAACTGCCACAGAACCTCATGCCAATAATGACGTACTCCAACACACTTTTTAGATACACATCAAACATACATAAAGTGTAATCTTACCTTAGGATAGGGGAAAATTACAGTGTCAGGATACTGTTCCTTCCCATACCAGGAATACTCAATGTTTTGGACCAGAGTGTCGTTAAACTCAGCATAGGCCAGATACCTCCCTCCAGGTGACCACCACATTGCCTCGTAAGAAGAGAACATTTCCTCTAACAAACAAACAATCCAAAAACACTGTCAGGCCTACATCAAGATGGCACATCTATTTTGTGTGTTGTGTTTGCCTGTGTGGCTTAAACTCTTCACAGACTTCTGTGTTGTCAAAAGAGAAACTTGTTCACTAGGGACTGTATAATCACATTTTACACAATTCACATCACAGTGCTGACTAATATGGACTAATTATAGTAAGAGGTACAGTTAAAATCGGAAGTTTACATACACTTAGGTTGGAGTCATTAAAACTCGTTTTTCAACCACTCCACAAATTTCTTGTTAACAAACTGTGCATGACACAAGTAATTTTTCCAACAATTGTTTAAAGACAGATTATTTCACTGTATCACAATTCCAGTGGGTCAGAAGTTTACATACACTAAATTGACTGTGCCTTTAAACAGCTTCCAGAAAAGGATGTCATGGCTTTAGAAGCTTCTGATAGAATAATTGACATCATTTGAGTGAATTGGAGGTGTACCCGTGGATGTATTTCAAGGCCTACCTTCAAACTTAGTCCCTCTTTGCTTGACATCATGGGAAAATCAAAAGAAATCAGCCAAGACCTCCACAAAAGAAAATGTAGACCTCCACAAGTCTGGTTCATCCTTGGGAGCAATTTCCAAATGCCTGAAGGTACCACGTTCATCTGTACAAACAATAGTACGCAAGTATAAACACCATGGGACCACGCAGCCGTCATACCGCTCAGGAAGGAGACGCGTTCTGTCTCCTAGAGATGAACGTACTTTGGTGCGAAAAGTGCAAATCAATCCCAGAACAACAGCAAAGGACCTTGTGAAGATGCTGGAGGAAACAGGTACAAAAGTATCTATATCCACAGTAAAACGAGTCCTATATCGACCTGAAAGGCCGCTCAGCAAGGAAGAAGCCACTGCTCCAAAACTGCCATAAAAAAGCCAGACTACGGTTTGCAACTGCACATGGGGACAAAGATCGTACTTTTTGGAGAAATGTCCTCTGGTCTGCTGAAACAAAAATAGAACTGTTTGGCCATAATGACCATCGTTATGTTTGGAGGAAAAAGGGGGCACTTGCAAGCCGAAGAACACCATCCCAACTGTGAAGCACGGGGTAGCAGCATCATGCTGTGGGGGTGCTTTGCTGCAGGAGGGACTGGTGCACTTCACAAAATAGATGGGATAGGAAGGAAAATTATGTGGATTTATTGATGCAACATCTCAAGACATCAGTCAGGAAGTTAAAGCTTGGTCGCAAATGGGTCTTCCAAATGTGGTCCTCTGTAGCTCAGCTGGTAGAGCACGGCGCTTGTAACGCCAAGGTAGTGGGTTCGATCCCCGGGACCACCCATACACAAAAATGTATGCACGCATGACTGTAAGTCGCTTTGGATAAAAGCGTCTGCTAAATGGCATATTATTTTATTATATTATTATTATTATATTATATTATATATTATAAATGGACAATGACCCCAAGCATACTTCCAAAGTTGTGGCAAAATGGCTTAAGGACAACAAAGTCAAGGTATTGGAGTGGCCATCACAAAGCCCTGACCTCAATCCTATAGAACATTTGTGGGCAGAACTGAAAAAGCGTGTGCGAGCAAGGAGGCCTACAAACCTGACTCAATTACACCAGCTCTGTCAGGAGGAATGGGCCAAAATTCACCCAACTTATTGTGGGAAGCTTGTGGAAGGCTACCCGAAACGTTTTCCCCAAGTTTAAACAATTTAAAGGCAATGCTACCAAATACTAATTGAGTGTATGTAAACTTCTGACCCACTGGGACTGTGATGAAAGAAATAAAAACTGAAATAAAACATTCTCTAATATTATTCTGACATTTCACATTCTTAAAATAAAGTGGTGATCCTAACTGACCTAAGACATGGAATTTTTACTAGGATTAAATGTCAGGAATTGTGAAAAACTGAGTTAAAATGTATTTGGCTAAGGTGTATTTAAACTTCCGACTTCAACTGTATGTAAGATTCACAGCTAGCATCTTGTATGTATTGCTTACCCTCATACACCCAATCTGGGATGCCATTTAAGATTTTGTTGTGTTCTCCGTTGAAGGTCACCTGAATGGCCTTAGCGGTAGGGCTGGTCTTCACATAGACATTATTTTCCCACACAAAGGCCTGTATGTGAGAGGAGCAAAGATATGGAGATACGTCTTAATGACTCAAGTTCCTCTTTCAACATGGTATAACACTGTAATATGCATAATAGTGTGCAATGTCTTTTGGTTGGCCTAGTAACCTGCAATATCATGTTTAGAGTAACAGTAACCAATTACATGTTGTGAATAAGTTATTTATTTGGAGCATGACGAAAATGTGATCTTTGAGCATTTCAGCTTTGAACTGAAGACAAGCAAAAGTGCATGTTGTATTGTTGGGTCAGTCCTATTGATGATGAGTGTTTGGCAGACGTGTTGAATTAAAAGCATATGTCACCCGTTATAAGAGTGTAATGGGTCAGCCTCTGGAAAAGCATAGTATATAAACAAATCCAATGGTTTCTCTCAAGTGTCCTTTTAACCTACCATTTTGTTGCCTGTTGGCGCCCATGCAAACAAATGGACTTTGTGAGGAATGTCTGGTGTACTGAGAAATGTCCTAAAATGAGAATAAATAAAAACTAACAGTATTAATATCTTTGAGTTTGACAAAACACCATACAGTGCATTCGGAAAGTATTCAGACCCTGAGCACCTGAGCTCAATTTCGAGTCTCAGCAAAGGCTCTGAAAACGAATGTAAATAACGTATTTCTGTTTTTATTTGTAATACATTTGCAAAGATTTCTAAACCTGTTTTCGTTTTGTCATTATGGGGTATTGTGTGTAGATTTGATGAGGATTATTATTTTTTACATCCATTTTAGAATAAGGCTGTAACGTAACAAAATGTGGAAAAAGGGAAGGGGTCTGAATACTTTCTGAATGCGCTGTAAATGCGTCCCTATAAATTGTTTGCAGTAAACATGACATTTTATGGCCCTCTTCAGTTCCTCTATTTGTTGAGTATTGTTGACCATTTCCTGCACTAGTCCCATGAATAAAATGAAACTCCCTATGTTCTCTACACTGCATATGTAATTCTCAAAGTTAAAGGGATATTGAAGATGTGTGTATAGAACAGTTGAAAGAGACTTACGAGCTTGCCAAATCATAGAGAGAATATGAAGCTGTGAAGGAGTGTCTCCATATCTGTTGAAACAAATGAAATTATAATTAGGAATTTGATTAGTAGCACAGATCAATTACTTATATAAATGACTTAATACATTAATTCAATTTGATCAAAATTGCAGGGCAATTACTTTGGGCACGTAAGTCTGATTCTGCAACAACAACCACACCACAATGACATATCACACATAGCAACTTCACAGCAGGATAGCACAACAGCAACAAATCATTAAATATCACAAGACATTACCTTAGTCCAATTGCTCTTGAAAGCAACATATTTTCGATCAGCAGACACTACATAATCATAGGCAGCCACTTGATCCTGTTTTTCAACAACAACAAAAAGGAACTGTGTTATACATGACACAAGCACTCCTTCCTTCACCATACTTACTTCCAAATATGCATAGACACAGACCGACACACACACCCACGAGGGGTATCTTACAAATGTGATGCTGCTCAGGAATTCTGAGTTGTTTCCCGTAATCAGGTTATGAAGGAAGATGGAGTTGTCTTTTTTATGCAGATACTCATGGTCTATGGGGAGGGGAAAGAGGAGTTTAAAAGTAATGAACTAACTGACGTTTAAGTTGAAATATCAGCACTGATGATTTAACATAAAGCAAAAGTGTGCCATTTGAATAGATACAGTATATTGGCCTAGTATCATTTTTTATTGTTTCTTATCATTTTGTAATGGGAACATTGTAATATAATAATAAAAGTGTTGTGTTGTTGACTTGTATCTAAACGTGCATCCTTCCAGGGTTAGAGTGTTGTGTAATACATTTCAGGCACGCAATTACTGACTTGATTAAACATAACAGCCATCCACCCATTTACATACAGTTGATTGATTAGGCTTCTAGGGTGTTTTACCTGAGATCCAGCGCATGTTGTACGATCTGGTCCTGATGGAACTATTGAAGACATCACTGAGAGTGAACGTCCTCTGAGCCTTCACTTTTTCCTCTGAAACATGGGGCTCAAAGATAGCATTCACTGATTTCTCATACTATACTGTATACTAGGAGGAATGTATGAGTGAAAAAGACAAAAAGTCATAGGCTACTGTAATGACTCAAGATTACAATGCATGTACACATGATTAAACAGGTCTTGATAAACATAGATATGGATCTTGGGAGGAGGACTGCAAGGTTGTAACAGATATACAATATACATTTGACTGGGTTTGTAGAGCCGCTATAACTGAACTAAATATGTTAATAGGATAAAGTTATACAAATGTGGTACCTGCATATACGATGTGATATTGCAACAAGGTCCTGCATTTCTAAAGCAATAAAGCACTAGGCCTACATGTTTGAATGGCACATGCATTATGTCAAAGTGTCTATTTTATGCAGTGTTCTGTTAAAATAATACAATATTATTATCCAGTGTATGCAATGTTCTATTGTAGTAATAAAATACTTATTCTGAACAGTTTTTTTTTTTTTTTTACAGTTATGGTAGGCTACAATTTAATGGGTCCTTGAAAGCAATTGAAAGTGGAACCACTCACCGTTCAGATACAATGCTGTGGGCACTGCTATCAAGATGATGACGACAGCAAGCCCCAAAAGTCCCAACACCACCTTACCTATGCAATTCTGTCAAAGGTGAATAGGATGACCGAAAGAAGTTATGAAATAAATAGTTGTTTGAGGTATCTAGATATGCAACACTTATTTTTCAACAAAATGTTATGTTGTATTATCAACAGATTCTTGTCATTGAGTTTTTAAGTTTACCATCCTGCCGACTTGAAGGTGGTGAATCCGTTTATCTTCAAAACCACATTGACAGGAAACAAGTTACCCACTCAACTGTTGAAGTGTAACTGGTGCAAAATAAAGTTCTGCGCAAGAGAATTTCTGTTAAATATTATCTCAACGTCGGTTATAAAGGAAGGGGCAATACAATTCCGTAGTCCAAAGTAAAGTTTGAAGTTTAAACGTGTATTCTTTTCCCCAGCGCCTGTCTTTGTGGAGAAGTTGATGCTTACTTACTGTCTAATCCAGGGGTGTCAAACTCATTTTAGCTCAGGGGCCACATGGAGGAAAATCTATTCCCAAGTGGGCCGGACCGGAAAAATCATGGTATATATAACTTAAAAACAACAACTTCAGATTGTTTTCTTTGTTTTAATACGATCAACATACAACATAAAGCTGGAGCCTGAGGACAGTGTGTCCAAAATAGTACAAGCACAACATCACTATTAATCATAAAACACGTCAAGTTTATTTGAAAATTCTAAAGAAAAAGAACACACAAACACACAATGCCTCAGTGATTAACAGAACTGTTTCACAGATCACAGAACTATATCAGGGTGTCATTTCTCAGGCAGAAATGTAGATAAAAAATAATGAAATCCTGTTCCCCAAACAAGTGCAAGAACCACAGAGTCAAGAATAGGTTAAATATACAAATAAAATAAAATCAATTAAAAACAATAGCACATCAACATAAAAACATATAAACATAAAGCTGGAGCCTGAGGACAGTGTCCAAAAGCACAACATCACTATTAATCATAAAACACCTCAAGTTATTTGAAAGTTCTGAGGACAAAGAACACACAAACACACAATGCCTCAGTGATTCACAGAAGTATATCACAGATCACAGAACTATATCAGGGTGTCATTTCTCAGGCAGAAATGTAGATAAAAATAATGAAATCCTGTTCCCCAAACAAGTGCAAGAACCACAGAGTCAAGAATAGGTTAAATATACAAATAAAATCAATTAAAAACAATAGCACATCAACATAAAAACATATAAACATAAATCTGAAAGCGTTGCTCAAACTCCCGTAACAGTCCCGTTATTTTATCTTTGAACCGCTTCATGTCTGCCACATGTTGGGTCGCGCACACATTTTTCAGACAGGGGAAGTGAGCTGCATCACCACCGGCAAGTTGCGTCTCCCACAATGACAGCTTCAACTTGAAAGAACGTATGCTGTCATAATACTGCGTGACAACTTTGTTGCGCCCTTGCAGCTGTTTGTTCAAGTTATTCAGGTGCTCTGTAACATCCACCATAAATGCAAGGTCCTGCATCCATTCTGCGGAATGAAATTCTAACACTGGTTTGCCCTTTTCTTCCATGAACTGTTCAATTTCTTCTCGTAAATCAAAGAAACGCCTCAGCACAGCACCTCGGCTTAACCATCTTACCTCAGTGTGGTATGGCAGGCCATAGATGTGGTCTTTCTCTCTGAGAAGGCTGTCAAACTGACGGTGATTCTGGATCGGATGAAATTAACAGTTTGGATGACCACCTTCATGACGTTATCCATCTTTAATGACTTGCAACACAAAGCCTCCTGGTGCAAAATACAGTGAAAAGTCAAAAAATCACGTCCTCCATTTGCAGATTGCACTTTCTCTCTGAACTTTGTCACAACGCCTGCTTTTTTCCCGATCATTGAGGGCGCACCATCTGTAGCCAGGCTGACAGCGCGGGACCAGTCCACTCCGACCCTGTCCAGCGCGCCGACGAGTGCGGTAAAAATATCAGCTGCTGTCGTTGTATCTGTCATCGGCACCAACTCCACAAACTCCTCGGTGACGGTCAATGTGTCATCAACTCCGCGGATGAAAATGGCCAGTTGTGCAACATCTGTAATGTCCGTGCTTTCATCAATTGCAACCGAAAACGCAATAAATGACTTTACTTTTTGCTTCAACTGGCTGTCCAAATCCACTGAAAGATCGGAAATCCTGTCTGCAACTGTGTTTCTTGTCAGGCTGATATTTGCAAAAGCCTGCCGCTTTTCAGGGCACACAATCTCCGCTGCCTTCATCATGCATGTTTTTACAAATTCACCCTCACTAAATGGTTTTGAAGCCACTGCGATTTCATTAGCAATGAGGTAGCTAGCTTTCACTGCAGCGTCACTGATGTCTCGGCTGTGAGTAAACACAGACTGCTGTTTCTTCAGACCCGCCAACAGTTCATTCACCTTCTCTCATCTCCGCTGTCCTTGAAAGTTGTCATATTTGTCGGCATGAAGACTCACATAGTGGCGACGAAGGTTATATTCTTTCAGCACTGCAACATGCTCTGAACACACCAAACATACAGCTTTCCCATTCAATTCCGTGAATAAATAGGATGACCATTTTTCTTGGAACACTGCACTCTGCGTCCACTTTTCTCTTTTTTGACAGAGACATATTGGGGCAATGAGGGTGCCAAAGCACATAATGTTAAAAGTAGAAGCTGTAATAAATATCGCGGGCAAAACAAAGTAGCTCATTGGCTGCACGTGCTTGACCTACTTGCTCTGCCCCAGTATAAACAGTTTGCTTGCTTAACACAATTGCTATTGCGCCATCCAGTGGACGCAATTGGAACAGCAGTTTATTTTATTGAAAAATTGCAGCGCATTTTTATACTTTACAATTATTATTATTAATTTTTTTGTATTTTTTAAATAAAATAAAAAATCATCTCGCGGGCCGGATTAAACCCGTTTGCGGGCCGGACGTTTGACACCCCTGGTCTAATCTATTAACGGATTGCATCCATACACATATTTCATACACAATGAAACCATCCACAAAGACAGGCGCTGGGGAAAAGCATTGTAGAACAAGAATAGCCTTCACCACACAAATTCGATAGGCATCCATTTTTTTAACTTCGAAATCCAGACCCTGAATTTATAGTATTTATTTTATAATTCCATTCAATCTGAATTAGGCCTAAATGTTTTCTCTCTTTTTTGAAGGGAATTGTTTGGGGATTTTGTAAGGCATATGTCTTTGTGAGCGCAGGCTAGTCACATATGACTCTTGAGTGAATATCAACAATAAGCTGATGTTTCATGTCTCACTGCTAATGGTATAAAAACAATGTAGCCTATTCACAGCTGCATTGGATGACACTGACTTCAAAGTTGGGCTACAGCTAATGCACTAGCATCTCCCTGCACATTGGGTCAAAAGGTTATCACTACTCTACAATACTCATGGCCATAAATTATATTTACAGACTTATTAATTAACTTTCTCCTTGGGTTTCAGGTCAGCTTCCTCTCTTTAAGCCGTGTGGGATCTCAACAGATGTGTGTTAACAAATACAGGCCTACATTCAGATACAGTATATGTGAGAACTATATGAGTGTACATATTAAGTGTAATTTTTTTATTTTTTATTGTTTGCTTTCCTATGAATATTTCTATTTTAGATGTATTGAATTGTCACTGTAACTCAACCAAAGGTGGTGGAATGATTCTCAAAGCTTAATTCCAGTTTCTGTGGTGATATAATGCCTTTACTTCAAGGTCAACAACAAAGCCCCCTATATTTTATTCCCAATGGTTTTATGACATTGTCATCACATCTGCTTTTTACATGACTCACAATTATCATCATGATGTCAGAGGCCCCAGCTTGTGAACTTATGCTTCTGGTTATTGGCGGATTCAACCAGTTTCTCTACATCACTGGTCTGCATAGGACTTACTCCATCTCATGGACTTTGTATACAAGGCTTCAAAAATAGATAGGGAATACGATAACTTTTACAACATGTCAACAGACAGACAAACAAGCAATTTTACAAGAATAACTAAGCAAAAAAAGCTTTTGTTTTTCACACTGCAAACGCTGTTGAGAGAAAGAGAGAGAGATAACTTATATAGCTGTCTTGATGAGTAAGGATACAGTAACATGGGCTGAAAAGGTACCATAACTAGTGGAAGGGTCACTGATGAGTCCATAAGTGATGAGCATCGGAAGATAAAGACTAAAAGCCAGTTAAAAGCTTAACAAATATCAGTTTCTTTCTTTATTGACCTGAGCACTAGCAGCCTGTCCTGCTCTCGTTCTCTCAGACCGGACTTCCTATGCAAACAAATAGATCACTCTCTTTTTGCCTGATGCAGTATAGTTCGAGCAGCATTACACCGTGGATCTGATCATTTATCTACTCTCAGATTCACGGTTAAGGCTAATGAAATTGTTTCCAGGTGTCACTTTGAACACGTTTTAGGTTTTATTGGAGTTCCTGGAAGGGGGAGGAGGGGTTATATAGTGGAGTACAGTGAGCACTATGGCGCAACATCATACCATAAAGCCATGGTTGATACTGGTGCTTTTTCCTCTCTCTGGCTGTTCTGTCCTGTTTCCTATTTCCGTGCCATTTCAGCCATTATTATGAACCGTCCTCCCCTCAGCAGCCTTCACTGACTGTGATAGTTTATCAGTAAGCTGGGACTGAAAGAATGAAAAAGTATAGTAACTACAGACAGACAGTTGTAAAATGTCTACTGGTGGTGTCTACTGTCTAATCAATGTCTACTGGTGGTGTCTTCTGTCTAATCAATGTCTACTGGTGGTGTCTACTGTCTAATCAATGTCTACTGGTGGTGTCTACTGTCTAATCAATGTCTACTGGTGGTGTCAACTGTCTAATCAATGTCTACTGGTGGTGTCTACTCTCTAATCAATGTCTACTGGTGGTGTCTACTGTCTAATCAATGTCTACTGGTGGTGTCTACTGTCTAATCAATGTCTACTGGTGGTGTCTATTGTCTAATCAATGTCTACTGGTGGTGTCTACTGTCTAATCAATGTCTACTGGTGGTGTCTACTCTCTAATCAATGTCTACTGGTGGTGTCTACTGTCTAATCAATGTCTACTGGTGGTGTCTACTGTCTAATCAATGTCTACTGGTGGTGTCTACTGTCTAATCAATGTATATATCAATACTGGTTGTTTGATCATAAACATTCCTCTCATCATTTGGTCAACATTTGGTTTTGAAAGAATTATCTTATTTTTAAACAGTCTAATTGTACACCCATGAAATGTATTGTGTTTTTGCTCCTCTGAGACATTGGGATGTTGGATCACTAGGATAAAGACATGTTTGGCTTGAGATTTATCTGAGAGTAAATAGAGCCGAATATATTGATAAGTCACCTTGTCCAAGAGAGATTTACAAGGTTATCAAAACGTCAAACCAAGGTAAGACTACACTAAACACAGCCCTTATTTTAAGTGTTTTTAAAATCCCCTATGGGAAAAATGAATGGTGGAAAAACGATTGGAACATTTCCTTGTTTGACCGCTAGGTTTTATGGGTATTAAGACTCATACTGTGGTACTCTATAGTCTGTCTAAGCCTCTCTATATGTTGGCATGTCTGATACCTGTAGAAATGCTTTAAAGATGGACTATGCAGAAATCGCTCTGCCATTTCCTGGTTGCTAAAATTCTAATAGTTTGCCTAATTTCAATTTATGTGACAAAACACGCAAGTATACTGTAAGGAATCATTGTACCATCTAAACCGCTAAACCAAAAATATTGTATTTTCAGCTGTTTCAAGCTGGTGTATAAACCCGAAAGTAAAAGATGCAAAAACTAAACATAAGCACGGGAGGCATAGAAATAGCGGACATAGAAGAGATCTACCGCCTCTTAGACTTGCTTTCAATGAGAATGACAGATCAATAACTCACATCTCTATGTGAATCTGGTCAGGTCGGCCAAAAAGTTACATATTGCATGCAGCTTTAATATGTGTTTTATTCTAGTCAAATGTGTTGTAGTACTATTATGTTTTTGTAATATTTTTTTTTATAATGTAATCTCTTGTGGGGATTGTCAACTTTGCAAGGTGTGAAGCTTCTGGTTTTAGTAGCCTAATGAAATGGCCTTAAAAGCTGCATCTTGGGTACCCTCTTGTGGTGGCTATTGACTATTGCGTGAAGAAGATAGTGGTATTTTTGAGTCTGTAGTTCTTATTGGGGAATGTAAATGCTTATTAATTAAAGGCCAGTCAGCCCTTGTACATTTTAGATCAGATTATTGTTTAGGAAAAAATAAGTATCTGATAGCTTTTCCATTTTTACGAGCCTTATTCAAGACAACCTCACCATCTTCATTTCACTCTTTGGATGTTGAAATAATTCAGCGTTATTGGCTTCAATAACAATATGTCAATTTCTGAGTGATTGTTGTTTGGAGCCTGTGAACATGAACATTCCTCTTTGGATGACTTCTACTCTATTCTATTCTATTTGAATAACTAGCAGGCCTACCTACTGTGGCGGCAGGTAGCTTAGTGGTTAAGAGCGTTGTGCCAGTAACCGAAAGGTCGCTGGTTCTAATCCCCGAGTCGACTAGGTGAAAAAAATGTGCCCTTGAGCAAGGCACTTAACCCTAATTGCTCCTGTAAGTCGCTCTGGATACGAGCGTCTGCTAAATGACTCAAGTGTAAATGCTCAGTCGAGTACCAATAATGCTGCTGAAGCTAATTGGCTGCTGTGAGCTTCGTCATTGACTATCTTCACTATCAATCAATTAGCACATTCGGACTTCCGCCTTCTCGCAACACTTTCTCGGAAATTATGGTGTCCACTAGATAGCACAGCCACAAAGTCAACGTTGGCTATATCGTAAAAATGTATGGAAATTAGATGTTTGGTCTTAATTTAAGGTTAGGGTTATGCACAAGGTTAGCAGTGTGGTTAAGATTAGGGTTAAGATTAAGGTTAGGTTTAAAATCACATTTTAAGAATATAAATTGTAGAACTGGGCGGGGTTTATGATATTGTGGCTGTAGTAACTAGTGACGACCGGAAATTATGTACACATGTCGTTGTCGCAGTGTCAAGTAACAGGTTCTGTTTTGCATTTACTGACTTTTGACATCGAAACATTTCAGTGCATCGATTCGTTTTGTGGCAATTATTCATAGTGCACATATGGCTTATCCAGGATATGGCGGGGTGAGTAAACGCTTCGTGTGTTCTTTTGACTGTGATTTTACAGTAGCCAACATAAGTCAGGAGTTTGGCCTATTCCATTTCCGATAAAGGGAGTGCTCAGATAAGACTCCTAAAATGTATCTTTGTTATTATGAAACATTGTAACATGGTCAGTTGTAAGCAAAATCGTTACAAATCGACATTGAACGGTTGCGCATCTTTCTACACACAGTCATTTTGGCAAATAGGCTATAGCTTGGTTAAGAAAGAAAGTTGATATTGCCCTCAGTTCTAGCTACTTAGTTCAGTCGCTAGTTCCTGGTTAAGGATTCAGTTTTCATATAAATAGTTATTGCCCCCCACGATGAACTAGGGGAGGGGACTGGATCTGTCTCCATATGTTCGTTCTTACGTTAGTCACACGCGATATCACAGACAGCATTGGGCCGATTTTGACGAAACTTGGATGAATGATGCGTCTTGTCATTGAGATGCGGTATTTACAAAATTACACTGAATGGTGGGAGATAAAGTAATTAACGTCTTAAGGATCGGACCCTTTTTTTCAATTTTCGCCTAAAATGACATACCCAAATCTAACTGCCTGTAGCTCAGGACCTGAAGCAAGGATATGCATATTCTTGATACCATTTGAAAGGAAACACTTTGAAGTTTGGAAATGTGAAATTAATGTAGGAGAATATAACACATTAGATCTGGTAAAAGATAATACAAACAAAAATCTTTGAAATGGAAGAGAAAGGCCACAATATATTATTGCAGTTTAGGCGCAATTTAGATTGTGGCCACTAGATGGCAGCAGTGTGTGTGCAAAGTTTCAGATTGATCCAGTGAAGCATTGTAATACTGGACTATTTTGTATCAAGTCTGGCCAAATGTGCCGATTTGGTCAATTGATACATATTCAAGTACATAACTATAGAGAACATACAAAAATGATATGGTAATACAAAATGTACATTTACACACTCCCAGGGATGTCATACATGATGGATCATTAGCTTATACACTAACTTTCACACAACTTGATGGCCGGGCTGGGTGGGTGTGGAGCCAGAGACAGCAGGGGTTCAAACAGTAGAACCCAGTTCCTACATTTGAATATAAAAATTGATTTTATCAAACAAAACTATGCTACATTTTTATCTCTGGGACCCTTAGGATGACAAATCAGAGCAAGATTACTAAATGTAAGTACATTATTTACCTTCAGAGGTGAATGTATCAAACCAGTTGCCGTGATAATTTTGTTGTTGTTGTGCACTCTCCTCAAACAATAGCATGGTATTTTTTCACTGTAATAGCTACTGTAAATTGGACAGTGCAGTTAGATTAACAATAATTTAAGCTTTCTGCCCAGCTAAGACATGTCTATGTCCTGGAAAGTTTGCTAATCACATTAGCGCACGTTAGCTCAATCGTCCCGTATACGGGACACCGATCCCGTATAGGTTAACTGAAATGTGTTAGTCACTCGCAATATCTCAATTGGCCCAAGGGGGGTGTTGCATCATTCTTGGGGGACGACATGTTTACTGTTGCCTTGTTTATTTTGGAGTAACAATTGAATTTGGCCAACTGGTATTGTGTAAGTCTTTAGAAGCACTTAATGCTGTAGTTTCAAATCACCCTCTATAAATACACTACTAGGTAGGTGGCTATTTAGGCTAACTAGTTACAGTAGCCTGTCTGTAGTTAGTAGCCTATTCTTGGCTACATACACTGTGTCAACCCCACTAGCATGGCCAACAGCTCAACCTCTCCCATTTGGGGAAATGGTATGCGTGTTATTCTTCTGTCATGGTCACTGCATTGACAGCATGGATGTCCACACCTAGCCCTCGAGAACACAAGGGGGGGTAGGCCTATACCCAGACCTTGAGTTCTCAATTGAACATATGGACCTCAGCTGGATCAATTAACTACAATCCCAACGCTCTGTTTTAACGTTTAGAAACATTAATAATCCTTGCTTGCGATCCGGTTTTGGAAACCTTTGGAACTTAACTTTCACATCGGGAGAAACAATCTTTCAAATACAAAAGATAGACTTACTGTACGCAGTTTAGCAAAGATGCACCCGGCAGAATTTTCAAAACACAGCCCCCAGCTGAGGTACAAAACTTCCTCCCCAGTTATGCTCCATTGCAGATGTTTGAAGTAGAAATTGCAGGGGAGGAAGTGTAGTCTCGGTTGGAGGTGGTGTTCTTGAAAATACAGCCAGGTGAAACGTTCCTAAACTGCATACCGTAAGTGTATATTTACTATTTGATTTTTTTTCTCTCACTTTTTTGAAAGATAAGTTCCAAATGTTTACAAAATTGTGTCACGTGCCAGGTGTATTTGCGTTTAGACAGAACATTTGGGGAGCGTCGGAGCGTCGGGCATTTTCCTCACAAGGTTAATGGGGACGTCCAGTGGCTCAATGTAACGCAGTGGAATTGGAGTCATGGGCTAGTCCACACCCTGCTAATATTCAGTGAAAATATCCTCAATACATTTAGAAGTAGGTCCACAACCTGCTAATATTGTCAGTGAAAATATCCTCAATACATTTAGAAATAGGTCCACAACCTGCTAATATTATCAGTGAAAATATCCCCACTACATTTAGAAATAGGTACACAACCTGCTAATATTGCTTATATTGACAGTGAAAATATCCTCACTACATTTAGAAATAGGTACACAACCTGCTAATATTGCTTATATTGACAGTGAAAATATCCTCACTACATTTAGAAATAGGAAACTGGAGTTAATGCACATGACTCCATTGTAAACAATCACCTGACAACATCGTATAAGTATGACTGTACTCTCTGAGAAAGAAGTCATGTGACGTCCAAACGTCAGTAATAGTATACCTGTTTGCTTCCCATCATGGCATAAAGCCTGAGTGTAAGAACATCTACTGTGCCTTCAGAAAGTATTCATGCCCCTTGACATATTCCACATTTTGGTGTTACAGACAGAATTCAAAATTGATTAAAAAAGAAAAAAATTCACCCATCTATACACAATACACCATAACGACAAATTAAAAACATATCTTTAGACATTTTTGCAAATGTATTGATAATGAAATGCAGAAATATCTCATTTACATAAGTATTCACACCCCTGAGTCAATACTTTATAGAAGCACCTTTGGTGGCGATTACAGCTGTGAGTCTTTTTGGGTAAGTCTCTAAGAGCTTTGCACACCTGGATTGTACAATATTTGCCCATTATTCTTAAAAGATTCTTCAAGGTCTGTCAAGTTGATTGTTGTTCATTGCGAGACAGGCATTTTCAAGTCTTGCCATAGATTTTCAAGCCGGTTTTTTTAAAGTCAAAACTGTAACTAGGCCACTCAGGAACATTCAATGTCGTCTTGGTAAGCGACTTCAGTGTAGATTTGGCCTTGTGTTTTAGGTTATTGTCCTGCTGAAAGGTGAATTTGCCTCCCGGTGTCTGTTGGAAAGCAGACTGAACCAGGTTTTCCTCTAAGATTTTACCTATGCTTATACCTGTTTCTATTTATCAAAAAAAAAAAAAAACTTATTCTGTAGAGGCGTCCTTCTTTTCACTTTGTCATTTAGGTTAGTATTGTGGCGTAACTACAATGTTGTTGATCCATCCTCAGTTTTCTCATATCACAACCATTCAACTCTGTAACTGTTTTAAAATCACCATTGGCCTCACTGTGAAATCCCTGAGCAGTTTCCTTCCTCTCTGGCAATTGAGTTAGGATGGACACCTATATATTTGTGGTGACTGGGTGTATTGATACACCATCCAAAGCCTAATTAATAACTTCACCATGCTCAAAGGGATATTCAGCAGCTGCTTTATTGTTTTTTTTACACATCTACCAATCGGTGCCCTTCTTTGCGAGTCATTGAAAAACCTCCCTGGTCTTTGTTGTTGAATATGTGCTTGAAATGCATTACTCGATTGAGGGACCTTACAGATACTTGTATGTGTGGGGTACAGAGATGGGGTAGTTATTCAAAAATCATGTTAACCACTATTATGGAACACGGAATGAGTCCATGCAACTTATTATGCGATTTGTTAAGCACATTTTCACTCCTGAACTTACTTAGGCATGCCATAGCAAAGGGGTTGAATACTTATTGACTCAAAACATTTCAGCTTTATGTTTTTTATTAACTTCAAACATTTTTTACAAACAAAATTCCACTTTGACATTATGGGGTACTGTGTGTTGGATCAGTGACACAAAATCTCAATTTAATCAATGTTAAATTCAGACTGTAACACAACCAAATTTGGAAAAAGTTAAGGGGTATGAATACTTATTAAAGGCACTGTATATCTCTGCTTGTTTTTTAGAGCGCTCCAATCTGTTTATATTGAATTAGTCATTTTTGAGAAGTTTTCCTTAAGCCCTGTTACTTGATGACTGTGCTCTCCTTTTCCTGTCAGTATGGAGGACCAATGCAAGGCATGCCACTCCAGGGTATGCCCATGCAGGGTGGACCCATGGGAGGCCCACCCCAGGCATGCTACCCCCAGAATGGTGGAGGCTACCCAGGGAACCTTTGGTGCTCCTCCTCAGCAGCCTGTTAACGACCCCATGTGGGGGTACTTTACTACCATAGCAGGACAGGTGAGTGATCAATGCTTTTTAATTTCATGATCATAGATAGTAAATATTGCTCTTTGGATAGAATGCAACATTACTGGTACATGCATGATTCCATGTGATAATGTGTGTCATGGTTACACCATAAAGTAATCTCAAGACATTCAAGTGTTTTTTTTAAATATATCAAATATGACATTCACTGCACAGTAATGATAAGCCTTTGTTGGAGAGTGATCTTACAGTGATATTCCTCTGTGCAGGATGGGGAGATTGATGCAGAGGAGCTTCAGAGATGTCTTACACAGACTGGTATCAGTGGCACCTATACTCGTAAGTTTACACCCAGTCCCATGGTCAAGGTTCACTTTGTGGTCAGATATGATCCGATTTCATGATGATGTATGTGTTTTATGATTTGAGTATCCCACGTTTAATATAGTCTTTACAAAGATTCGTCACAGGTTTTGTGATTGGTATTGTCATATTTTATGTACGTTTTTCATTGTGTGATCATAGTTTCTCTTCTCCAACAGCCTTCAGTTTGGAGACATGTCGAATCATGATCGCAATGCTGGATGTATCCTTTCTATAGCAATGAATCTCTTGGACTCGGCCTCTGTCCAGTGTCATCAAAGTTTGCTTGGTAGTGCACTTTGCCACTTTGACTTGCTGGTGAAAATGAATAGCAGTCATAAATGTTAATGAATGAATGAATAAACCTAATGTGTCAGTGCTGAGTTCATCCTTCTCTTTTAACAGTTGTAGAGGTGTGAAAGCTTTAAGGAGTAGGTGGTCGGGGATGATTCATTTTAATTCCCCTAAATTACTTCCTGGTTGCAGTATATTTGACTGTCTTATACAAGGCCTAGTCTAGTGGGTCCCATTCAGTATGTATTTGCCAATACATTTGCAAGAGGGAACTTGCCTCATGCTCCATTTGCGTCATGCCTGTAGCTCCATTTTCAGAGGTATAGGAACATTCTAGTCCTGTTTCTCTCTGAACATGTTCATGCTTCTTATGTACAGTAATATACTTTACAACATTCAGCATTTGCTGTTTGGGATGTTCTATATCATTTATTTTCTTCAGAATAAACACATGATACGTGTGTAAGTGGGCTATATTGAGACAGAGGGTTACTTATGGAATTTATTCAGTTGCAGAAAGGTCAGGTTCTCCCACATTTACCACAGCTCATCATATCCTGTGTGCGACCAGCTCACAGGGCCGTTTTTAGTTTCTCTTTACCTAATGAACAGAGTTAACCCTTAACTAACCACCCACCAGAGAGACATGACCGGAAAGCTGGGCTTCAATGAGTTCAAGGAGCTGTTTGCTGCCCTGAGTGGCTGGAAGCAGAACTTCATGATGTTCGACCAGGACCGGAGTGGCACGGTGGAACCCCATGAGATGAGCCAGGCCATCTCCGCAATGGGTGAGTCAGTGCTCTGATAGGCTAATGATATGGGATAGTTCATTCTGATAGGATGATGACATGGGATAGTCCATTCTGCCATCCAAAGAGGGGCAGCGTTCCAGAGCCTGGTTCAGATGCAGCTTCCGAAGGGGTTGAGAGGTTTGACTTCTTTAAATTATTTAAGCCATGGATGATAGACTCCTACAATAATTATAATTTTGGGGTAGATGGACATAATTACAAGGTAATGGTCCGAGAGACCCTTCTTGCTACAAAGTAGATGGACAATAGGAAAAGGGCTGGTGTTTATGACCATTGTCAACTAAATGCAGTGGTCACTATGGATGAATCCTAATACTACGTTGGCTTATGTATAATTGAATGCATGTTGTGGTCTGTTACTGCAGGCTACATGATCAGCCCACAAGCTCTGAACGCTATCATCAAGCGCTACAGCAAGGCTGGCCGAATCTACTTTGACGACTATGTGGCATGTGCTGTGAAGCTTCGCGCCCTCACAGGTAGGATGCTGACTTGGAGGCTGCAAATGTTTAACTTCAGTTGTTTTTATTAAACAGAGCATTTCACATTTCCTCACAATCCAGAGCTATGGGTTTATTATAAACTAACATACATTCTGTCATTCACTAACCTTTTATTCCAATCCATTATCTACTGGGGTGTTCTCTGTCTTGTGCTTTGTCCTGGTCTCTTTTGTGTATGTGCATTTGTAGGCTCATTAACACAGTGACTGTCTCACAGGGTATTGTAGTCCAATGAATGGCATTCAAATCTCACCTCAATACGCCACCATCTTTACTATGTGTCTCCACAGAGAGCTTCAGGAGGAGAGACCAGATGCAGCAGGGGGCTGTCAACTTCCAATACGATGACGTAAGTGTGCAATTCAGGGCCGTGTTCAGTAGGCACAAAACGGACAAAACACTTTGAAACGGGGAGGTACAGTACTATCTGAACACATGTTTGTTTTCTGTTTCATTTTTAAACATTACCGTGTGCCCTGATGAACACAACCCAGTTTTCCTCGCTCTCATTCCCCAGCCTGTAATGTGATTCCCAATAGCCTGTCCTAACATGCAAGTTTTTATTTATTTTTATTTTATTTCACCTTTATTTAACCAGGTAAGCCAGTTGAGAACAAGTTCTCATTTACAACTGCGACCTGGCCAAGATAAAGCAAAGCAGTGCGATTAAAAACAACAACACAGAGTTACATATGGGGTAAAACAAAACATAAAGTCAAAAATACAACAGAAAATATATATAGTGTGTGCGAATGTAGTAAATTATGGAGGTAAGGTAATAAATAGGCCATAGTGCAAAATAGTTACAATTTCGTATTAACACTGGAATGATAGATGTGCAAAAGATGGTGTGCAAATAGAGATACTGGGGTGCAAATTAGCAAAATAAATAACAATATGGGGATGAGGTAGTTGAATGGGCTCATTTCAGAATGGCTGTGTGCAGGTGCAGTGATCGGTAAGCTGCTCTGACAACTGATGCTTAAAGTTAGTGAGGGAGATAAGTGTCTCCAGCTTCAGAGATTTTTGCAGTTTGTTCCAGTCATTGGCAGCAGAGAACTGGAAGGAATGGCGGCCAAAGGAGGTGTTGGCTTTGGGGATGACCAGTGAGATATACCTGCTGGAGCGCAGACTACGGGTGGGTGTTGCTATGGTGACCAGTGAGCTAAGATAAGATGGGGATTTGCCTAGCAGTGATTTATAGATGACCTGGAGCCAGTGGGTTTGGCGACGAATATGTAGTGAGGACCAGCCAACAAGAGCGTACAGGTCACAATGGTGGGTAGTATATGGGGCTTTGGTGACAAAACGGATGGCACTGTGATAGACTACATCCAATTTGCTAAGTAGAGTGTTGGAGGCTATTTTGTAAATGACATCGCCGAAGTCAAGGATCGGTAGGATAGTCAGTTTTACGAGGGCATATTTGGCAGCATGAGTGAAGGAGGCTTTGTTGTGAAATTGGAAGCCGATTCTAGATTTAACTTTGGATTGGAGATGCTTAATGTGAGTCTGGTAGGAGAGTTTACAGTCTAACCAGACACCTAGGTATTTGTAGTTGTCCACATACTCCAGGTCAGACCCGCCGAGAGTAGTGATTCTAGTCGGGTGGGCGGGTGCAAGCAGCGTTCGGTTGAAGAGCATGCATTTAGTTTTACTAGTGTTTAAGAGCAGTTGGAGGCTACGGAAGGAGTGTTGTATGGCGTTGAAGCCTGTTTGGAGGTTTGTTAACACAGTGTCCAATGAAGGGCCAGATGTATACAAAATGGTGTCGTCCGCATAGAGGTGGATCCGAGCATCACCAGCAGCAAGAGCGACATCATTGATATACAAGTTATAGTAATTACATCAAAATGTGCTAATTTTCTCTTGATTTTCCACCTGCAGTTTATCCTGTGTACAATGTCCGTCTGAGTGGTGTGGCCCGGCCCATCCCAGGCTGGAGTGCCGGAACCAGAGAGAGGGACCCTTCAACCGGTGGTCTGGGGCTCGCTGACCACTTCCCCTAAATAATGGAAAGGCACCAATCAATATTAGCCAAGTGTTCTTAGACTGAGTCCCATAACCAACTTAAAATGGGGAAAGCGGTTACAACAGAAACTGCTTGTTTGCTTGCCATAATCTCTGCCTTTCTTGTACGCTATGCAAGAATGTGCAGATTTGCCAGATATCAAATGGCGTGTTTCTAAATGTATCTGCTTGTTGTAAATTCTGTTGCTAACTGACTGGTAGATTCTAACAAAAGGGATAGCAAAGATGTTACTGATCTTTACGATGATTTATTTTGTGCCATTACAATCTCAGATCATACGGTTCCCATATTCATCCCCATCACTGTATAGGTTCAGTTTTATAACCACTATATTGTTTTATAACCACTATATAAAAGGTGTGAATTACTTTTACATTAAACACTCCATACATTTTAAAGTATAGATATATAATATTTTTATTACAAATATACAGTTATGCTGGCTTTACATTTTTTAAGATAACTTGTCAAAAAAATGTGTCTAATACAATTCTATATGCATCTCTTGATTTGAATAAAATGTGGCCTAACATATAATGAACAAATTAATCAAACATTAGGGCATCCACAACTATATCAATAACCCGCACTGTGGTAAACATGCACTGTTATTCCTTTGCAAAGAAAAGCATGCATTAACTACCACTAACAATTATGTCAACAATTATTTTGTGATAACCTGCATTTTCATAGTTCAGGGAGAAATATTTATCAGACGACATGTAGTTAATAGTACTTCATGACCTTTGGGGCATTCATCAGTGATATTGGTGTTATTCACAACACAATAAACTCATTTTGTAGTCCGTATGCATTCTGTTTATTAATTTATATAATTGCACAAATGTTTTTCATCAATATATCTACACAGTATATTACATTTCTTTAAATACAGTATATTCAAGGACAGAAACATTCATATTAGCTGTTAAGTGTTGCATTGTATAAAATACAGTGGCAAACATTACAAAAATGAATAAAAACAATTGTGAACAGCACTAGATTTTTTATTTTTTGTGCAAAAGTTTGCACTCTATGAAAAGTTCAGTGGGGCACTCTTCAGGCATTGGACATGTCTTGTTTCAGTTACTTTGTATAGTATCTGTGCTCTGGAAAGCTTATACTAGAAACACCTTAGCTTGTTTTGTCAGGGTTACGAAGGTTTCAGCCCATCTGTGGTGGGTTTTAAAACTGAGATTGAGTAGTCGTGGCCACTCTGGCATTACAATGACATGCAGCAAAAGACCTGTGCCCTCCGAAAAGGCTTATAGCTGTGTGTGGGCACAAATCGTAGGATAGGGCCGGTGAAATCTGAAATTAAAGGTAGACTCAGCAATTAGATGATGTCATATTGCTGAGTCTGCCTTTAATTCAAACCCAACTAAGTACTGCTACAAAACATGCATAGCTATAGTATTCCCAATGGATATGACTTCCCTAGACTCCATTTGCCCTGACTACAATGCTATAAGTATATCTGTTAATTGCTACATATGGGAGAGTGATATGTGTTCTTCATAATGCATCTCACTCACTTCTTGGGCTGATAAACAATTGAACCAAAACACATAAAACATTTTAAAATCATGGAAAATTAAGTGTTCTTCTCTTATAGAAAAATAGGGTGTATTTATTACAATGATTTATCATTTTATAACACCAACTCTCCCCTTCATGATAAATCACAAACACGTTGTTTTGAAATCTGTTAAAACAAATTGCCAGTTGATGTTGATCCATGCAATATCACACATCTAACTGAGTGTGTTTGTGTAAAATAAGTCATAAAACTAAAATGACTAATTCATTTGTGACATGCAGAATTCGTCCATATTCAATACATTTACATTGCTGACTGTTGAATGCATATTATTCAGCTGAATAAATGTGTTTAGGACATTTGTGAAGGCTAATGTAGGCTAGTAAAGCTAAGGCTAACGAGGGCTAAGCTGCTAGCTCGGCCTGAATCTCTACGTTGTCGGTTTCTGACACCGTCTCAGCATTGATTTTGTCACTTGGCTAGAAATAGTAATAAAATCAGTTTTCTTGGAATATAAATGGAAGCCCCTAACCATGCGTGGAAAGTAGAGTTGGAGCATATAAAGATTGTGGGGTACAGTACTTATGAAAGGTATCAATTAAAGGTAGACTCAGCGGGTTTACTTCCTGCTTATAGACATCAACAACAGAATCAAATCTGTCAAACTGCTACTATTGGCTCTTCCTTTGCGTGATTGGCAATAGACAATAGTGGCAGATTACAATGTTGTTGATTTCTGAAACTAGGATGTTTGTATGATGTCAAGCTGCTATGTCTACTGTACCTTTGAATAATTGGTAACATTTAACTACTTTATAACTAGTTAGTAAAATGAAATAGAATTTGGCCTGATTCCTCTTATTACAATTCAAATAACATACATCTGAGCAATTCAGCTTTAGACAGTTGCTATTCATTGTAGTTTTCTACATCTGAACATTTAATGTTGGGTTACCACTCCTTTTATACAATGATATGCATTTCGTTAAGTGCAGGCCCTTTCAAGAGAGAAATGATCCAGCACATCGATTACATATGACATATAAACGTTATTCACCCTGTTCATGCCTCTGTGTGTGTGGTTACAGAAGTAAATAGTTTTTAATACAATACCTAAAAAACAGACATATTTTTACAGTTCATAAATATGCATACACTTCCCATCAAATTATTTTTGGACAATATTTTCAATAGTAAAACATTATATTCAGTGATTCAGGGAGGAAAGTAGCTACATCAAGTGGATAAGTATCCCTTTTGTAAATTACAGTCCTTTAGTTTCTGTTTAATTCATGCCGTACAAGTTTTTAAGAGCACATTTGACTTTTGGGCATCTACCCGTGTTCATTTCTAGGCATTAATCAAATATGTATATTATTGTGTGTAAATGAATGTTTTAATGTTATCATTATTGCTTTCATGGCCCCATGAAAGAGACTTGTGGTGCAAAGTGATTACAAATAATCTCTCTCAGGAATGCTTTAGCAATGTAAGGGACACTTTTGTATAAGAGCTTTCCCAACCATTTAAATCCTATTCATTTGCATATCTGTGTATTTATAATCTAATAGAAGATGTATTTTACATAGTGGTTCTTTGTCTCTTATGATCAGATGACGGTAGGTACTTAGGCACAATATATGATGAAATATTATTATATATAATGTCGGGCCTGGAGATTGTTAATTAGCCAAATACATTACATGGTGTCTGTTTGATAAGGTCATTAACACGATGAGTTTAAAACGGCACACTTATTTTCAGATTGAAAATGCCTTTGAAAGAGAGTTTCAAGTAGCTTTGTCCCCATCGATTGGGAATAATTATAAAACGGATACTCATTACTCTGAAAACATGCCGACCTCACACCATGACTGTGCAGTGCATGAGATGTGTTGTGTTTTGAACATGCAACAGAAAAACACTTCCAAAACATGCATTTCTCTCTTGGAAGAACAAGCATGTTAGGTGCCTTTTGTGTTGCTGGCAGTGTTACATCTGAAATATGTACATGGTAGATAATTACATAAATCAATAATATACGGTATAAATACCTCTGTATAAATGTACTTTATAATACATCTAAATCGGAGACCGGCAGAAAATATTGGAAAAGGAATGGAAGAAAGTTGCCAGTATTCCTTGCATATACAGTCTCCTTCTAAGACCCTGAGTCAAACTTTGAGAGAAGCCCTAGTTTTCCGTAGTGAGAAAGAGGGGCGCAGGCAGGCGAAAGGGCCTACTTTCCCAGAAGCCCAGGATCGGATGCCGGCCTGTGGAGTCCTGACGTTTCAGAATTTTCAGGTGATGCGTCGGGGAGCGAGGCTTGTCTGGCGGAGGGGAAGAGGGCTCTAGGTTGTTGTTGTTGTTGCTCCGGAGAGTCCATTTTGTTTTGTATGTGTCTGGGCTCTGTGTCCTTCTCTAGCAGTCCCGCCCTGAGGTCCTCTTCCAGGGGCATTTCCGTGGGACCCTGGCCTGACATGGTTTCTTTGGATTTGTTCAGGGGCTTCTCCGTCTCAGGATTCTGTGAAGCAGTAAGCACAACCTGGTCTCAGAGCAAAATATATATATTTTTTAATCTGTGCCACTCCATTTAGTATGATATGTTTCTTTACGTTAGGTTACATTACATTGGCCGAGCAATGTAATAACGGTCGTACAATATAATAAGAATTGTATGATGTATAGTATCCTATTTCTTGATCGCATTTGACCCGTTTAGTATGATATATTACGTTTGACTGCTTTAGTATGATATGCTACGTTAGGTTAGGGGTTCGGGTTAGGTTATAGGGTTAGGGGAAGGGTTAGTGAACATGCAAATTAGCTAAAAAGTAGTAAGTAGTTGCTAAAGTTGTCCGTGATGAGATTCGAACACGCAATATTTAGGTTGCTAGACGTTCTTATACGCCCAACCATCCACCCCGACCAACCACCCTCCTTTTGTTTTTGCCTTAAGTAACTTACTGTCCATACCAAACGTAACATATCATACTAATTTGAGTGTCCCGGATTTACGTTTACTATGTTACGTCTAGTCAATGTAATGTAACACATCACACTAAATGGAGTGGAATGGATTTTAGTAAAATATAATACGTTTTGCTCTGAGACCAGGCTGGTCAGCAAACTGAGAACAAACAACTTCAGGCAGGGATATTGACTTCTGTAGTGTCCAATACACACATAGGGATAATGTAACCATCTGTCAGTATACAGAACAGACAGGGATAATGCACCTATAGACCAGTATATAGACAGGGAGTGTAATGTGCCTAGCCAGTATACACAGAGCCATTATGTATAAAACAGTATATAGCTCTGAGGGCTAGTGTAGACTGTATTTGTTCACCTGGGCTGGTTCAGTATACCTGTGGTGGTGCAGGGTTGAGGCTGTGTTGAGGCTCTGTGATCCTGATGGCAGAAACAGGCTGCACCCTGATGGCAGGCCTCTGGTACTTTGGACTGGAGGTGACGATGCTGTAGGCCGGGGGAACCACGGTGATCTGCCTCTGCAGCAGCTGGAGGATGGCCTTGATGTCTGACATCATCTGGGACTCCAGCCTGGATGGTGGGTGGGGAGAGCCAGGGAGACAGCGTCAGGGGTGGGTCCTAGCTTGAGATCCACATGCATCACTCACATTTTTTGAAAACAAATCTGCCATTGGCGTCAATGCGTGATTTATGTAAAAGTTTGAACATCTTAAAATAGGTCCTTGATGTATTAGCTATGTATTAGCTTTAGCTAGGTTTTGTTTTTATGCATGTGTCTGGGGTTGTGTTGGGAGAGCGCAGTCAGTAATACTCAATGCAAACACCAGAGGGAGCCCCAGCCCATACAATTCAGAGAAGACACTAGGGCGGCATACCTGTACTATAGCACACCTTTATCTGTTTCAGACCTTTTTTCATCACAATTTCTTTTTATGTGTGTTTCTCTATTTTGTGAATAATAATTTCTTGATTTTCTCCAGTTTTGCATACAACACCTTCAAGGTATCGAAAAGCCAATATTTAAATATATCACTTTAATTTCTTTATTTCCAATGAGAAAAACACATAGACCTGCATACTGTATCTAGAAAAGACACACCCATACTGCCTTCAGAGCACTGCGGACCGAGAACAAGCCAGTGTTTGTCACAGTTGCTGTTGAGCTGTGAGACAATCTGAGCCGATCAACACCCCCGGCAGGCGTGCTCCAGCTAGATGAGGCAGGGTAGTGTGGCGGCCATGTCTGTTGAGTGGCCAGGCGTCTGCCCATTACCTCCCTAAAGAAGGAGAAATGAGAGCGACGAATGCCTGCAAAGAGCCTGAGGTGGCCAGTCTGTAACCGCCACTTACAGTGGGAGGAGGGAAAGAGAGAGGGAAGATACAGTAGAGAGAGAAAGAGAGCATAGGCTATATATAGACGGAACGTATATATATATAGAGAGAGAGAGATAACAAGATAAAGAGACGGACTGACTGAGTCCACCCACTTTGGGCTTTGTGACCCCTCCCTCAGTCTCCTGTTGCCCCGTACTACCTCCCACCCCTCCCCTCCAAACTCTGCCGTGACGTCTGCTGTCTTTGTGTTGCGATTGCGTCTCACGGGCGTCAGCTAAAAATAGGCGATGCTGTCTGTAGCAGCTGGATCCATTCCATGCAGAACATATGCAGAAGTCAACTCTCTGTGTGATATAGTGGACTGTGGATGTGTATGGTAAACCTTGCTGTGGATGTGTACTGTAAAAACCTTGCTGTGAATCTAGTCTATAGTGAAATGGGATGTAGTGATGGTTTGGCTGGGGTTATTTGAGGATGGTGTAGTCCTGTTTACCACCAGAACGCCTTGGTTAAACTTCAGTTTTTTTATAGTGAATTACGATCACAGTTTCGCCTCTCCCCTTCCACTCACCTGTTTAGGTGCTCTTGCAGCAGGTCCAGACGTTGCTCCACCTCTCCGTAGGTGATGTCCGGCTCACTGTCCTCCTCCCCGACCCCACTTCGGGCATCCTGGGCCTGGGCCAACTTCTCCAGCACTTCCCTGGGCCTCACGCACGCCCACTCCTCCACACACAGGTCTAGACACACATATGCACAAATACATTTATATACTAACCATTATCAACCTATGAAACAACCAAATCACAGCACCAGTCATTTCCCACAGAACATTGAATCCTTTTTAGTTAGGTATGATTCACAGGCCTTTGCCAGACAACAATATTGTCTGATGACCGTAGTTGTTTGAGACGGTTTGGAGCACTAGCCACTAACACTGACTAGATAGCTATCCCTCATCCACACCAGTCCTGTCAAAGGCTACCATTTAATTGATCAATGGGCACATTGGGCCCCACTATAACCAGCAGTTATAGCATCAGTCACTCTCTCACTCACATTGTTACCTGGCTTTTAGAAACTGTAATAGCAGCACTGTGTCCAGAATCATTTCTCCCTCAGGCACAAAAATGTTGGTCTAGTCTTTCACTGCTACTGAGTGGGTGTCGATAGGAATAGAACATACCTGATAGATGCCTGCCACAGTGTTATATCGCTATAATGCCAACAATGTTCTTCAATCCTAGTCCTGTGGACCTACAGGGGTGCACAGTTTTGTTCTAGCCCAGCACTAGCAAACCTGATATAGAAATGAATACCACAATCATCCAGCCCTTGATTCTTAAATCAGGTGTGTAAGTGCAGGACTAGAATTAAAATGTGCACATTTGTTGATTCAAATTCCAGTCCTCGTGTACCCCAAAGGTTGCACATGTTTGTTCTAGCCCAGCAGTAAAACAATCAATTCAACTAACCAATGGTTAGATATGTAGATGTGTTAGTGCTGGGCTAGAACAAACATGCACACTAACCCAGTACTAGGCTAGAGAAACACTGGGTTGTCACTAGAAACCACAGTCACAAAGTCGAAATTGACTATCTCGTAAAAATTCATGAAAACAAAAATTAGCGTTTTGGTCTTAATTTAAGGTTAGGCATAATGTTAGCTGTGTGGTTAGGGTCAAGGTTAGGTTTAAAATCACATTTTAAGTAGAGAAATTGTAGAAATAGGCGGTGCTTATGAATTTGTGGCTGTGGTAACTAGTGACGACCGAAGCACTGAAGTGATTGAGTTGATCATGCTTGGAAGATAGCTTTTACAGTAATGAAAGACGTCAAGAGCAGAAGCTACCATTTATAGTGCCTCCATGCTGGGGTGATTACAGGAATCAATATCCAGCCGGCAACACTGCCTGCCTCTTACTCAAACCAGGAATCATCGTCATCCGCTTAAGAACGGAATTACAGCATATTACTCTCAAATCACCACATGCTGACAGAAATGTTCATCGCGGAGCGCAATTCCCTGGAAACGCAAATAGAAACGTGTCATTTAATTTAGCCAGTTGTTATTGTTGCAGTGGATTGGTGCATGTCGAGGCAGTTTTAATCATTTTTACCACACCATTGATCTTAACATATTAAAGAAGTAGTTGAGGATTTTACAATGAAAGTAGTCTATGTTAGAGAGAGAGTTATTTGTGAAACTCGTGTTTGGGGGAGTAGAGAAAGAGGCTGTGGGTGTGTGTGTCTGTGCCATAGGTGTGTAGGGCTGATAAACAAAGCATAAACAAACAAGCTAAGCTCATGATCTCTTTCACAAGCTGGTCACCATAGGTCATGCCGTCTCTAATGCCAACCAGGCATCAACAAGATAATGAGCTGGCATCTGGTGGCAAATTGGCAAGGGATGAAACAGAGGATTTTCCACAAACCTGTAAGAGTGCCAGGTCTTAAATTAACCTATGCCCTGTAAGAAGCCAGCCGCATCAGTCCTTCTGTCTCCTTACTCTCTGGACAAAACTGGTCTGGGATCAGTGCTAGGATTTACCATGTAGGGCCTGGAGTTTTTCCTGAACATGTTCCCTAACCAGGAAAAACTCCTGCCCCCAGGAGCTTTATTCTATTTTATAGCTAGTTTACTTCCTGTTTTGCTTGGTTTTAGATTATGCCTTAACACTGTGCTAGAACAGTACAACAATAGATACTGTTTCGGTCGAGGCACTCTGCTTTAATAATAGCATCGAGGCATTTTGTACCACTGAATAACAGTATATACACAGTAAATGAAAATACCTAACAGAGTTTAGTCGAAACCCTACATTTCCACACCAATGACCCTGGTTGGTTGTTATAATCCTCTTATAATGGTAGTTGCCGTGGCGATGACCCCTAATCCTTGTTTGGATTTTTAATAGGTGTGACATCCTGCACAGAGGCCCAGGGTAATTTCCTTTTCCCAAATTAATTACAGTCCAGTTACTCAATATTCTGTAGAAAATGGCTTGAAAGGACATGTCTTGTCGTGTGACCATTGGTTGGTTTGTGCTCTCTGGCTTCGGTGCTGTGCTACCCATACACTCACTGAAGGTTATTTCTGGTATGGACATTATTTTACCAGGTTGTTATTGCAAGATATCATTTGTTCTTCTGATCTTTTAGGGCTTGTGGAGCTCATTTGAATAGCTGTGTCAGCTTTTGGTCTAGCCAAAATGGCCTAGCCATTGGGATCTTTAGAGGCTTCCAACTGTACCTTCATAAGACTGGTTCCTCTCCACGTTGTCCCCTCCTCCCTGCGCGTCCGGAACAACGTCACCCAGCCCTAGTCCCAAGGTGTGGTCCCTCAACGAGGGGTAACCCTGCCCCCCCGAGCACAGAGGCCTCTCCTCTTCCCCCTCCTCCTCTTCTTCCTCCCTCTCCTCCGCTGAGTCTCTCTTCTCCTCCGCCATGGTGGCTACAGCCTGGGAGGAGGGGTAGAGCTGCCTCTCCCGCTCACCACCATCGCAGAACACCGACGTCTCTTTGATCTGGGTCCCTGTGGGGAAGGAGGAGGGCAATCAGGGTGAGTGTGTCTGTGTGTGTAGGATCTTATGTGTGTGTGTGTGTGCGTGGGTGCATCCATGCGCGTCTGTGTGCGTGCATGCGTGTGTGTGTTGGAGGAACACTGGGTTCTTTGTTACAGACAGCTCCTCTGGGAGGCAGGGGAGACAGCAGCTCGGGAGATCAAACAATAGGGAGGTGTCACGCTCTAAACGGTCCCCGCCAGATCTGCTGCTGCCTTAGAGCATTGCTGCCATAAAGATACTTTATATATTTAATTGTGTGCTTGCAACTTTGCCTTTACAGAAGCAGAGGGAAGGTGAGCAGAGAGGGAAACTGTCAGTAGATGTGAAGGAAAATAGTAAGTACAGGAGAGATAACATCCATTGGCATGCTTTGAAGGATATTATATGGTTTAATATGTATAACATTAATTGCTATACTTTTAATGTGGTATAATCTGTGGTATAATCTGTCAAAAACATTTGGACAATCTACAGTACAGGTCAACATGACATGGTGGGAGAGGGGTTTATTTTAGGAGATGGAACTATATTCTGTAAACCCGTAACCATGGTGACCAATTGAATTAGTTTGAATGGATACCAAACTGTTGAGTGGTGTGTTGCAACAATGCCTCCCAACTCACAGAGCTCTTAGAAGCCAAATTAAAACTATTCCCTGTGTAGGAATAGTCTTCTCAAACTTGGAGATACTTCAATGAAGGCAGGTATCCTAGTGGTTAAAAGCATTGGGCCAGTAAATGAAGGGGATCTGTTGATGTGCCCTTGAGCAAGGCACTTAACCCTAATTGCTCCTATAAGACACTCTGGATAAGGGCGTCTGCTAAATGACTAAAATGCATGATATTGTATAAAACAAGCTGGCTCAGTTGAAATGAATTGTTTTGAAAAAGAGTAGCCATAGAAACTACCTCAACTCACCTGCGGAAGATTTCCGCTTGTTAGTGAGCCTTCTTTTGCATTTGATGTCATCCCCATCAGCATCACTGGGGTAGGGGTAGACTGACTCTGCATTCTGAGGCTGCATACAAGCAAATACACAACTTAGTATTGTATCTGTACTGCTTGTCGGTCGCATGGTCCATCCATCCACCCACCCACCCATCCATCCATCCATTCTTCTGTCCTTCCGTATGTGTCTGTCTGTCCGTCCGTCTGTCTGTATTTACCTTGCCGCTGTCATCTCGGAGGTTAAAGGTCAGCTCCAGGTTGCTGAGGAAGTAGTCGGCGAACTCGGGGTACATGTCCAGCACCTCCAGGATCTCCTCCCTATGGATAGTGTGCAGGTCACAGTAGCTGAGCGCCCGCACGTCCGCGTTGGCCTTCCCCGGCTTGGCGTACAGGTGGATCATCTCCCCAAAGATGTCATTCTTCCCTGGGAGAGAGAGAGAATGAGGAGGGAGTGGGGAGAAAATGAGAGGGGGGAGAGAGAGAGGGACGGAGGAGAGAGGAAGAGAGAGAGGGAGGGGAGGTAGAGAGATAGAGAGAGGTAGGGAGGAGAGAGGGGGAGGGGGTAGAAAGATAAAGGGGGAGAGGGAGACGGAAGGGAGAGAGGGAGAGAAAGAAAGATAAAGGTTTGATAAACATGGTGAAATATAACATGAACATAATGACACTCTATGTAATGACACACTATGCCTTGACCTATAACCAGCTGAACCACCTGGTGTATTTCCCCATAATGCAGCTCAGCACAGTCTTTTGAGGTCATCTACAGTGCATTTTCTCAACAATCTACACACAATACCCCATAATGACAAAGCGAAAACAGGTTTTTAGAAATTTTGCAAATTTATAAAAAACAGAAATACCTTATTTACATAAGTATTCAGACCCTTTGCTATGAGACTCAATATTGAGCTCAGGTGGATCCTGTTTCCATTGATCATCCTTGAGATGTTTCTACAACTTGATTGGAGTCCACCTGTGGTCAATTCTATTGATTGGACATGATTTGGAAAGGCACACACCTGTCTATATAAGGTCCCACAGTTGACAGTGCATGTCAGAGCAAAAACCAAGCAATGAGGTCGAAGGAATTGTCATTAGAGCTCCGAGACAGGATTGTGGCACAGATCTGGGGAAGGGTACCAAAAAATGTCTGCAGCATTGAAGTTCCCTAAGAACACAGTGGCCTCCATCATTCTTAAATGGAAGAAGTTTGGAACCTCCAAGACTCTTCCTAGAGCTGGCCGCCCGGCCAAACTGAGCAATCGGGGGAGAAGGGCCTTGGTCAGGGAGGTGACCAAGAACCCAATGGTCACTCTGACAGAGCTCCAGAGTTCCTCTGTGGAGATGGGAGAACCTTCCAGAAGGACAACCATCTCTGCAGCACTCCACCAATCAGTCCTTTATGGTAGAGTGGCCAGACGAAAGCCACTCCTCAGTAAAAGGCACATGACAGCCCGCTTGGAGTTTGCCAAAAGGCACCTAAAGGACTCTCAGACCATGAGAAACAAGATTCTCTGGCCTGATGAAACCAAGATTGAACTCTTTGGCCTGAATGCCAAGCGTCACGTCTGGAGGAAACCAGGCACCGCTCATCACCTGGCCAATACCATCCCTACGATGAAACATGGTGGTGGCAGCATCATGCTGTGGGGATGTTTTTCAGCACAGGAACTGGGAGACTAGTCAGGATCGAGGGAAAGATGAACGGAGCAAAGTACAGAGAGATCCTTGATGAAAACCTGCTCCAGAGCCTTTGCCCCAGTCAGGACCTCAGACTGGGGCAAAGGTTCACCTTCCAACAGGACAACGACCCTATGCACACAGCCAAAACAATGCAGGAGTGGCTTCGGGACAAGTCTCTGAATGTCCTTGAGTGGCCTAGTCAGAGCCTGGACTTGAACCCGATCTAACTTCTCTGGATAGACCTGAAAATAGCTGTGCAGCGACGCTCCCCATCCAACCTGACAGAGCTTGAGAGGATCTGCAGAGAAGAATGGGAGAAACTCCCCAAATACAGGTGTGCCAAGCTTGTAGCGTCATACCCAAGAAGACTTGAGGCTGTAATCGCTGCCAAATGTGCTTCAACAAAGTACTGAATAAAGGGTCTGAATGTAAATGTGATATTTCCGTTTTTTGTTGTTGTTTTTTGCAAACATTTCTAAAAACCTGTTTTTGATTTGTCATTATGGGGTATTTTGTGTAGATTGATGAGGGAAAAAAACAATTAAATCCTTTTTAGAAAAAGGTTGTAACGTAACAATGTGGAAAAAGTGAAGGGTCGGAATACTTTCTGAATGCACTGTTAAGGTTATACCTGTCCTTCTGCCACTTCCTTATAGGACAACAGGGAGGTAGTGTGAATGTCTATATGGCTGACTATATGACAACAGGGAGGTGTTGTGAATGTCTATAGGGCTGACTATAGGACAACAGGGAGGTGTTGTGAATGTCTATAGGGCTGACTATAGCACAACAGGGAGGTAGTGTGAATGTGTATATATGGCTGACTATAGGACAACAGGGAGATAGTGTGAATGTGTCTATAGGACTGACCTGGAACGACCAAGAGGCTCAGTTTTATCATTATTTTACGCCTGACTTCCCTAGGCACAGACCTTTCAGTTTGCACTGTGTGTGTGTGTGTGTGTGTGTGTGTACATGCCCCACTGCATGCCCTGGCTCTTGGCCCAGAACTCCATGGATAAATAATGAAAATATGGCTTTGCCCAAACCTGGGCAGGCACTAAGGTGAGAGTAAGGACAAGCACCTAGTCTTTCCTCTGGTAATTTCACCATTTTAACTTATTTATTAAAGCTTGATGCAAGATTTTAATTACAGATACAATTCATTGTTTATTGCTCTCTGTTGATTACACACTAATTGCAATTACTAATTCACAATAGAATTTGCATAGAAATACTTGACTGCGATAAATAGAGCAATTGGCATTGATGTTACTTTACCGTTGGTAAACGTGCTGAGTCCTTATTAACCCATCACTATCAACACACCCGTCGTTCCCCTGCTCAGACGTTGCATGCATCAACCAATGGTTGCCTGCCATGTCATCAACTGTAACGTCAGCTGCCAGATTTCTATCACATACTGTAAGATCTGGCATGCATGAGCAACGTCTGAGCAGGGGAACACGACCACCGTCTTCCCATGAACCTATTGTGTCGCTGCGTTTTACCAAAGCTCATTGGCTGAGTGAAAAATGAGCAGTTTATACAAGGCTTAGCCTGTAACATTTGCTTGGCGCTGGGCTGACGCAGAGAGAGAGAGGGAGAGAGATAAAGGAGAGGGGAAAGAAAGATGAAGGGGAGATTTACTTTGATTACATCCCAGGGACGTCAATATCTCCTGCGAGCAGCGACTGCTAACACCACAGACACTCCATCACCCTTAGCTGGCAATTAGATACCTTAATAAATGGTCCAATAAACCACCCTCCGTTCCCCTCTCTCTCCATCTCTTTCTTTATCTCTCCCTCCACCCCCTCTATCTCTCCCCTCTATCTCTCTCCTTCTCTCTCTTTATCCTTTACCTGTCTCTCTTCTCCCAGCTTGAATACCCTACTATACAGCGCTAGTGTCTATCACAGTGTGTTCTTGGAGGGAGCCATGAGAATCTGTGCTCATTAGAGATGTCAGCTGCCCACCCAGGAATAGCAGAATAGCAAGACCAGCCTCTTCTAGACAGTACACAGAGGATATACAGACACACACTGAGAGGCAAGAGACACACACACATTGATGAGAAGTGCAGCACTGGGACACCTGAACTGTACTGTGTTACTATTCAATTCCAGGAGCACTGTTTAGAGACAAAAACAGTCTTTGAAAGTGTGCCTGCAGTGCTGCTGTTCTAAGAGGATGTTTCTCTTCCAAACAGCCTGATTAAGCTGACCTTAAAGCAGAGGGAAATCATTAGAGGTGTTTGAGTACTGTGAACATCCTCACCACCGGGGAATGTGTAATTAAGTATTCACACAGCCATAGGTAACCAATTCTTCAGGGTGTCAATTTACTGAAGAGCCGCACACCTTCCACAGCCCCGACATGAATAAAAACACGAGTTATTGTTGCAGTGACTAGTGTCTACTGTATATTTTGGTTTGGGACTTTTTCACAAAGCACAACATACCTCTGAAGTGTCAAATGAAGTTTACAATGAAACTTGGTTTTAATTGCAACCTCTCGTCAGGTTGTTATTGTAAATGAGAATGTGTATTCAATAACCTACCAGGTTAAATAAAGATAATATGAATAAACAATGTGAAATAATAAACAACGTCAACATTTGAGTAGCACATACCCAAAATGGCCACCACGATGTCATCCTTGAGGATTTCGATGGAGCCCCGGGACAAGAAGTAAAGGGCAGTAAGCACATCTCCACAGTGGACCAGTGTGTCGCCCGGTGGGGAGTGGGTGGTCTTGAACCTCATGGCCAGGGCCCTGAGGCAGCCCTTAGTAGCCCCTTGGAATGCCTTGCAGCCCTGGAGCAGACTTGCGTTGAGGTGGAGGCAGATATCAGCCTGGAGACACTCTGGGAAACCCTTTAGGACCTGGGGGCACGAAAAGAGCGTCCACAGCAATAGGAGAATGGTCAGATAGGACTGGGATGGATGTTGTGTCTGTGGTGTTATCAGAGATGTGCTGTCAAACTATCTCGAGACATCTTTGGGTGTGGGTTTGGTTTGTGTTTGTGAGTCAGATTTGGTTTGGAATCCAGAGTGGGTTGATACAATTGCCAATTGTGTTTTGGTCTTCTCAAAATCTAAATACTGCATTGTCATATGTGACTGTTTTAGGGGGGAATTTTTATGGTATTTTCCATAGCTTTTAATCAGAGTACTAGCAGGTGGGGTTAAACAGATGGATATCCAACACTGCTATACAAGACACAACAAACTAGGAAAACATGGAAACAAACATGGAAACACGTCTTCCCTTTGATTACAAAATGATTAGCATACGTGTGCTCATGAGGGAGCTTTCTATCTCACCCCACTAAGTGGGGTATCATTAGTGTCTGTGATTCAGATTTAATATCAAAATAAATAAATAAAATACTTACCTCAAAACTGAATTAACCTGTCATGTAATTTAGAGTATAAGGATAAGAGTGACATTTCAACTACTTAAATTACTACATGCTTAAATACAAATTGTTTCCCTGGAAAAAATGTCACCTAAATTATTCAGTTTCATCAATATCATGACATTAATGCCCTCAATTGGAAAACAAGTAATTTGCCTAGGACTGAACACCACACAGGGTCAAAGGTTACAGGTTAACGGTCATAAGATGACTTTGAACTGTGACATCACAGGGGACCAGAGGACAAGGGAAGGCTTCAAACACACAAAAAGGGAAAATGAAACAACAAAACATCCTTACTCTGTATCACATTCAAAACAATGTCCTTAGTAAAAAAAAAATATATATAAAAAATCTTCGTAAAAATAAAAAAAATCTGGCCAAGTCTAAATTTCTTGAAAAAGAGAGCCTATTTTACAACAGTTGGGGAAAAAATCATAGCAGAAGATTTTGGAAAGGAGAGATTGAACAACATTTGGCAAGTGCAGGTGCAAGATCGCTGGGCATGTGTGCCAAGCCTCCCACATGGAGGGAAACCTGGCAGTGCCAGGCTGTCTGTGCCTCTCCCATTGGCAGTATTCACAGCCTGGTAACTACCATATTAAAAATTATGTGATCGTGTTTGAATACACAGATTTCATGCAAATGGCGACCTTGTGGCAAGCCACATGCAAGTCAATCTGTGAGTGACAACATGGGCTGCTAGAAGCACTAAGGGTTATACTACTGGCTGGCATGCAATGGGGAAGTCAGTGTATATATACTGAGTGTACAAAACATTAAGAACACCTGCTCTTTCCATTACATAACCTGACCAGGTGAAAGCTATGATCGATGTCACTTGTTAAATCCACTTCAATCAGTATAGATGAAGGGGAGGAGACTGGTTAAAGAAGGATTTTTAAGCCTTGAGACAATTGAGACATGGATTGTGCATGTGTGCCATTGAATGGGCAACACAAAAGATTCAAGTGCCTTTGAACGGGGTATGGTAGTAGGTGCCAGGCGCACCGGTTTGAGTGTGACAAGAACTGCAACACAGCTGGGTTTTTCACACTCAACAGTTTCCTGTGTGTATCAAGAATGGTCCACCACTCAAACAGAATCCAGCCAACTTGACACAACTGTGGGAAGCATTGGATTCAACATGGGCCAGCATCCCTGTGGAACGCTTTCAACACCTTGTAGAGTCCATGCGCTGACGAATTGAGTCTGTTCTGAGGGCAAAAGGTTTTCTACACTCAGTATACATGACATGATCTAGAGAGGGCTACAGTATTTCAAAGTAACTGGGGAGCATGCCTTCAAATTAACATGCTTTTTTTCTAGACTATAAAGACGAAGTGATGGATTTTAATAAATGTATTCTTTGATTTACGTCTTGGTCTACGATTTACTGCACTCTGCCATTTTTTTTAAACAACACGTTTCTGAGGGAAAGAAGTGAACACTATTAACTTTGAACATAGTACCTCCTGCTCTTACCAGAGTGGTGAAGTCATTCCATTTGACATGAGGCAGACATGGAAAAGACAAGTTTCTATAAGTACAGTTAACATCACCAGGGGAAAAGCCAGTTTACATACAGTATCCATGGCTTTCATTCTAGCGTTTAGAATCATAATCAAGATTATAATCATTTCATATAACCATGTTGCTAAGGGAACACACTAGGCTATATGTTAATAGAAGGACCGTCTTGGAGACAAGGTTGTTTAAGGTCAGAAAAAACATTGAACAGCTTCACCGAGAAGCTAAGTAGGAGAAAGACAGCAATGCAGTAACACAATTGCATCGTCAAACTGTGGGGCTGAACATTCAAAACCTATTGAAGAACAGCAGCAATCTGAATCATCAATCTGAAACGTAACCATTATGCATAACCTTATCCCACCATAAGAATAATGTTACGTCCCAATATTAGATTCTTTTTAGCTAAAGTCTCACTTGGAAGACTTATTAGCCTCAAACACACTCACTTGCCCACACACACACGCACACAAACGCACATACACAGCCTCCCAACCCCCTACACCCACACCCACCCACCTACCCACACAACCCCCGCACACTCCCCCCATTCGCACCATGTTCATGTCGATGCCGTTGGTGTAGTTCCAGGCGTGTTGGAAGTACTCCTCCAGGCGTTGCCTCAGTGGGTTGGGGATCTGGTGGAAGCGGATGAATTCTTTGACCCGGAGCATCTGCAGGTGGTACCGCGCCGTACCAGAGTACAGCCGCTGGATGATGGCCGACACATTACCGAAGATACTGGCGTACATCAGGGCTGCGAGGGGAGAACCACACCAGGCAGGTGATCATCATGTCATCATCACTGTTAGCAATATTCTAATTTCCCTTAATTAATCAGTAGCTAGGAATATAGTAATACAATAACTTATAAGGTAGGACTACTTGGCTGTACAGTAATAGTGATTCATTGTAGTAATATGTATAATGCATGAATTTGTTTGTTAGTTCATTCATTCCATCTGTTTTCAGTCCTAGGACAGTGTACACACTCACAGCCGATCAGCATGACACAGATGGAGAAGATCTTCTCAGAGTTGGTGTTGGGGGAGACGTTGCCAAAGCCCACGCTGGTCAGACTACTGAAGGTAAAATAGAGGGCCGTGACGTATTTGTCCTTGATGGACGGGCCAGAGCTGGGGTCACTGTAGTTGTACCTAGGGGGTGAGACGGTACACTCAGTTCATGGTTCGCTACATTTCATGGTATTAAGGCTATGGTACGTTTTTTTTCTAAGGGATTATCCCAACAATTTTGGGGGAAATATTAAAACCAAACAAAAATCTGATTTTGCACCAATATTTCTTAGTTTAATTAGAAAGGGGAAAATCATGAAGTTCTTTCCTATCATTCAACTGCATAATTATTAAGGAGTCATGTGATACAGTATATAGTATTGGGGTACATTGAGGCACAAGTCCATGGTACATATTGTCACGATAGTCAGTATTTCAGTATATTTTATCTTGCCTAGTACCTCTTTCCAATGGACACGCCCAGGTTATCCAGCCAGCCAATCTTGTGCTCCAAATAGGGCTTCTCCACGTTGCCGATGGCGTACCAGATGCAGGCCAGCCAATGGGCAATGAGGGCGAAGATGCACATGAGGAGCATAAGGACGGCGGCGCCGTACTCTGAATATCGGTCCAGCTTACGGGCCACGCGAACTAGTCGGAGCAACCGGGCGGTCTTCAGCAGGCCAATCAGAGTGGTGGTCTGAGGGGACATAGAGGTAAACAGAGCTGTGATTGGCTGGGGGTTTGAGTGTTACAGTACAGTGCAGACAAGTTATTTGTTGATTGGATGCACAACAACAGGAAGCAATTTGTTGTTATTAGGTGTACCCTTAAGGTCAGGTCAAAGGTTAGGGTTTAGGGTGAAGATAGTACTGTTACAATCAAGCTTGGCTGAATGACAACATCCAGTTTCTAATTCCAGTTTCTAAATCACTGAACATGACAGTGTGTCAATGGAAGTGACCTCTGCAAAAACTAGACAGCTGTCTAAACCAGCAGAGAGGAGAAACAATAACAGAAGTATAACATCATATATTTCCATCATTCTAAAATGTGGTTAGGAGGAATGAGGGGTGAGGACGATTTAGCAAGCCTACATACTGATACTAAGACGACTGCAGAAAATAATATGTTTTTAAAGAACAATAAAAATCAATAAATAACTTTGAGCCTTTGACAGAGAACCTCCAAGTCTTCCAGCCAGGCAGCATGAAAACAAACACCACTCTTCTCTTCTCCTCCCACCCCTCCTGCCTTCTGTTCAGTTTAATTTAAACAGCCTTAATCCTGGCATCTCTCCATCTTGGTTCCTGCCCGGCTAAATTAAAACAGTGGCAAAAAAAAATTAGCGACCACGGCATGCCATGAGATAAGACCTGATTTATTATTAGTGTCGCACAGTCTGCAAACAGCATAAGTGAGTCTTAGGGAAACGCTAATAGTTTGTTCCCCATCTCATCAGGACTGACGATTATAGTAATATCCTGAGGAAAATCATTACAACTACTGTTTCTCATCCTCTACGGTCACTACGGCTCCTCAGCTCTCTACACCTGTATACATTTAATTACAGGGTGCTTCTCCCATTTACAGATGAGACTCAATTTGACAGTGACTATGGTGCCTTGTCTCATAGAAGGGGGTCTGATTTATGGTGTGACACTTACTCGACTCTGTCACAGGGGGAATATGCTCTGCTGAGGGACACGGATGGTACTGCTGAGGCTCTGAGAGCTCCATTACAAACCACCTGGCCCACCCTCCCAACTCTTCCCCCTAAATCGCTGCAATCATTTACAGTAGCTTTCGTCTCCTATACTCTTAGAAAAAAAGGTGTTATCTAGAACCTAAAATGGTTATTTGGCTGTCCCCAAAGGATAACTCTTTGAAAAACCCTTTTGGGTTCCAGGTAGAACCCTTTTGGGTTCCATGCAGAACCCTGGAACCAAAAAGGGTTCTACCTGGAACCAAAAAGGGCTCTCCTATGGGGACAGCTGAAGAACCCTTTTGGAACCCTTTTTTCGAAGAGTGTACTTCTCAACAGGGAAGAGAAATCAGTCTCAGACAGACAGGGTATATCCTAACTCAATCAAATTCTTTCCATGTTTTTAGAATTTGTCCTAACTGATCTTGACTGGAATGTCTGATGTGCAGAGAGACTGACGGGTTTGTGTGCGAAAAGGGGTGCTTTAGTAGGCTATATTAGTGTATGGTTGATTAAAATACTTGCTTAAGCTTTGTGAGTTGAAGAGTGGAGAGCTAAAGCTTCTCCCTAACAACCCTGGTGGTAAATGAAATGTGTCCGGGGATGGGGATGGGGTTGGCTAGTCATCTGTGTTGGCCTGTCCACTCTACACAACCCCTGATAGACAGACAGCATGTGACGGCTTGTGTTCAACCCCTGTCTGAAATAGCAGACATAATCCCATAGGCTACTGGCTACAACAGGGTTTTCTAAATATGCTCCTGGGGCCCGATCCCAACTTAGGAATTTATGCCTTTCCTATGCACTCATCAGTATTTCCTATTCAGACGTACCTTATTTAGTTGTGTAACACGCTCTGCAGGTGTGGCTACCTTGCACAATCTGTATACATTTCATTCAACCGCTGAAAACCCTCCCACTTGCTGGCCAACAGGTTTTCTCGTGGAGTTTTCATTCAATGGGGTTTTCAGTACATTTATCCCTTTAAATAAGGTTTTAATTAGAATTATGTTGACAGACTCAATAGAATACATCGAGAGAGCGGGTTCAGAATATGGGGATCAATGAAAGAAAGCCATCTATGCATATTGGTCTCCGTTTCAGCACCAACTAGACATTTTAGGGTTAGGAAAGTATGTATGAATCAAAAAATAAATTGTTTGGAGAGTCTTTACGCACGAAATACTGTATATTGATGAATAAAAAATACAGTGGTTTGATTCATCCTGAAAGCTGTCATATTCAAGTTCAATCCATTAAATATTGGAAGGTAGAAAAAGGGGTTGCACAATTATACTATAAATATACCCTAATTCTCACTAATCATGGAAGTGTATGACAACGGTCCAGTCGTCGTGAACCGTGCGCCAGGCTACAGGTTTAACCTGCTATGTGTGGTCTGAGTTCCATAATGATTCAAATAGGCTACATGTCCTAAATTATTGCGCAACATTAGCCTAATATGATCCACTAATGCTAGCGACCCTCAGGAACAATGTACAAGGATGTGACAGAGAAAATAAAGGTAAACAGAATGGAATGAAATGATGCTAAAATAAATGCATGTGCGTATTATTGACTGTGGCTCCCGATAGTGGCTAATATTTAACATGATACAAATTGTAAAATAAAACGGAGAAAAGCCTGGTCATATAATCAAAACATTCTATAGCGCATACATCAGCCCAGCAGGTTCAGCCCTACAGAAGCCTATAGCTTGGGTCTGCACATTTCATCCATGCAAATTATGAGGGCACATAATTAGAATTCTGAATAACGGCACAGCTATTTCTATCCTATTTCACTGTGAAAAATCATATACATGCCATGTTGATGTGATTTTTAGTTTGCTTCCATATGGCTGGTTTCACATTCGTCTCCAGGGATCATAAGGAAAAATCATCTAAAACAATTGCTATGTGTATTTACAATCCCCTTCTCCAAATGATTACTCATTTACCTAGCTCTAATCAATAGATCTTATCAAGTTATAAATTACAGTGCATGGAGAATGGTATTATATCTATCCGAAAAAATCAAGTAGATGCTTTTCCACTTGGAACCAGTAGGTTCGCTAGACCTTATTCATGGTTTCATCGTGCGTAAAGGTGGTGGAATTATTAGGGAATTAGGTAAAGGTCAGAATATGGTGTATCTGTAGACACACCTCCTCCACACCTTCATTTATTCGAATATTGGGTAAATAGCATGCTATTCTCATACTTTTAAATTCAAAGTCAGAATACGCAAAGAGAGAAAAGCCCATAAAAATTGAATTACGTTCCATTTACGCGTGCTTAACTCGAATCTGAGCCCTGGAGAGCAACTGTCTGGGTATGCAGGTTTTTAATCCAGAAATGACACACCTGTTTCAAATACTCAACAAATTCAATTTGGACCTCAATTGGCTTAATTGGCTGTTGCTGCAGGACTTACACAAAAACCTGTACATGTTATCATAAAATGTAGCCTCTGCTGCTTATTTCCTGAAAAGTGAGAGACACTATATTACATGGACACACGTTGTGGCATGGCACCCCTCGTCTGTCTGTTCCTCTTCCTGTTCCTGCCATTCACTGCCAACCCCAGACTGAGGGCAACTCTCTGGTACAAGACAACTGATGGTAAATAATGACTCGACAAATCACTGCTCTGACACGCCACTGCTCCCTACACATGCTCGCTTGTCGTCATTTTGCAGGAGACATCTTTTCTTTCCGGAACATCATGTACCCTGTCCCGTCCCGCCCTGTGATGTGCCAGCAAGGGACACACTTAGCAGTCGCTGCTCGGCTGAGATATTGACTTCCCTTGTTCTCCTCCTCTCTCCCTCTCACTGCAGTCTTTCTCTCTCTCCTTTTCAAGAGTTGAGAACTTGGAACGCTATTGTTCCACCTGATGGGATCCAAAAGCAACACTGACAAACCAACAACAACAAACTGCAGTTTAACACTCATAGCTACAGTGGGGGAAAAAAGTATTTAGTCAGCCAACAATTGTGCAAGTTCTCCCACTTAAAAAGATGAGAGAGGCCTGTAATTTTCATCATAGGTACACGTCAACTATGACAGACAAATTGAGAAAAATAAATCCAGAAAATCACATTGTAGGATTTTTTATGAATTTATTTGCAAATTATGGTGGAAAATAAGTATTTGGTCACATACAAACAAGCAAGATTTCTGGCTCTCACAGACCTGTAACTTCTTCTTTAAGAGGCTCCTCTGTCCTCCACTCGTTACCTGTATTAATGGCACCTGTTTGAACTTGTTATCAGTATAAAAGACACCTGTCCACAACCTCAAACAGTCACACTCCAAACTCCACTATGGCCAAGACCAAAGAGCTGTCAAAGGACACCAGAAACAAAATTGTAGATCTGCACCAGGCTGGGAAGACTGAATCTGCAATAGGTAAGCAGCTTGGTTTGAAGAAATCAACTGTGGGAGCAATTATTAGGAAATGGAAGACATACAAGACCACTGATAATCTCCCTCGATCTGGGACTCCACGCAAGATCTCACCCCGTGGGGTCAAAATGATCACAAGAACGGTGAGCAAAAATCCCAGAACCACACGGGGGGACCTAGTGAATGACCTGCAGAGAGCTGGGACCAAAGTAACAAAGCCTACCATCAGTAACACACTACGCCGCCAGGGACTCAAATCCTGCAGTGCAAGACGTGTCCCCCTGCTTAAGCCAGTACATGTCCAGGCCTGTCTGAAGTTTGCTAGAGTGCATTTGGATGATCCAGAAGAGCATTGGGAGAATGTCATATGGTCAGATGAAACCAAAATATCACTTTTTGGTAAAAACTCAACTCGTTGTGTTTGGAGGACAAAGAATGCTGAGTTGCATCCAAAGAACACCATACCTACTGTGAAGCATGGGGGTGGAAACATCATGCTGTGGGGCTGTTTTTCTGCAAAGGGACCAGGATGACTGATTCGTGTAAAGGAAAGAATGAATGGGGCCATGTATCGTGAGATTTTGAGTGAAAACCTCCTTCCATCAGCAAGGGCATTGAAGATGAAACGTGGCTGGGTCTTTCAGCATGACAATGATCCCAAACACACCGCCCGGGCAACAAAGGAGTGGCTTCGTAAGAAGCATTTCAAGGTCCTGGAGTGGCCTAGCCAGTCTCCAGATCTCAACCCCATAGAAAACCTTTGGAGGGAGTTGAAAGTCTGTGTTGCCCAGCGACAGCCCCAAAACATCACTGCTCTAGAGGAGATCTGCATGGAGGAATGGGCCAAAATACCAGCAACAGTGTGTGAAAACCTTGTGAAGACTTACAGAAAACATTTGACCTGTGTCATTGCCAACAAAGGGTATATAACAAAGTATTGAGAAACTTTTGTTATTGACCAAATACTTATTTTCCACCATATAATTTGCAAATAAATTCATAAAAAATCCTCCAATGTGATTTTCTGGAAAAATGTTTTTCATTTTGTCTGTCATAGTTGACGTGTACCTATGATGAAAATTACAGGCCTCTCTCATCTTTTTAAGTGGGAGAACTTGCACAATTGGTGGCTGACTAAATACTTTTTTTCCCCACTGTATTTGAGAGGCAGATGCCGGTCAACAGTTTTAGGACGCCCGAGGCCATCTGGCAAAGCTAGATGAAAACTACAGGAGCACCGTCATGGCGAGGAGGACCCTGAGGTTGCCTGTGAAAGTGACTAAGCGACTTTAATTCTAACATTTCAGAGAATGAGGGAAAACTACAGGAGCACCATGTCATCACGACTTGGACCCGAGGCCTAGTGACACGTGTCTGTGAGTAAGCGACTAAGTGACTAATGCCTGATTCACTCTATTGGGCTGACGTAAATGGTTATTTCAAGCACGGTTCCTGTAACTATGGTGGATATGTAACCAGGCCAGCACAGCACAGTACAGCTTGGTTTGACTCTGCTCAGCTTGGCTTAGTAGTGTAAAAAGGGTCTAAGCGTTTTCCCTTACTTCATCCGATCCCGAGCCGAAGATGAGGAGGTCAAAGGGGATGGCTGCCACCATGTCGATGAGGAACCAGCCCTTAAAGTAGTGGATGGCTATCTTCGCCGGGTGGCTGACCACCTCCTCGTTGAGATTCACATAGGTTGTCCTGAAGTTGATCAATATGTCCACGATGAACATGATGTCCACCATGAGGTCGACCACGTTGAGCGGCGAGCACGAGTAGCCGCACTCCCTCCTCTTCTGCTCCTCTAGGTCGTTGAGGAGGAAGGCGGCGGAGTAGGGCGTGAAGATAGCCGTGTAGATGACCAGCAGCAGGATGAGCCAGTCCCACACCGCTTTGAAGGGGCTGTAGTGGAGGATGGTTAACTTGTCCATGCGTGGCGTCTGGAGCTTGTACTCGGGAAGCACATCTGCGCCCAGGGATAGCACCTGAGGAGGAAGGAGGGAGGAGTTAAGAGGAAGTAAAGTGAAGACATGAAGAAAATGGTGGCTTGGATCAATGTATTAGAAGAGTGAATGAATCCTATAGAATCCTACGGAAATACTTTGAAATATAAGCTAAAGTCAGTACGATGTCAATATTGTATAGGGGCCTACAGCAAAAGCCACATGGCTAATGTTGCATTCAAATATTCTGTAACAATATTTAAAACTACTGTACAGTACATCACAGCCTATATGTAGGCTATTATGGATACATACATGTACATGGCCGATATATATAACATTAATAAGTGAATTCTATGGATGAAAATACACAATGGTTAACATCATCAGCTTGCCCCTTGTGTTTGGCTGAAACAATGGTCCTGTAGGGAGGATAACTATACATTTACAGTATACATTCATATACAGACTGCTTAACCTCCTCAGGCATACTATACATTGTTTATGAGGAGATCACTGGACACTAAACACAGCTGAACTCCCAGAGGAAATCAGTCATGTGGAAATATATAAAGAACACAGTGTCTTAGCTATCCTTTTAGAAATACAAAAACCATTCGCCACACATAAATACTTAAAGAAGTACATGTTAGCTTAGTATCTTACTATATTAGCCAGCAAATTGCAAACAAGTAAAACGACAGGAATGTCCTTGTAGCGGCTTCTACGTAGGAAAAACCCTATTTAAGGAATGTTTAATTGCGTCAATATCCCAACTATTCCAGCTACAGTATCGCCTGTCCCTGGACAACTTTTAACATCAATATCACAGCTAATAGTCTCAATGACACTAAGGCGATTATCATGGTAGGAAGTGGTGGGATATAGTCATTCATTCTGTAGCTTGACACTTCAATGCCAGGGAAGACATTTCTGGCTCTGCTTCTCATGGCTGATTATCACTGTGTCGAGACGGGAGGGGGGGGGGGGAGGAGAGAGAAAGAAAAAGGTGAAGTGCTTCACCCTAGGGCAGAGAAGTAATTATTGTAGATGGATAGAAGAGCAAGATGAAATAGAGCCTTGCAAATGGAATGAGGGCTCCATTTCGGTCGCCTTCGCCATAGAGCTAGAATTACTAGAATAGGAATCCCCATTCAAGTCAATGTTCCATGATGGTCCATTCAAGTAATTATTTCCAATTATTTCCTTCACCATCTAGGCCTACTCCTAGCCGCACCCTGGAAGGGATCGCCTCGGCAACCCCTGTGATTGAGTGGGACGAAGGGAAGCGGGCTTCAGTGATTATAATGGAATTGGTTATTAGATGTCTTCTGTCCCCTCCCCTGTGTGATTACAGGTCAATAGAACAACCCTCCAATATATCACACCCTTTAAAGCAAATCACCAAATTAACGGCAGAGAGAGAAAAAGCTTTTCATTATTCATGTCCAGCTAGTTATCTTCATTAAAGGTTTTGGTAATTAGGCTACAGGCAGTTTTATTTTCTATCATCAAACTGCACTTTGCTCAAAGTGGAAAAGAAGCACAAGGCAGTGATTGTCATGAGCAACCTCTTTTTGAATTAACGTGTTGTTTTGTGACTCTTGATGACATACCACCTAAATCAGGCAGAATCACATACCATGTAGATCGATTAGTCGATGTGGCCTACTGGGCTACTGCATTTGTAAGGAGTTGGTAAAAGGAGTCCCTAACCTCTGACCCAGGGTTAGATGTTTCTAGACCTATAGCAGGGCTGCCCAACCCTCTTCCTGGAGATCTACCATCCTGTGGGTTTTCAGTCCAACCCTAATTTAACACACCTGATTCTACTTATTAGCTGCTCAACAAGACCTTAACTAGCTGAATCAGATATGCTAAAAACCTACAGGAGGGTAGATCTCCAGGAAGAGGGTTGGGCAGCCCTGGCCTATATGATCCTGTTAATCAATTTAGGGTCGGTTAATCTGATCCTATATCTGTGGTTAGTGGCAACATCTGATTTGAGCCATATGGTTATATAGGTAAACTGTCTCTGAGCATGCTGGCAAGCCTAGGGAGGAGTCAGTTGGCAGAATGACAGCTCAGGTGAGCATGTCACTCTCCCTGATCTGTTACTAAATCAATAATTCAGACATAATTATTTAATGCACGTAGTGTGGCTTCATTTGCTATTGTGCAAATTAACTCTCTCTTCTGGGATAACAATATGCAAATGGGAGCTCTGATCATTTCACCCTCTCACCTTATTTGTTTGTATTATTGGCAAAACTGAAGCAAAGCCATGACATAAGGACTAGTAAAACTGAAGCAACCCCATGAAAACCTGGAGAAATACAACCTAATGGAAATAACATTAAGTATCAAACAAGTTGTTTTATATGGAGCATCAACATGCATTGACGTCGTTTATCAATCTACAGCACAGACTCAGATCTCCTCATGTCAATCATCCATCTGTTTAGTGTGGTTGAGTTCTGTGTCGAACCAGCAGACTACAGTACGTGTTTATTCTGCAGCGTAGAGCACGTCTCTCTACACAAACTCTGGAGAGACTTGGTCTCCAGACGTCTGCTGGAACAGTATGATCCTCACAGCCAGACAACAGGGGAGGAACAGGGAACAGGAGCTCAGGGCATTACATTCAGACAACAGGGGAGGAACAGGGAACAGGTGCTCAGGGCCTCACAGTCAGAAAAATACATCAAATACTAAAGAAACAAGCAAATACAATCCTACTATCTAGTTTGATCAAATGACTGAGAATGAGATGGTGAAGGGAAAAAACGTGTTCAATGTAATCTGTTCAATAATAAGCAGTAGATGGTTGCTAACCAAACATACAACCAGGAAAGAAAAACAAGACGCTGTTATGAGTCTAGATAATCAACTATAACTCTATCTGACATAGGCCTGCTGTATAACAACAATGTTCCACTGCAGTAGGTATATCCAATATGAACTATATCAGGGATGGTAACTCCATTCCTTTGGGGGCCTGATTGGTGTTACACTTTTGCCTCAGCCCCAGCTAACACACCTGATTCCAATAGTCAACTAATCATGATCTTCAGTTTAGAATGCAATTAGATTAATCAGCCGTGTTTGCTAGGGATGGGGAAAAAGTGTGACACCGTTCCGGCCCCCAAGGACTGGAGTTACCCATCCCTGAACAATATAAATATTTACATTTTAGTAATTTAGCAGACGCTCTTATCCAGAGCGACTTACAGTTAGTGAGTGCATACATTTTCATACTGGTCCCCCGTGGGAATCAAACCCACAACCCTGGCGTTGCAAGCGCCATGCTCTACCAACTGAGCTACACGGGACTATGCACAACAAATACTAAGATCCGGTTGGAAAATACAAGCTGCAACCCACTATTGAGATGTATGACACACACGCGTTACAGGAGTGGGTCACAGTTCCGGAGTTACCCACTAGGTGTCATCCTCCGACAACCATAGGCACCTCCTCATTATATGCCTATTGGTGTCACCTGTAGCTATCTGATTCACCTGTGTATTTATGCCCTCACTTCCCTGTGTTCCCTTGCTCAATTTTCTCTGCTAGTTCCTTGATGTCAAGCAGTACGTATCAGTGTCGGATCACGTGACGGAGTTACAGGTACTCGAGAAGTGTTCTCCCTGTGTCATTGTGTTTTTCCAGTCAGAGTTAGTATTTCGTATTGTTTGTTGTCAGCCTGTTTTTTGGAGACCTATGTGCTCCTCATTTGTTTTCGTGTATAGTCCGCTGTTTTGTATCCTGGCTTTTGGACCACCAGTAAAGATCCTTGTTTCACTATCCTTGCCCCTGTCTATCCTGCACAGCACCTGGGTCACACCTCACACCAACCCTTACACACTCACCAGCATATGTCCTCTAAACTAGAAGATGCCCTTAATGCCAATAACAAACTAAGATCTGCCTTCAAGGAAACCCCAGTGCTAGATGCTGTATAGTATATACTGTATACACCAGTGGAGGCTCCTCAGAGGAGGGAGGGGAGGACCATCCTCCTCAGTGAATTTCATAAAATCTAAATAGCGAAACATTAAAAAAGTTATCCTTTTAAGATAAAACTATACTAAATATATTCACATCACCAAATAATTGATTAAAACACACTGTTTTGCAATGAAGGTCTACAGTATCCTCAGCAGCACTCTGTAGGGTAGCACCATGGTGTAGCCGGAGAACAGCTAGCTTCTGTCCTCCTCTGGGTACATTGACTTCAATACAAAACCTAGGAGGCTCAAGGTTCTCACCCCCTTCCATAGACTTACTCAGTAATTATGACAACTTCCTGAGGACGTCATCCAACCTATCAGAGAATGAATCTAGTACTGAAAGTATGAGCTACAGCTAGCTAGCACTACAGTTCATAAAATGTGGTGAGTAGTTGTCTTAAAGAGGGAGAAAGACAATATTTCAACAGTTTTGAACAAATTAATTTCTTCCAAAATTAAGGAGAAGCGCGAGAGAGAGAGAGAGAGCTAGCTATATTTGGTTGTATTTTTTTTTACTTTCACTTTCCCTTACTTAACTAGCAAATGCAGCTAGCTAGTTTAGCCTACTCAAACACCCGGCTCAAACAGAGAGGGATGCTATATTAGCTAGTTATGACGTGACAACGATGTAGGCTTTGTGTAGCGGTTAGTGGTCATGATATGAAGGTTTGGCTTGGAAAGGTTTTTTCGCCTGGTCACAGACAGCTGATGTGTTGTGCACTGAAGTCCACAAGCGAAGGGAAAAGGTGAGAGGAGGAGAGCGCGTAGATAGTTGTGAGAAGGAATGATATATACAATGAGCAAAGTGATCATCTGTTTTTATGTGGCTGCTATGAAAGTTAACTGTTTGGTGTGATCAGGGGTGTATTCATTCCACCGATTCTGTTGAAAAATGTTTCTAAAACAGAAGCAAACGGAACAAAACAGGGATAAACATACCTGAATTTGTCCAATAGAAACTCTCATTTGCAACTGTTGGACTAATGACTACACCCTAGATCAGCTAGATGCAGGCAAAAGTGTGCAAGTCTGTATTGCATGTGTCACTGTCTGTCACCTTGATTACTCAAAATTCTCTCAACCTACGTTGTAAACTTTAATTCATAGGCTAGGTTGTAGCAACCTCAGGGAAAATGTGAGTATCATGTAGTAGCCTAAACCTATCGATGTTACATTGAACTGGGTGAATGGAATATGAATGACAGTCATCCAATATGCTGTAATAGAAATAAGGCCATGCTCATAAAAAAAAGAATTACCTCCCTCATCTTAAAAGGCACTGACCGCCACTGGTATACACATTATCAGTAGAACAGCAACATCCTTTTCTGTTCTGGACAAAGTGGCCCTGACAGATCGTAAAGGTCAACCAGCTCTGCCATAGCGACACACAGATGCACGCACACACAGACCAACAAGCATGCAGGCAGGAGTACACACAAGCAGCCTGATTTCCCTTCTCCTCCCCCATTGGGACCCACACAAGGAGGCGTTGGTGTACTGCACACTCTCCACGGGGCAGACAGACAGACAGGATTGTGAGGATGACCTCTAACCTGTGTGTAACTAGAGTGTATCCCTGAGCCCTGGTAAGAGAATCTGTCCTGATCCTCTAAAGGTGATATACACCTTCACTGGTTTACTTATTTAAACAAGCCCCTTTCAATGAATTAGCTAACGTCAGACAGTAACAACAGTGCAGCGTATGCAGACACTGTGTTCTGACCTGGTGGTGTTCCGTGTGTGTCTTGTGTGTGTGGGGTAGGGGATAATTACCGCTCTCTACTGTATAACATTGGGGCAGATGACTATTCATTGAGGTAATAGTACATCCAGCTACAGCACACTATACATCTGTAACTCTGTCTGTACAGAACAAACACACAGAAAATACATGTCTTCTGTATGGAACAGATTCTATAGAATGGATTCTAACTCCAACATTATACTTCATTGAGTGATGCTCCAACATCTTGACTTGTGTCACTGACCACCAACTCTACCGAGCACAAGGCACAGGGCCTTTCATGACCTCTGACCTCTGTCATTACCTCTTACCTGTGTGACCTTATCGGTGACGTTGTGCGTTCGGTCCTTGACCTTTGGGGCGATGATGGTTTTCTCGGAGGACGGAGGGGAGGGGCACTTCTTGTCGTTGTTGGCCTCTGAGAAGTTGAGCGTGATGAGGGGGATCTTGTTGATTGTGCTGTATCTGTTGAGGTGGGAGTCGGACGTGGAGCCCAGAAGACTGGATTTGATCTGGTTGATGGGTCCTGGAGGAGAATTTAATGGAAAGAGAGGTTTGGAAATGGCTAGCGTGGTGATGCTAGGCTAAGCTAGTTCAGTGATGCTAGGCTAGGCTAGCACGGTGATGCTAGGCTAGGCTAGCTCGGTGATGCTAGGCTAGGCTAGCTCGGTGATGCTAGGCTAGCACGGTGATGCTAGGCTAGGCTAGCTCGGTGATGCTAGGCTAGGCTAGCTCGGTGATGCTAGGCTAGGCTAGCACGGTAGTGTCTGATACAGCTTGAGGGTTTGACGGTATGCTAATAAATTAAAGGGGACCTCAAGTGTGGTTCATGTGGTAGGTGTGTCAATAGGCTGCTGTGTCTATTTGTTATGTGTGGGAGCGTGAGTATGGAACTGTTTTTTTTGCTCTTGAGGAACTCAATTGCTGTCACAAGACAAGTGAACAACCACAGGACAACAGTAGAAATACAACAGTTACAAGTCAAACAGATCCACCCTAACCCTCAGATCCACCCTACCTTCCCTTCAACAGCTGTAGAAATGACAAACTTGGTTTTCCAAGTGTTATATTAAAAGTGTAATTAACAATATTAGTGAAATAATTCTGTCCACAAACAAAGGAAATGTATACATAAAGTATATCTCAGTCATGAGTAGAGGTTTTGACTCAATGATACCCAATGGATATGGCTTTCATGATTCATACATCCACAAATAAGCTCTGTTACTATGCGAAAATACAGTACAACACTGCCATAAAACCTCACCACGTTGAACAACACACACACTGTCACACGTAGTAACGACTGTGGGCATTATGGAAAAGAGAGGGAATGTGTCAACTGCTGATCCAGAGGAATGAGATCCAAACGAGAAGATGGAGGGATGAATCATTCTCCCTTTTCACAAACGAGTGTTGAGAATACGGTGAGTGATACTTACACAAACAAAAGACATGCGCAGCTTGAATACATGCTACAGCAGCATTGTACGGTACAGTATGTGTGCATTACAGACATATAGGAAAAACTCAAGCCATACCCCCAGCCATCCAGGACCGAGACACTAGCGAATCAGGAGAGAGAGAGGGAGGGAGGTAGAGAGCAGCGTAAAGAGGAAGTGACCTCAGAGAGAGGGGAGGGGTCAAAGGTCTGTATAATTCTGCAGGCACTTCCTGAGTGTCATGTTAAATCTATTTTAGCAACATCAGAGTGATTTTTTTAGTAGAGATAAAAATACTATCTGGCCACTTTGTTAAGGTAATGAAAAATATCCCGGAAATCAGAGACATAAGGTCTAAAGGTAAGAATACAAACAATAGCTGATAACATTTATCAGATGCTGCTCCAAATCTTTCCATGTTCACTGGAGTAGGTATCAGTGGAGGCTGGTGGGAGGAGCTATAGGAGGATGGGCTCATTGTAATGGCTGAAATGGAATAACTGGAAAAGCATCAAACATATGAAAACCACATGTCTGACTCCGTTCCATTTATTCCATTCCAGCCATTATAATGAGCCCGTCCTCCTACAGCTCCTCCCACCAGCCTCCTCTGGTAGTTATTGATCCAGAATGCACTTTTAGGCTAGTAAAGACATTGATTTCAGAGGAAAGTACAGTCATTTCATTCATTTCTGGAGGTTACATTTACATTTTAGTCATTTAGCAGACACTCTTATCTGAGTGCATACATTTTCATACTGGCCCCCCGTGGGAATCGAACCCACAACCCTGGCGTTGCAAACGCCATGCTCTACCAACTGAGCTACACGGGGTTAAAAGGCTCTCAGACATTTGATAACATTCCAGTGACGTAGAATTACTTATCATTACGTTTTTGATCTATAATAGTAGTGTTCCACATGCGGAATGAATACGGTAGTGTGTTTGACTAGTGAAGTAGTCATGGATCGGAATACTTTTTTAGTAAAGTGAAGACAAAATGGAGGACGTTATTCAAGCAAACAGACAAACCATCACTCTATTCCCTTCAACTGTCTGACACAGGACAAAGGAAATAGCCTACCAGTTGTTTTTGGGAAAGGGGACTATTGACAGCAGGCAAAGACAACTGTTATTATGATTCATTGACTATTATAGATTTCCTGTTCTATGGAAATGAGAGGCAAGATTTGTTTTCATGCAGTCGTGTGGCAGGTCAAAAGTCAGCCTGATTTTTCAGAACAATCAGTTGGGATCTGCAAGCTTGCAGGGCACTCACAGGTCACGTCTTACTACAGCATGAATAATACTACTACTATGCCGTGCAAGCCTCTATGGCATTCTCAGAGGCAATCACAAATGTATCAGTCCAGCATTAGCATTCAACACAGACTTATGTTGTTGGTGAGTTGAAAAATCCATGCAGCAAGCAGTTCAGGCTATATATTCTATATCCGTGCTACGTTCAAGGAACGTGCGGTTGTTACCTTTGATATTGCGGCCATTGTCTGCGATTGCATAGTGTTGAGGAAGAGAGGGGGGGATGGGAGGAAGGTGGAGGAGAGAGAGGAGATTCCAGATCTGTACGTAGCTAGCTAGTGATGGAAGACGACCCACATAAAAGTCCCTATCGCCGTCCCACAGTTCATTATCATGAAGTAGACTTATTACAGTGTCAGCCGCAGGGGCCCTTTGAATGAGAAACGCAGATTCAATGGTGTAGGGAGAGATAGAAATATCAGCTGGATACAGAGACAGGGAGAGTCTGGAGCTGTACTGTAACCCCCCCCCCCCATGTTAACTGTGGGTGGAAAGAATCAGGATAGATGTGGTGATTCAGGAGTCAGGATAGATGTGGTGATTCAGGAGTCAGAATAGATGTGGTGATTCAGGAGTCAGGATAGATGTGGTGATTCAGGAGTCAGAATAGATGTGGTGATTCAGGAGTCAGGATAGATGTGGTGATTCAGGAGTCAGGATAGATGTGGTGATTCAGGAGTCAGGATAGATGTGGTGCTGCCTGATGACTCAGAGTAGGTACAGTTGAGTTGGGAGAGTTACCCCCATTCACTGATCCAAGGTCAGATTTGATTTGCACCACATGATAAAAATGGTTGGGATAGGGACCAAATCTACTGCGTAAGTACAGCAAGGCCGAATTGATTTAATATAGCATAACATCTCAGGGTGAGGCGGATGGGGTAGTCAAGCATTTCCGACCATGGAGGTCGTGTTGACTTACATACCTTCACTGGCATGTCGGTCCCTGAAGGCCATCTTGGAGTTGTATCCGAAACCCTCCATGTCCTGAGCGGAGGAGGCCCTCCGGATACTACACACACTCTCCCTGGACGCGGTGGGGGTCAGGCCTGGGATGGTGGGGGCCAGAGGGCCCACAGTCTGGGGCTGGGGAACCGCTTGGGGGACGAGACTGTCCCAGACGGGCCCCTTGGGGGACGAGTGGTCCAGGGGTCCCGACACAGGGGTGGAGCAGTGGCTGGGACCGATGAGGGCCCTTGTGTCGTTGGCGTAGGAGGGGCTGCAGCTCTCCCGGGTGGGCAGTGACTGGAAGTCGCGGGTGGCCACCGACTCTTCACTGCGGCGGGGCGAGTCTATCATGACGGCGTCAGGGTCCTCCTGAGGGAGGGACTGCTTACTGATGCCCAGGAGGTGTAAGGCTGGCAGCCGCAAACAAAAAAATCTACCTTTCCCTGGAAAGAGGAGAGAGAGAGAGAGAGAGAGAGAGAGAGAGAGAGAGAGAGAGAGAGAGAGAGAGAGAGAGAGAGAGAGAGAGAGAGAGAGAGAGAGAGAGAGAGAGAGAGAGAGAGAGAGAGAGAGAGAGAGAGAGAGAGAGAGAGAGAGAGAGAGAGAGAACAATTGTTCAACAGCGATGCTTGGAATATTTCCAACAGTAAGAGAGAAATTGTTTTTGCAAAACTCTGCCCATTTCAGAGTGGTTCATTATGACTTCATTAATTGTGGAGGTATTCTTAATTTGATCGTGACTAGGTAGAAACAAGTAGGGGAAGATAGCGCACTGGATAGATGCTCTGTAGCTCATGCTAATCCTTGTTTAGAGTTTTTGGAGTGAAAACCTCACCCTCATTTTCCAGCTCACTCCCCAGATATCAAGCAGTGAGCGCCAATATTGCTCAAAAGGAGCTCGCCAACAGTTTAAAAGGAGCAGCAAGATCAAAACAAACGGCCTAGCTTCCATCTTCAGCTTCCATCAATTATTCAGAGCTAGCCGTTTGATGAAATAAAGCATCCACCATATATATATTAGAGTCCCATAAAATATTAAATTACAACAGGTTTCCTATGATTGATTAATACCCTTGGAGAGAGGAGAAAGAGATCATCTTTGTCCAAATGATGTTCCTAATGAAGCTGTCAATGCATTATGAGGGCTACTTTAAGCCTTGTGGTTATAGTTTCTAGGAAGTCTGAAGTGGTGGCATCTTGTATTCAAGGACTTTGTGGGCCTTGTCAGAAGATCTCATTTCAAATGTATAACATGTTCCAGGTGACCTAACAAACACAGATATACAGTGGCTATATATACACATGCACGCACGCACACATACACGCACGCTCGTGTATGAAAGTACAATCCCAGTCAGAACTATGAGACATGCGTGTTTTCTCCTGCTAGTCTGTAGAAACATGCCATCATTAGTCTGTGCATACAGTAACATGTTACAGTACATGTGTCGTATGTGAACACGGCACCATGGCAACAGAACATACAGTACATATTGTACATTGATGATGTCAGGTCGTGCCAGCTAAGGGCCATTGAGTCTACTGAAGCATTCTAAGCTGGAACAGAAATCACGTGTTATTCCCAGTGGGCTGTGTCTTCTCCGCCTCATCCAGGCACCATTACAGAAGCTTACCTAACACTGAGTAAGGAAAAAAGGGAAAAAGGAAAACCTACATACTGCTGGAGACATTGACGTCTTTATTTCTGTAATTAATACAGTGAATTTTTATAAAAACCTTAAAAAATATGTGAAGAATTTCATAGAATAACACAACTTCCAAAAGTCATTTTCCTGATGAAGTATTACTGTACTCTATAAATCTAGGCTGTAAAAGCTAATAAAAACAATACACGCATAAACTATGAAAAAAACCACTCTCCACTCCGTATCCCTCTGGATATTTGTGCTTTAGTGAGCCTGCTACATCACATTACACATGCCTTTGTCTGGTTGCATTGCAGTGGTAGCACAGAGGTTGAATTGTTAAAGGCAGTGTGGGGAATAGCAGAGAGATGATTGACAATGTTCAGAAATGTTCTTTTGTTGTGCTCATAGCTCATTTTTCTTTCGTTGACACTATTGACGAGGAATACAAAACTAATTTTAGACGCTGTCATGTGTCCACTTGGGTCATTTACTTTGAAGGTGTACATTTTACACACCAGCTAGATTCCAATAAATAATGACAAATATTTCAATGAGAATGCATCTGGTTCTTGGTATTTTAATGTGTCAATGGTTTAATTGTATCCGTCCCGATCAAATAAATGAATGAAGAAGTGCATAATCAAAATATTAATGGAATTATAGGAAAGACAACATGTCTACCTCACCATAAGCATATCCCCTTATGTCTTTGTCGCCTAAAGCATAAATTACATGCTTTTAAGCAATCCATTTTTCCTTGTTAAGCTGTGTCTAATTACACCATTTCAAAAGGATAAAAACCTACAGGCTAAGAATCCCTTAATTGGATAGCAAATTAAGCATGCCGTCTGACAATATGCCAGTGTATTTACGGTAAAAAACAAACATTGTCCTGTTACTATTTTTAAAGGTGACATTAGAAATAATGCAGCGCTGAGTTCCACTGTAGCCCTTTCCTGCAGTCAAATGACTAAATCACCCTTTAGTGGCCTCATGGGTGGAATGTTTTTGTTATATTTCAGTCTTCTGTGATGTATATAAAGTGCAATATTGGGATGCAAACTCAAAATGTAATACATCTACAGTGGGGAGAACAAGTATTTGATACACTGCCGATTTTGCAGGTTTTCCTACTTACAAAGCATGTAGAGGTCTGTAATTTTTATCATAGGTACACTTCAACTGTGAGAGACGGAATCTAAAACAAAAATCCAGATTTTTAAGTAATTAATTTGCATTTTATTGCATGACATAAGTATCTGATCACCTACCAACCAGTAAGAATTCCGGCTCTCACAGACCTGTTAGTTTTTCTTTAAGAAGCCCTCCTGTTCTCCACTCATTACCTGTATTAACTGCACCTGTTTGAACTCGTTACCTGTATAAAAGACACCTGTCCACACACTCAATCAAACAGACTCCAACCTCTCCACAATGGCCAAGACCAGAGAGCTGTGTAAGGACACCAGGGATAAAATTGTAGACCTGCACAAGGCTGGGATGGGCTACAGGACAATAGGCAACCAGCTTGGTGAGAAGGCAACAACTGTTGGCGCAATTATTAGAAAATGGAAGAAGTTCAAGATGACGGTCAATCACCCTCGGTCTGGGGCTCCATGCAAGATCTCACCTAGTGGGGCATCAATGATCATGAGGAAGGTGAGTGATCAGCCCAGAACTACATGGCAGGACCTGGTCAATGACCTGAAGAGAGCTGGGACCACAGTCTCAAAGTAAACCATTAGTAACACACTACGCCGTCATGGATTAAAATCCTGCAGCGCACGCAAGGTCCCCCAGGGCATGTCCAGGCCCGTCTGAAGTTTGCCAATGACCATCTGGATGATCCAGAGGAGAAATGGGAGAAGGTCATGTGGTCTGATGAGACAAAAATATAGCTTTTTGGTCTAAACTCCACTCGCCGTGTTTGGAGGAAGAAGAAGGATGAGTACAACCCCAAGAACACCATCCCAACCGTGAAGCATGGAGGTGGAAACATCATTCTTTGGGGATGCTTTTCTGCAAAGGGGACAGGACGACTGCACCGTATTGAGGGGAGGATGGATGGGGCCATGTATCGCGAGATCTTGGCCAACAACCTCCTTCCCTCAGTAAGAGCATTGAAGATGGGTCGTGGCTGGGTCTTCCAGCATGACAATGACCCGAAACACACAGCCAGGGCAACTAAGGAGTGGCTCCATAAGAAGCATCTCAAGGTCCTGGAGTGGCCTAGCCAGTCTCCAGACCTGAACCCAATAGAAAATCTTTGGAGGGAGCTGAAAGTCCGTATTGCCCAGCGACAGCCCCAAAACCTGAAGGATCTGGAGAAGTTCCCTGCTGCAGTGTGTGCAAACCTGGTCAAGACCTACAGGAAACATATGATCTCTGTAATTGCAAACAAAGGTTTCTGTACCAAATATTAAGTTCTGCTTTTCTGATGTATCAAATACTTACAGTGGGTTAAAAAGTATTTAGTCAGCCACCAATTGTGCAAGTTCTCCCACTTAAAAAGATGAGAGGCCTGTAATTTTCATCATAGGTACACGTCAACTATGACAGACAAAATGAGAAGAAAAAAAATCCAGAAAATCACATTGTAGGATTTTTTATGAATTTATTTGCAAATTATGGTGGAAAATAAGTATTTGGTCAATAACAAAAGTTTCTCAATACTTTGTTATATACCCTTTGTTGGCAATGACACAGGTCAAACGTTTTCTGTAAGTCTTCACAAGGTTTTCACACACTGTTGCTGGTATTTTGGCCCATTCCTCCATGCAGATCTCCTCTAGAGCAGTGATGTTTTGGGGCTGTCGCTGGGCAACACGGACTTTCAACTCCCTCCAAAGATTTTCTATGGGGTTGAGATCTGGAGACTGGCTAGGCCACTCCAGGACCTTGAAATGCTTCTTACGAAGCCACTCCTTCGTTGCCCGGGCGGTGTGTTTGGGATCATTGTCATGCTGAAAGACCCAGCCACGTTTCATCTTCAATGCCCTTGCTGATGGAAGGAGGTTTTCACTCAAAATCTCATGATACATGGCCCCATTCATTCTTTCCTTTACACGGATCAGTCGTCCTGGTCCCTTTGCAGAAAAACAGCCCCAAAGCATGATGTTTCCACCCCCATGCTTCACAGTAGGTATGGTGTTCTTTGGATGCAACTCAGCATTCTTTGTCCTCCAAACACGACGAGTTGAGTTTTTACCAAAAAGTTCTATTTTGGTTTCATCTGACCATATGACATTCTCCCAATCCTCTTCTGGATCATCCAAATGCAATCTAGCAAACTTCAGACGGGCCTGAACATGTACTGGCTTAAGCAGGGGGACACGTCTGGCACTGCAGGATTTGAGTCCCTGGCGGCGTAGTGTGTTACTGATGGTAGGCTTTGTTACTTTGGTCCCAGCTCTCTGCAGGTCATTCACTTGGTCCCCCCGTGTGGTTCTGGGATTTTTGCTCACCGTTCTTGTGATCATTTTGACCCCACGGGGTGAGATCTTGCGTGGAGCCCCAGATCGAGGGAGATTATCAGTGGTCTCGTATGTCTTCCATTTCCTAATAATTGCTCCCACAGTTGATTTCTTCAAACCAAGCTGCTTACCTATTGCAGATTCAGTCTTCCCAGCCTGGTGCAGGTCTACAATTTTGTTTCTGGTGTCCTTTGACAGCTCTTTGGTCTTGGCCATAGTGGAGTTTGGAGTGTGACTGTTTGAGGTTGTGGACAGGTGTCTTTTATACTGATAACAAGTTCAAACAGGTGCCATTAATACAGGTAACGAGTGGAGGACAGAGGAGCCTCTTAAAGAAGAAGTTACAGGTCTGTGAGAGCCAGAAATCTTGCTTGTTTGTAGGTGACCAAATACTTATTTTCCACCATAATTTGCAAATAAATTCATAAAAATTCCTACAATGTGATTTTCTGGATTTTTTTCTTCTCATTTTGTCTGTCATAGTTGACGTGTACCTATGATGTAAATTACAGGCCTCTCTCATCTTTTTAAGTGGGAGAACTTGCACAATTGGTGGCTGACTAAATACTTTTTTCCCCCACTGTATGTCATGCAATAAAATGCTAATGAATTACTTAAAAATCATACAATGTGATTTTCTGGATTTTGACCTATGATAAAAATGACAGACCTCTACATGCTTTGTAAGTAGGAAAACCTGCACAATCGGCAGTGTATCAAATACTTGTTCTCCCCACTGTATATCTGACATGGTACAGTTGTCTTCTTTTTTTAAAGCCCATAACCATGTGTGTGAGGTGTATACTTTTGTTTCAAAGTAGATTTGTTTAAGACTACCTAGAAACACTCTGTGTGACCCTGATTTAGCCCACTGCAGTAAAACTACATGCAGGGAGCATGGCACTCTCTCTGCAAACACACACAGATAACACTGCACAGCAGCCAGTGCATGAACAAACACTGTCCCCCGTTGCTATGATACCAGATAGTAGTACATTTGCATAGAATATTAATTAGAATTCTATTCCCCCAGTCCTGAAGTGAAATGGGGACATTATAATGAAATAATAATTTGGATGAAGTAAAAAGAGAGAGGGATATCTTGAGATATGGTTCCAATCCTCACTGAGGCAGAAGAGAAAGCGTCTCACTCAAGCTGTGATCCTGCTGAAGATGGATGGTTTAAGGTGGATATGCAGCTGTGCAGTTTAGGTGCTTTGTGCACTCATTCTGATTTACAGTCTCACCTTATGGAGGATGTACACTGCCTTGCAAAAGTATTCAGACCCCTTGGATTTCTTCACATATTGTATTACAAAGGGGGATTAAAATTGATTTAATTGTTTTGTTTTTTGTCAACATTCGACACAAAATACTCTGTAATGTCCAAGTGGAAGAAACATTTTTTCAAGAGTAATAAAAATGTAATAAAGAAAATAAAGAAAGCTCCCTGAGTCAATACATGTTAGAAACATCTTTGGCAGCAATTACCGCTGTGAGCAGTGGCGGCTCCTGA